ACCTGTCAAAAGAATGTTCTCACTGCAAAGTCCCACACATATGTACACACAAATAAACACATATACACATTTTTGTTTCCCTTTTTTATTTTTAATTTTTTTCTTTTCTTGACTTTTTTTTTTTTCTTTGGTTTCTTGACTTTTTTCATTAACGCACGGCACGACGACACGGCACGACGACACGGCACGACGACACGGCACGACAACACGGCACCAGTACTTTATTCAATTTACCTCCTTTCCAAGGCAACAACAAATGAAAGAAACAGAGGGTAAAGTGAGACGAAGAAGCCATTTGAAGAGATTTGTTGTAGTTGGGGTAGTACTTGGTGTTTTAATATGGGGCTCATCTTTTTTAATATCTGCCATTGACCATTTTCTCATTACGTTGGAAACAAAGTCATACCATGATATTCATTTCCATGTACAGGAATTGGAGTCTGAGCTGAAAGATGCCATTTTTGCAACTCCTTCAAACAGACCTACTGAATTTGGTGACAAAATCCCATTGAGCAAGAAGGTTTTTGATGAACATGTGTTGTCTGCCAAGTATCACGATATACAATGGATCAGGGCCCCTTCTTCAATTCATGATGATAGAGGTACCTACGTTATCAAAAACGAAAAGGAGGATGACGACTTTGAAGTTGTGGTCAAGTCGGTGGCAGATGAAGAGTATAGCCAGGTATTGATTGAGAAATCGAAATTTGATTACAACGATGTGGTTTACAAAGTTGACAGCTTTGTAGCTTCTCCAGATTTGACAAAAGTGATTCTCAAGACAAATGTGACATCTCAGTGGAGACACTCTTCATTTGGACTCTATTGGATTTTAGATGTTGACACACAAAAAGTCAAGCCAGTATTTGATGAAAAAATCTCAACCATTTCATGGTCTCCAGACTCATTGAAAGTTGCATTTATTTTCAACAACAATATCTACTTAAGAGATGTCTCTCTGAGCGAGGTTGTACAAGTTACGAATGATGGTTCTACTGAAATATTCAATGGTAAGCCAGATTGGGTTTATGAAGAAGAAGTGTTTGGAAGCGACATTGTTTTGTGGTGGTCACCGTCTGGTGACAAGTTTGCATTTTTGAAATCAAACAATTCAGAAGTACCGGAATTTGTCATTCCATTCTATGCTCAAAACAATTTCGAAGATTATCCTGAAATTGTGAAAATCAAGTATCCAAAGGCTGGCTACCCCAATCCAATTGTTGATCTTTGGACATACGATTTGCATGGCAACAAAGCTAAGAAGCATGACCTAGACTCAAAGAAAATTGAATTGACCGACAGGTTGATTACGGAAGTTGTATGGGTTGGAGACGACAACGTTTTGGTGAAAACCTCCAATCGCGCTAGCGATTTACTTGAGATATATCTTGTAGGAGAGGAGTCAAAGTTGGTGAGGTCTCAAACAGCTGACAAATCATGGTTTGAGATTACATCGCACACATTATATGTCCCTACAAACAAAACAGCCGGGCGCGCAAAGGATGGGTATATTGACACTGTTGTTGACAATGGGTTTAACCACTTGGCGTATTTTTCACCTCCGGACTCATCCAAATACGAGCTTTTAACAAAGGGGAACTGGGAAGTTGTTGATGGGGTTGGTTCATTTGATTACAACACAAACACCATTTATTTCACCAGCACGTTGAAGTCCTCTATTGAGAGACATATCCATTCGATCAATTTGTTTGATAGATCTGACGATGGACTCCCGTATATAAGAGACATAACAGCCAAGGAGGGCTACTACTCGTCATCATTTTCGTCAGGAGCGCGGTTTTTATTTTTGTCAGCTTTGGGTCCTGATGTTCCCAAACAACAGATTAATGACTTGAAGTTGGAAAAGAAAGTCAAGGTGATTGAAGATAATTCAGGTTTGGTTGAAAAGTTGAGAAAGTACGTGATCCCAGAGGTGAAATACAGCACTGTTGAATTAAAGGATGACGATGGAGAAACTTTTTTTGCAAACGCAGTTGAAGTATTGCCTTTGAATTTTGACAAAAAGAAAAAGTACCCCGTGTTGTTTCAAATCTATGGTGGACCCGGATCTCAAATGGTTGACAAGAGATGGTCTATTTCATTCAACTCATTAGTGGCTGCAGAACTAGATGCCATAGTCGTCACAGTGGATGGGAGAGGAACTGGTTACAACAATTTGAACACCAAGTTGGGAGCCAATTTCAAATTTATTGTGAGAGACCAATTGGGTAAATATGAGCCACGGGATTTGATCTCAGCAGCAAATATTTGGGCAGAAAAGTCGTATGTTGACCGTGAAAGAATTGCCATCTGGGGTTGGTCATATGGAGGATTCCTTACATTAAAGACAATTGAGACCGATGCAAAGGACCCCATTTTCAACTACGCGGTAGCCATAGCGCCAGTCACCAAATGGAAATTGTATGATTCCATCTACACTGAGAGATACTTGAGAACACCAAATGAGAATCCACTGGGTTACGAAACTGGATCAATTCACAACGTCACCAATTTCAAACACGCCAAGAAGTTTTTCATTGGCCATGGAAGTGGTGACGATAATGTTCATGTTCAACATTCTTTGCAATTGTTGGATGAGTTTAATTTAGCAGAGGTGGAAAATTTTGAATTTATGATATTCCCCGATTCAAATCATGGAATGACTTATCATAATGGACAAAAAGTTGTTTACGATAGAATTTTAGATTTTTTCAAAAGAGCGTTTGATTACGAACTTGATTAGTGTTTAGTTTTTTTTTTTTTCTCCTGGTATATTTTGTATTAAATTCAATATCGTTTTTCATTTCACTCCTCAGTCCTTGCTTCCCAATTGGATAAAGGTTGTTAAAGAAACTCTTCATCTAGTTCAGTGTGAGATGTATTGGTTTCAACTAGATTCTCTTTCAAATTACTTATATACTGTTACAAACATAAAGATCGCAAAAAAAAAAAAAAATGGTGCTTGGGTTGTGTCTTAAATATCCACACCAACAGTGAGCAAGATTTATTCAGGTGGGTGGTGGGGTGGCCCATCGTTTAATCCCCTCATTCCCTCATTCCCTCCTCCTTTCCTCCTCCCGCTCCCCCCCCATCTCAGCTACCTTGACCATTCATGTCATCAGGACTGACAATTGACCCATCTGAGCCAGAGCCATGTTGCCTACCCCTTCCTCTGATTCCCTTGTTCGAGTTCTTATACAAGCTCTTAAAGTACATCAACAACTCTCTTTCATCAGCAGGCAATCTTTCCAAAGCAGGTCCGCTCAATTCGGCCAACTTATGCGTGAGCGTATTTAAGGCTTCTGAGTGGAACCTATTTTGATGCGACTTCAAATTTCCCAATTGAGTAAATGATTTGTCACAGTTGTCCAATTTACATTCAAACGGCTTCACTTTCTCATGAGTCAACTTATGAGCCTCAAGGTTTCCTTTCCTATTGAAAGATCTATTACAAACCTCACACGTAAACGGCTTTTCCCCGGTATGTAGTCTCAAATGCGTTCGCAAATTTCCACCTTGGGTGAATTTCTTGTGGCAATAGGTGCACTCATACGGTTTATACCCTATGTGGGACCGAATATGCACTTCAAGATGGGTGGATTGTGTAAAATATTTCAAACAATATGGGCATTGTTGAGTCTTGACCCTCTGCCGCTTGGCATCGTGTTCATCTTCTCCTTCAAAATGAGGGGAGTTCAATTTATATCCATGTGGTTTCTCAACACCACCCACAAGACTAACCGGTTGCGGCAAAACATCGTTTTTATTGGACCGATGTCCCGGTCCATAACCTTCACGTTCTGCTAGAATACTTCCATCTGGACCTTGGTCGATTGTTTTAGTTACTCCCTTGTCACGAGCTTGGATCACCAACATTAATTGATCAATCTTGGTAGCTCCTAAAAGAGGTCTGCCATCCTCGGATCTTGCAATTTGCTGAGCTGGAACCAAATTTGGATTTGTGGGGGAGACTACTTGAGGATTGATGGCCTCAACATTTTCACTCGATTTGCGCGTGCGTTTAGTTGACTTCCGCGTCTTCTTAGATTCTCGGGATCCCCGCGATCCTCGCTTCCTTTGAGCCGCTTGTGACGATTGCTCATTGAATGCTAATGGCTGTTGTTGGTGTTGCTGCTGTTGCAACTCGTTTTGGAATGGCGGCGGGTATTGTTGTTGTTGTTGTTGTTGTTGTTGTTGTTGTGGCATATAATACTGTGGTTGCTGGTATTGCTGTTGTTGCTGCGAGGGGATTGTTTGTTGTAAATACGGTTGCTGGTAATGTGGCACTTGCTGACGACCTACTTGAGAATACATTTGCTGTGAAGGTATTTGGCCTTGGATCTGTTGCTGCGGTTGGTTTGATAACGGATATTGGTATCCCCCCATGAAGCTATTTTGACGCGTTGCTCCAGGCAGCATTGCCGGAAAGGAAAGCGGGTTGCTAAAGCTAGGAAATGACGTATACGGATATTGATTGGTAGGTGACAAAGGATTAGCATTACCTTGAAAAGGCTTTTGATTTTGGGACGTCACTGATTGCCGCTGGTTGTACGCAGGTTGCATGTAAGAAGCATCAGCTACACGATTATCGCTGTATACGTTTGGAGACGTCTTTGGCGATTGTGGAACGTCGTTGCGCTTTGATGTTTTTGACGAGACAGATGACGTTGGGGATAACTCTTTCTCATTCGAGCCTTTTTGTCCTTTACTTTGTCGTTTGTTTCCTTGATTAGACTCATCGCCACTCTGCTTTCTACTAGAACTATTGTCTTCCTTTTTAAAAATATCCTCCCTCAAGGTAGTGCTGGCCTTGGAAGAATTTGCCGATGACATAGATGCGCGGGGGTTCTTTAAAGCTGACTGATCATTTATGATTTTCAATATCGAATCACGACGCTGTTGATCATTCATGTTGCTGAAATCTATTGATCCATTGGATATCAAATTTTGAATGATTTCAGTGATGCTACTGTTGAAACTTATGGATCCAGGCTGATTGGAGTTGTCGGTCCATGCCGATAAATCAAGTGACCCGCTTTTAGTTTTACCACCACCAACATTGTTTGGTGCAACTGTGACATTCGAGTTACTTCCAGTGGACCCTCCAGAAGCACCACTAAGTGAGAACTTCAAATCTCCCTGCTGCCAAGCAAAAAGGTTAGCCATGCTCTCTCTATTGTTTCCAAACAAATTCTCCAAATCCTCCACGGTGAACTCTTGATTAGGAGCAAGTGACATTTGACGTGAGCGAGATGTGAGAGGTAAACTCGGTGCTTGATTGCCGGCCGTAATAGTTCTGCTGTTGCTTCCGCCCGCAGAAGCTCCCTGTTGCTGCTGCTGCTGTTGTTGCTGCTGCTGCTGTTGTTGTGTTTGTTGTTGGGAAGGTGGACCGGATTGTTCACTTATGGAGTTACCACTAGAACCCGGTATATTGATGAGTGAGCTGAATATACTATTTGACCGCGAGCCAATTGAAGGAGCTGTCGAATGATGTATGCGAGGGTTTGCTGATGTCGTCTCATACGACTGTTCTGAAGTGGGCCGAATTTGTGACGAAGATATTGGAGGTGGTAGATAAATGGAGTCACCTCTACTTCGTGTAGCAAATTGTTGTGGATGGACTGGCTGTGATTCTTGTTGCTGCTGCTGTAGAGTGTGCGGTTGTGGCACTGAAGGATTTGATACCTGTTGTTGTGACCTTTGGAAAGGCTGGTTCGAAAAGAGGTTGCTCATCTGCTGCGGATAATGCGATTGAGATTGCAGTGGTTGTTGCTGGTTATGCAGCTGTTGATGTTGGGACGGGGTATTTGGTTGTTGTGAGTGTTCCAAATAGCTCATTGGATAGGTCGTGCACTTTGTTCCGTGTGTTGCTATGGAATATTGGCCCAGGTTGTGTGTGTTCTTGCGGTATAATCGAAATATCTAAACTTACACACAGGAAAAGCAATCAATCAGTTGTATTGAGATGTTTCAAGGTCAATGTATTGCAGATTTTAACAAAGTGATCAATTGTTACTAATGTGGTGCTGTCAATTGGAATTTTATTGCTGTTTAAAAGTTGTGGTTGATGATACGCAAAAGTGATGATGCATGTTTGCCCCAAAGGATAACGGGCGAAAAAACAACAACAACAAAAATTAAAAATTAAAAAAAATAATTGATAAAAGGTTCACACAGGAAGAGCTAATTGTGTCGATACTGGTTGCACTAATGGATGTTTGAACGTGAACGGTTGGTAAAATTTGTAGTGCCTTGTGCTTCTGAATGTGTTTGCCTAATAGTGTGTTAGTGTATGTAATTTTATGATTCTCGGCGTTGGTTTTAATTTGTCTTTTTTATTTTTTTCTTATTTTTTTTGTTTTTTTCTCCGCTGGTTGGGCGAGAGAATGGCGAGAGGGAAAGAGAAAGGGACGGAGTATCTGTATGTATGTATTTGTGTATGATGATGATAATGATAATGATGATGATGATGATGACGATCAAAGTTTTGTGCATGATTAAATTTGGGATTACGAATACCTTTTGTACGATGAAAATAGGAGATTAACTACAATCCAGATACTTAGCAGGCGTATTATAATTTTAGAGAGTAGAATTGAAAACGTTTGACCCGACCCTGATGTATTTTTAGGGGAATTTACGAGAGTTACGTGACGAACAAAGGGTTAACTAGGAATCACTAGAGCCATCGTCATATATATACACAGTATGGTAAATGTTTATGTGCCATAGTAGGCGATTGCGAGAGTAAAACAAGGAGAAAAGATAATATCCCCTCTGTAACATCCCTTCCCTTTTAACGGTTATACTGAAGCAATTAGCGAAACTATAACCTAAGTTGCAGTATACAGAATCATTTATAATTGATTCTCTATTGACAAACACATTTACATTGGAAGGGGTAGATATCAATTGCATAGAGTAGTTCTGGACTCTTCAACTTAACGTACTTACATGCACTTACACGCAACTGCATTGAACAGGCCATTTGTGATAAAAGACATAATCATGCTTTTCTTTTTATTCTGTCCCATAGTATCTTCTTCGTAGGTAATAATAATTTTGCTTTTTGTGAGTAAGAAGGGTATGAGGGGAAGGGTCCTTTGTTTTTCAGCCACACATGGTTCGGGAAAAATTCCTGAGCTTAGTTGACTAAAATATAAGGCATCCCAGAATGATCGTACATACAACGTGCTCTCGCTTTATACTCGTTTTCCTTCCTTGTCCCGCAAATTCAAGGCGGCAATTTTTGTAATATTTCCCTACATAAAAGAAAGAAAGGGGAATTCATTACGATCTTGTGCAACAAATGCCAATTCCATTGGCTACTAATAATACACACTCGTGAATTTTCTTTTCTTTTTTTTTTGCAATCAAACATCTGAAACTACAACACGCTTCTCTTCATAGCTGCTTAGCTTCCTCGAGGCTTTTGCTTAGAGACGAGCTCGCGTCTTTCGTCCATCACTATTTGAATAACACGCAACAACTCATTCAACATATGTTGAAGGCCCACCATGTCTTCATCCACTTTGCCTTCACTGTCCAACATTCTCCCTTCAAACCAACTGGAACAACTTATATCCAACCTAAGGGGGAAAGTAAAGCTATGAACAAGTTTGACAAATCTCAGGGCGATACTAATGAAACGCCGCTGACGATACAAACTGGCTTCGTAATTTTCATCCAAGCGAATAACAGCCACGGCTAGCACTGTTTTGACACAATAAACGAGATCGTCATGTGATAATAGTTCAGCTTTATCCAAGTCGCACTGCTCAACTTGGGGATAATTGGGGCCGGGCAAGTGTCTTGTTATATCAAAATTGGGATACATGTTTTTCAGATGAACGAGTGTATTGTTGGAGGTTGAGTTGACATTGATTTGATCTAAAACATCCGCAGAAGTGGCATTAGTTAGAGGAACACGGTGGTCACGATCATCATGATCTCGGCTCTCATTCTCTACGGATGCGTCGTCAAGTGATTGAGACTGCCTCTGCTGCCCGGTACTTGCCTCATTTGACAATGGTTCTTCTTGACTCACTGGAGATAAATCTGAAGTGGCAGAATGGCTTTTTTTGGTTGACTCAGTACACTTGCACTGGTGTTGAACTGGACCATCTCTTTTGATTTTCGAACCACCAGCCTCACGTACGGGGGATTCTGCGACACGATCAAGCTCCTTCAACGGATCTGTTTGCATAGATTTGCAAATCTGTGGTTTGAGCTGGGGATTAACATTTGCATCACGATCTTTTAGCAAGGAATTCAATCGCTCAATTTCTTGAACCAATTGTTGATTATTGGTATTGAGTTGCTTGATCTTTTCTTCCAATAGGCTATTGTTGGAATTCATTCTTTTATTCTCTTCAAGTAGCAGGTTGTTGTAGGAATTCAATTGCTGATTTTCTTCAAGTATCTGGCTCTCATTTCTTTTCAATTGTAGCGTTTCTGCACGTAAAGAGACAAGCTCTTGTCGCATAAGAAACAACTCACGATTTCGTAACTCATCATCAGACATGCTATTCACGTCATAGAGTGGTTGTTTGGCACTAGTTCCATTCTTGGTTTGAGGTTGTTGATTGTTTATCTGTGGTGAATTTCCAACTGCACTTTGGTAAACGGAGTGATTTCGACTTGGGCCCAACCCGTTTCGATTATCTGGCAGCATGGAGGAAGGGTTGGGTCGATGTTCTTGTAAACTATTCGTCGTTGATGCCTTATCGCGACTGGGTACAAAAACACCTCCCTCTCCAGAGCGAGATCTCGAAAATTGTCCCTCGATAAAATTATGATGTGGTAAATTGGTTAGGTTCTCGAAACTGGGACTACCTTCATGCATCGGCTCGTGTCGATTCCAACCATTTTGGCGGCCAGATAGCGGAGTGCTTTGGTTCAACGCAAGTGATTTTTGCTTCATCATCTCGAATCCCAGTAGCTGACTTGGATCAAGCTGCCGCGTGCCATTATACTTGAGCTCTTCTCTTTCGAAATCAGTTGCTGATGCATTCGTTTGTACGGCACCATGAAAGCCTAAATTGACAACATCTTCATCTGCCAATATGCTATTTGTCGAGACCGAAAATTCAATCGTGGGTGAGCCAATGGAATCTATGGGTAAGTTGGACCTATACCCAAATGAATCTGATCGATTTGGAGAAAAATGAGAATGCATTGTGAACACTTGGTATCTGATGTGATAATGGTAAAGGGTCAATTGTATGCATTGGAAATCTAAAAAAAGGAAAAAAAAAAAAATAACAAAAAAACATCTAGATTTGCGACGCGTATTTGACAGATAAGAAGTTCAAAGTAACAGTTTTGAAAATAGGTGACAGACTGCCACTAAGCTGACTTAAAACTTTCCCTAATACCATACAATATTGTAGCGAACTTGTAGACATGGTCGAATCCTATTTTTGAAACTGTATTCAAAAACCAATGAGGTACAAGTTTAGTACAGCCTACTCTACTCACCATGACTCGCAATTATATTGTACATAGAAGAACTGACACATCCAATAAGACTGAGTATAGGAAATTGCAAAACCAATTTCCTAAATCATGGTCTGTTTCAAAGACTCAAATCCATCCCAAACAATATAATGATACATTACATTATCCTACACAAATGTTAAAAAAAGGCACTTGAAATGGGGGGAGCAACTCCCACTCTTGCAATGTGCATGTATGCGTCGTCAGCCGGTTTCTTACTTTTTCAATGAAAAAGGCTCCATAAGTAGTCTGGCTTTCAGTATCCATAATTAAAAACTACTCCACAGCGATTTACATTCTTTTAAGTTGAGTTGGTTGTACACCACTCGTTCACCCGAAAAAAACTGACTTCGCCGTATTGAAAGGTATCTCATTCAATCATTTCCAACGTATTCGGAGTGTCCATGACCCCTATTCTAGTCTCGTGGTAGTAAAAATTCAAGGTGTTCATTTGAAGCTGATGTTTTTTTTTTTTTTTTTGCAGAAATCCTTTAGCGCTCTCTTCGTATAAAGTGACTTTCTATCGATTATATACAGTGTTCTGATGTTCGGTGTGGCTGTAACATAAATGACAAATTATCTATACTTTCCACTTCATCCAGTCATGAGATTTCCTGGTGATTTGTTTTTTTATCGGTCAGTTTTCATGTAATGAGACTGTAATGGCAATGACACAAGTGTCGCAAAAGCATCGTTTGACGACTGTTTTAAAACTGTGTGTGAATCTCTACCAAATGACATCAAGATTTTCATCATCACTGAAGCACATGTTATCGAGGCCAAAAGTAACCAAAGAAACGCGTTTTGTTTTATACTATAGGTGTGTATCATCTATGTTTGAAGTTACCCAATAGTTGATGCAGGTAGATCGCTTCTAATGTCTCTTGTAGACAACAAGTTTGCTGATATTTAGGTCGACAAAGATTACAAGGTGGAACTACAATGTCAACTACTTTTCACCAGCATTCAATTGAAATGATGAGCTAAAGAATTAAAATACAAACAAAGCTATGCATCTATGTACTTAGATCTTGTTTTCCTTGACACCGTGTTTCCAAATGGCAACGTATGGGGTAGTTCCGTCTTCTCTGTAGTTCAACAAGACAATCATAGCATCAGGGTCCATGGATTCACCAGTGTAGAAGTCCCAATCATTGAATGATCCCAAAACTTTCTTGACGTATTTGGTAGCACCCTTTTCGAAATTTTCAACTTCATCTGGGTTGTGTTCAGCCAAATAAGCCTTGACTCTCTTCATGTAACCTTTGATGTAAGTGGTGAATGATTTCTTGTCAAACTGAGTTGGTTGCAATCTGAATGAGTAAACAACGTTGTTGACAGTTTCAGAACCATCTTCCAAAGCTTCTTCAGCATCTTCAGCAGATGGGTTAGCACCAATATCAATGTCACCGTTACCGACATTAACCATAGCACAATCAGCTTCGTAAACAGCGTCATCAACTAACTTAACATCGTAAGCGTCGGACAATAACTCGTCGTTTGAAATAACGTCTTGGTAGATAATCATTGTGGATAATTGATTGCTTTGATGAAGAACAGAGAGATGGGATTTTCAATTGAAAATTTTATAAATGGGAAAAAAAAAAAAATTACGATGTTGGAAAGAAAGAAAAAAAGAAAAAAAAAAATTTCTCCCGATGCATCACGTGGCATAAATTTGTTCAATTTCCTAAAGCGGTAATCGGAAGCGGACACCGCGAGGTGACTTGACTATTAGCAACAACATAAACTCAATCAAGTCGAAATGGCGTTTCTCACCTGAGTTCACACCGAAAGTTGCAAATAGACAACTATTTAATCTGTTTCTTTATTTCACCAGTGGTTTATCTGTGCGTATCTCCTCAACTTCAAGAAAACGTGGTATTTATCTTTAGTGACCACAAAACAGCAATCGGTAAGCTTTAAATTGACAGATTTCATTCCTTCACCACCAATTACGTCTACTCGAAAACAGACACAGAGATGTTCTTACTATACGCATCATTATTGTAACCTCGAACTTACTATATTCGTGATATTTTTCGGGAGTGGAGTGGGGACTTATCAAGGATCATCCCCTAGTCTGCATTCGGTCTTACACAAAGATTTTCTGCACAACAAATTAATAACCAGAGATATTTGCAATACTTTTCAATTAAGCCACCACTACCTGTCACATCACTTCACCAATACGCTTATAACAAAAAAAGATTAGAGCAGAATCTCATTCATCACACATAAATGCCCGCACTGGACGATACAGACTCTGGACAGCGAGTAGATATATTGATTACAGCTGCTCCTAACATCAAGGACATTTACAGAGTGCAAAAGTCACAAAAAATGAGTAAAGTTCTAAGAAAGTTTTGCCAAAGAAATAACATGAACCTCAAAGAATTTGACCTTTACTTTGAGAATCAAGGCATAACTTCGATTGATAGTCCGGAATCTTTGGAGATGCGAAACGGGGACAGAATTGAATGTCGGGTTGTTTTTGATGGGGTCATGAGGAAAGCTTAACACCAGCTTGAGTAGAAAACCTATGTTTAAAGTCATCTAGTCATTTAAAATCATTCATCTTTGTTCACGTGTCGCGTGATGGACAAGCACACATTCTCTTTTGTGATATCAGTGTCCACATACCAAAATATCTCAACGTTGTAGTCATGACCCAAAATCATTTTCAATGCATGCACTCTGCTCTCGTCAATAATCCTCCTTGCTTTGATACCGTATTCATATCTCTGTTTGGAAGTGAGACCTGAATCAACGTTGTCTTCGCTGGTGCTGTCACTATCCAAATTTACTCCCCATGAGACCATCTTCGTCAACGTCGTCATTGACTGACGTGTGTTGAAACCAAGGTTAATCAAGTATTGCTTGGACTGTGGTAGAAACTCATCTTGAAAGCAGACATGGCGACAGCACATTGCTATTAGTACGCCTCCAAACCGTTTTCCTTCAAACAAGGATGAGTTCAAAAGCAGCTTCAATGTGAGATCAGTAGCTGCTCCACACAAATGTTTCGAGATCGCCACCACTCGAGTTGGATTTACATCTTCCAAAAACTTGTCAAGATTTAGATGTTTTATATCGATTTTGCTTCTTTTGACTATAGGTGTTATTTGAAATGGTTCCGAATCTTGAATAATCTTGTTATCAGCTTTGAGACGATTTGTACCTCGGTCAATTAACCCAAACCCATATCCCTCGGCACTTTTCGAAAAATCACGCAACACACATTGATTCACATACCGTGAGAGCTCGCCTTTTCCACAGCCAAACTCCATATAAAATGCATCTAAGGAGAGCAACCTGAGACGTTTCAAATTGCCTATAAGTGATGACTGCTGGATCACATGCTTTTGATTTGTCTTTTCTTGCAATTGCAGTAGTAAACCATCATGTTGACATACGATTTTCTCAAGTGGCTCAAATTCAATCTTGTCCAATACTTCTCTGCAGTAATTATCATCCTGTTCAGGACCATCAACAAAATCGACATCAACTGAATTGGCCATCTGGGAATTGAAATTCTCTATGTACCATAGATCATGCTCCTTCTTCGGACGAGCATTACATTTTTCCAAATGAGACTTTAGATCCTTTTCCCATATCGTGTGATTTGGATTCAATGGACAGGGGATACGTTTTTGACTCGAGCTCGCGTCATGAATCATATGCTCTGAACAAAACTTGTTCTGCTTTTTCCTCAACATTCGACACCTCTTATTCTTCTTGGGTATTACGTATTCACACTGATACAATTGAGGCTTATCCAGCTTTTGCTTTTTTAGCTCTGGCCCTTCAGTCATGGCGGTGGGTGGCTTGAAAGTTGCAAAATACAAAAGATCATCGAATCCAAAAGCCAAAAAGAAGAAGCAAAAAAATAAAAATAAAAAAAAGTAAAAAGGGAAATAGTCGATCTCATCTCGCATCTCTCTCCATCAACATCTCACAGAGCTCAAAAATGAAGCACACCAACCAAATGTGGAAACTAGACTTGCTAGAGGCTAGTTTTGAAAATGCTCCTCCCAGGTACCCTCACACCAAGAAGTTGTTGTTTGCATTGAAGCATAAGAACAAGTTGGCAAAGAAACTACCGACAAACAAGGAGGAGGCGAAAGAGGAGATCAAGAAACTAAAAGCTCTATATTTTGGTCAAAAGTACCATGCTGCATATAGCAAGTTGGATAAGGAGATTAGGAATTTTATCAAGCAAAAGAAAGCACCTGACGTGTTTGGAAAGGACGAATTTCTTCAACAATTGATAACTTCAAAATTAATCAAATGCATTGGATCCACTATTTTGTCAAGCAAACAATTGAAAAGCAACCCACCAGACTACATTCCCGAAAATATCAGGAAACACATCTTGGACAAGTCCAGCCCTTTCAACCCATCACAGTTTTTTGTACAATACTGCCAAAATTCCAAAGAGGTAAACAATTACTGTTCAAATCTATGGAATAACAAAAGTGTCAAATCGACATTGGGCGATATAGAATGGAGCTTCAAAATGGTTAGGGGAAACTTATCGAAGCAAGATTTTGAAGAAAGACGAAAACAAACTGGAAGGGCTGTAAATGAAAATCAAAACCTGGATGATGGAGAAAATGATGATATATCAGATGGAAGCTCGGACAATTCGGCCGAAAGTGACTTGGACGATGAGGAGAAACTAGCTGAATTTGATGGAATGGTTGCTGCATCGGATCAAGATGACGACGAGTCTGACGAAGGTTTAAACCCAGAGATAAACTACAATGAGGTCACTGACGAAGAGCCTTCGGAAGCAGAAAACGATGATGATGATGATGATGATAGTGATGATTTTTTTGACGAAGAGCCGTCGAAAAAGAAGTCAAAAACTGGCAGTATAGATGACGAATACAACTTGCCTGAACTAGCTCAAGGTTATTATTCAGGAGGTTCCGACGATGAAAGTGACGACGTAGACAACGATGACGTGGTCAAGTCCATCACTCAACAGCGGAAAAATCGAAGAGGCCAAAGAGCTAGACAGAAAATTTGGGCCCAAAAGTATGGTAAAGAAGCAAAACATATCGTCAAGAATAGGGAGCGAGTCCAAAGCGAACGTGAAACAAGACAACGTGAATATGAAGAGAGACAAAGAAAGAGAGAATTGAAAGCGCAATTGTTGGCTGAAAAACAGAAACCGACCGGTGCTAATACGGAGCCTCTAGGTGAGCGCAAGTTTAGAGAATTGTCAGCTACTCCTACTGAAGATAAGAAGATCCATCCATCATGGGAAGCTAAGAAACTAGCTGAAGAGAAATTGAAAAATGTTAAATTTCAAGGTAAGAAAATCACTTTTGATTGATGAGGCATTTATAATAGATCGACATTTACCTGGAAACTGTGTAGAATTTCTTGCTCTGTTGCTTCATTGCACCATGACTCACCTTGTATAGTAAAGTAGTAATGGCATTTTTCCGGTTCACTGACAGACACTATTTCCGGTCCCTCTCCACATGCAAATTCAACAGTTGCAGACCGTTTCGGTCCATTCCAGCATCGAGCACCTTGATCATAGATTACCTTGTTTTCCTTATACTCTTTAAATTTACCAATGAAGATGTCATCCTGTGAGACCCCTTGAAGCAAATTGACTCTGTAGTTGTATCCACCCAAGTCCTTAGTAAATGTTGTTTGATCGTATGCGCGTAACAAGTCATCTGGTCCGTAATCAGAGCTCAAATCTTCTTTGATAATTTGTATCTTCGTCTCTAGCCTTTCCAATTCCTGTTCGAACTTTTCAACTTCATGGTCCAACTCATTACTAGACAAGTCTGATTTGTACTCAACCACCGGTTTGGGTAAAAACTTATCCACGGCAAGCTGGTAGTAGTATCGGATCATATTTGGAATTGTTGGCGCGAAATTGTCAACGTTCTTCACACCCAGGTGCGACATTTGCTTCGCCTTCTCCACCAACTGAATGATAATTTGATTAGTCTCGTGTATATCTTCCAAAGCCTCTTCTTCTTTATTCGAAACATATTCCTGAAATTTTTGAATAACCTCTTTTACGGCAGCATCATTGAAATTGGGGTTGTAATGGGTTGATAAAAAGTCCAATATAGTTTCCAAGGCTTGAAGCTTGGATTCTTGGTGTAGGATATCCCGCTTGTGCAATTCCAATTTATCTGCCAACCCTCCAAAATGCTCACGCAACTCGTCAAAAACTGAATTGTCTTGAACTTCCATATTTTCTGCTTGAAGTTTAGCATTATTGATTTTGGCTTTCAATTCAGGAACTTGCACTTCTAAAGAATTCAATTTGTTGAGCAACTTTTGTCTTTTATGCTGGGCAATCTTGATAGTTTTTGCCTTTTTCACAGCAGCCTTCTTCAAGAATGCTAACTTTTCCTTCCTATAGTCCTGAAATTGACGGTTAACCTCTTCGCATTTATTCTCGCAGCCACCCAATTTCCACTCATCAGATCCATCACAGCATAAATCATAATCACACACCCCATCATTCACTCTGGATTGGTCAATGTAATTCAGAAAGAATCCCTCATTGACGCAGAAAAATTTAGCTGGAGGGTTTGGGCATGCATTGGTTCCCGGCTCATCTGATCCGTCAGGACAATCACAAATGTCGTCGTTGATTTGATCGAAACGTAATATGATGGAGGTGTCATTTAAACAGGTCCAATATAGATTTCCTTGCTTGTCTTCTTTTGGCAGGTATAGGTGTTGACGCTCATTACTGACACCTATAACATTGGCATGTACCAAAGGCAAAACAATTGCCAAAGCAAGGGGTAGTAGTAGCATGCTTTATTATGGTGTCCAAGAGGACAATAATAGAGTATTTCAAGGGGTGTTCTTTTTTTTTTTTTTTCTTTTGGCTTTTGGCTTTTGGCGCTTCTGAATATTTACTGCAAAAATGATGACACGAGGTTTAGATCAATTTCTGCTCTAAGTTACCACTACTCTATATGTATCCCCTAATCCAAAGTGATGCACTCGCCATTAACTGAAAGCTCGGATAATACCTCCACTGCCTTGTTGACCACTACATCCATCGACACTTCCGCCAAATCGCCTTTCACGATCTTTCCCATTTCGGTGTCCTTCACCAAGGCAGGAAGAAGAGCATTCACCCGCACTCTTCCCTTCAATTCATGTGCTAAACTCTTTGTGAACCCCAAAAGACCAGCTTTGGAAGCAGCATACACGGATGTTCCCGGCAACAAATGATGAGTCAACGACAACACAGATGCAATGTTCAAGATAGATGGGTTTTGGTCCCTTTGCCGCATCATATGCTTGACGCATAATTGGCTCAAAATTATGGGTACAGTGAGGTTTAAGTTGATGGTCTCTGTAATCTGCTTCTGAGTGGTTCTTTGTAAAAGAGTGTGCGTGGTTATTCCAGCGCAATTGACTAGAATAGAGTGTGATTTAAACAGATCTTGAAGCTTGGATAAGTTATAGTTCTCTTGTACCAAGTGTAGCAAGTCCACCAGTAGAATTGCGTGTTGTTGATCATATTCCGACGAGAGCTGTTTCACCGATTGCTTCAACACACTTTCATTGTTTGCTAATAGTGTTATTGTGGCGCCCTGGTTAGCAAGTTTCTTGGCTATGGCTAGCCCAATTCCTCTGGACCCTCCAGTAATTAGTGCCGATTGCCCCTTGAACATTTGGTTATGTGGAGGATTAAGAAAAGTAAAAAGTAGTGTAAAGTTGTCGTGTCTCCTGTCGCTTTCTTTTTTTTTTTCTTTATTGTTGTTTTTCATTTTTTCTGTCTGTCTCTGTTTGTAAGGAGAGAGAGTGTGAGTGAGATTGGCTTTTGTTTACATTTTTCCCCTTTTAACAATCGTCTCTCTCACAGTTTTTTGTTTTTTTTGTTTTTTTTTGTTTTTTTTTTTTTGTTTCCTGAGATCAGAAAGTATTCTTTACAAACTCACCTTGGATTACCAACCACACTTACAATAGGATTATGGTATGTGACCTCTTACGAATTATCATGTGGGGGGTGAGGGAGAGAGAGAGAGAGAGACAGAGAGAGACAGAGACTGGAAAATAACCTTCAGACGCGTCCCCTTATTCCTTCAACTATACTAACAAGCACTCACTAGTCACAAAATACAAAAACTTACAAGGACGCATTTGCACTTTTTGACAAAAAGGGCACTGGAAGAATCCCAGTAGAGCACTTGGGTGATTTATTACGAGCAATTGGACAGAACCCAACCCTCGCTGAGATTGCAGAGCTACAACAATCCATCAAGACTCCTGATTTCGATTTTGAAACATACCAAGAAATCATCAATCGTCCTGATGGGTTCAAACCTTTGGGATTGCCAGAAGATTACATAAAGGGGTTCCAAGTATTTGATAAGGAACAAACTGGATATATCGGAGTTGGTGAATTGAGGTACATTTTGACTTCTATTGGCGAGAAATTGACTGATCTGGAAGTGGATGAATTGTTGAAAGGAGTAAATGTCACTGCTGATGGAAATGTTGATTACGTTGAATTTGTCAAATCTATATTGGATCAGTAGATCAGTGTTTAGTTTGGTTTGGTTTAGTTGAGTACGTGGTTTGACTTTTTTTTTTTTAGAGTTACTATGCTGTAGGATGAGATCTCTTTACCAAGCGGGCCAAAGAGAAAGAAAAAAATTCCTTTCAAGCACGCCAACATATTTTTTCCACTTTTACACCAATCCTTAAATGTCCCTCCTCACTGAGGTCCAAAGTGGTCTTGAGGCTCTCCAGAATGAGCGAGAATATGACCCTTGTCAAAACGAAAGATTCCACCTTTACCCCAAGGATAGAATAGAAGCACTCGCAACCACATCTGGCCTAGTTGGTCTAATGACTGGGTTCTATGATGGTGTACAAAAGGCAGCAGCACGCTACTTACTCGAGAATGGACATCGTTTACCAAAGACCAAAGGAGGATGGTATTTTTATCACAAGAGGAAAAACTACGAAATCATAGTGGGAGGTACGTCAGCCGGAATCAAACGTGGCATAAAGTATGGTAGTGTAGTGGGCAGCTTGTTTTTGATTGAATACAGTTTGGACTACCTACGAGGACAAATTGATTTTATAAATACGACGGCGGCAGCACTAGTTGGGACAACAGTGTACACGAGGTTTCAACATTTGAGTCGCTTACAGACAAGGAAAATGATTATGAGAGGAACTACAGCAGGATTGGTGTTGGGTATAATACAAGATTCGCTAATATATGCACGTCTGGGGCATATATGGTACGTTGATGAATATAAACGTCAATTCAAGTGATTGTGAGTAGAGCAGCACAGTCTTGTTCACTCCTCGTCGGAATCGTCCAAGTCCGGGATCGGATACTTTAATAATGCGGCTACCCCAGTCAATTGATTCAATTGGATACCCAGCTCATGCAAACTTGAAAATATATACACTTTGGCACCCATGCGCTTAGCCTGTTCTGTCAAGTCAATGTACTGTCTTCTGGTTTCTATGTCGTCACTGCGAAATAACTCATCCGAGACCATCAAGTATCGAATGGCATCTAAATTCAATGCTTTTGTAATTTCTTCTAAACCGTACCATGCTCTTCCATCGTCGTCATTTAATGCTCGTTGAAAGCGCAGTAGGGCTTGTGATTCTTCGAGAAACTTGGTGTCTGATAGTTTTTTTTGCAGTTGTGGGTCAGCCAACACTTCCTCCAACCCTTGTAAGTATCCCGTTGAGGAATGTGTTACTAATATCTTGTTCTTGTTGTCTAGGATCAGTTGACAAATCTTTGATTCCTTGGTAGATGCATTTTGCATTGCTAGACATTCCTGTATCAACCGCTCGTACAATGTTTTTGCTAGAAACCCTGGAGAGGCTAGGATAATAACTTTTAGCCTGTTGAAATCAAAATGGCGGATAATTCCTTGAATGATCATGTTGTAAAATGAATTCATAGCTTTATCTAGGTCCTTGGTTCCATAATCTTTATTCTTTCTAGGGATTGATTTTTCAATCTTGGATTGTAAAACTGTCATTTGATCAGTTACGTAGCACAAATGGGCGACCCCTTCTTGAAACACAACGGCCCCAATATCGGCTTTCTTTTCAATAGAGCTGAGCTCTTCTAACAACGTCATATCGTACTCATCCCAGCTTGATTTGACAATGCTGACATCTTTGTTCAACTCAATTTCAGCTGTGTGATAGCTATTCAAGGGCACATACTCTTGCTGTAATAATGATTTCCCATTAACTCTCATCACCAAGTCGCTAGCAATATAGTCAACATCTTCTACCAATAGCCTCAACTTTACGAGAATCTTCTCCATCTTCAGTTTACCCTTGGTGACTTGGTTTTGATTGCCCTTTTTCACATTTCGATGCGTGAGCAACTGAATTGTATCGCCTTTCTTGATGAGATTGTACAAGTACCACAAATCCTCCGAGTCTTCTGGTACTAAAGTAACAGCAACATTCTTGTCTTTCAACTTGGCCTTGTTCTTTACTTGCATTGGGTGATTGGGAGGAGCTCAAGTGGGGCAGGGGCAAAGAGATGTAGAGAGATGCGATTACTAAAAATTGCGTTCCTACAGTTTTCTTTTTTTTTTTTTTATTTTATTTTGTTCTGATTTATTTTCCGCGCTGCTTCTTTTTTACCCAATTGCATCCATGCGTTTGGTAATTATATAGTTTGCAAAACATTTCACACCCTAATTAATGCTCTTGTAGTCGACTACTCCTTTATAATCCTTTATTCATTACCTTATAAACATTAAAATTCTAAATCGATTCATGATTAATTTTGATTGGTTTCTCCAAGAGATGTCCCATTCTTTCAATTTTAGTACTCAAGTACCCCTCAATTTCCTTACTTTTGATACCATTTGCACCGTCTTTTCCTTGCTCCCTCCAACTCAAAGGGATCATTGGAATTCTTTCCTTGACTTTCACTTCCTGATGTTTACCTTCAACGGCAATGATTTTGTCGGGATTGTTCGTTAACAATCTGATCTCCACTAACCCCAAATCAAGTAAGATTGCTGTTGCTAGTGAGAAATTACGAGCGTCTGCTGGATGTCTCAAGATCAAGTTAGCTTCAACGGTGTCAGCTCCGAGATCCTGCAAATTGTAAGCCTTTAGTTTTTCTCCAAGACCAATTCCTCTCCCCTCTTGTCTCAAGTAGACCATACACCCGTGTCCGTTTTCTCCCATAATCTTTCCTGCTTGGTCAAATTGCTCACCACAGTCACACCTTGCACTCCATGCAGTTTCACCCGTGTAGCATTCTGAATGAATACGAACCAAAGTGGGATTGGAATAGGTGAGTTCGTCAATAATCAAATTGCCTTGCTGGTCAAACTTCAATTGATGCCCATTCTCGGCATCATGATCAGCGCTTGTTCTACCAGGCGTCAATTTGCCAATATATGCCCCTCTCGTCATTCTGTCTTGTTGTGTCTCTGCAGGTCTTTGTTTGAACAAGGACCTAGACCTGATATCTTCGCCAAACACTATAGCTAGATGCTCCTTATTATCAACGTTGTTTTCATACAAATGCAAAAAAATGTCTGGCCCGTGAGTTGTGGGGATACGTGCCCTGGCTACACAGTTAACCACTGGGAGTTCATCAGGTAGATTGGTGTGATCTCGCATATCCTGAGTTATTACTGGTGGTGGTTGTGGTGTACCCACAGGTCTTGAAGACAACGGGAGGTTGGTGCTGGATGGACGAGGCGTCACCATGGGAATCTTGGCGATATCTGGCACATAATGCTTATTGTGGGTGTTAACCCCATTTTGTTCCCGCAATGGTGAGCCACTATTGCGTGTTGCGGCTGGTTGAGGATGGTGCAATAGAGACATTTTTGTAAAACGAGTGTGTGATTTGTATAGTTGTTGATATTGTTGTTGGCGCTGAGACGTGGGGTTATTCTTTTTGTTCAAGAGTGGATGACCAAACGAGTATTCTTTTTTAAGCAGGTTATCTTTTCTTCTTGATGCAATTTTTTCTCCTGCTAGTATAGTGTCCGTAGTTGTAGTTGTAGTTGTAGTTAATGATGAGCTTGAATCTATATCAACTGTCATACGGTTGGTTACAAGATTCTCAGTAGTAAGCTCTTTCTCTCTTCTTCGGTATTCGGCTGAAAGCGTTTGAAAAATTATTTATTTTTTTTTTTTTCTTTTGGCTTGTGGTTGTGGTTGTGGTTGTGGTTGTGTGATGTATTTTGGATTAGTCAACTTTATTACGAGATTTTTAGTAATGGATTTCTAATTAGTTGCAAACCACACAAATTTTATTTGTAGATGTATTAACTTTATTTAAATTGCAGTAGACAAAGCTGAGGGAACAAGTCTGGCTTATTTATACTCATTGAAACAGAACTCGGATCTTTGTTGAACTAAACTACTTTCTCTTTGATGACCGAAACGCTGAAGTATTTTGTGCTACCAATTAATTTTTTTGCAAAATCGAATGTTTGTATTGTTGTTGTATGTTGTATGTTGTAACAGTAGTGAGTGAGTACTGTAGACCAATTCAAAGTGCGAGTTCGGTAAATCTCTTGTGCACAACAAAAGAAGTCCAATGCAACTTCGTGATATAGTTTAAGGAGCTTTCTTGGGATGCAGGTGAAACTTTGGGAAAAACAATAAGAGTCTTGGACCGAAATGAGATGGGATCAGAATGAAACGGATAATGGTTCCGTCTATATGTACAATCTGCACCCCACTCCACCCCACCACCAAAATTTGGAATTCTAGTGGTCAATGCGGCACGTGAAGTAATTTTGTCTTTAGTCGTGACTGTCATTAGATCCTGCATATACACAACCAAATGTGTAGAATATTTTCCGGTGGGCCCTTGTACGGCGGACATTGAGTTCCAACGTCAGGAAAAGGTCGTTGTTTGCCTCTTTCTTTTTACTTGACTTTGTTGCAATATGGAAATCCTATTAATAGGAGAATGTAGAGATATCATTGAATGTCAGAAGCATGAGATATCAAATAGATGACAATGAAAAGAGCGACTACGGCTTAGATTTTCTGTGTTTTCTTACGTTGCACGATCATTGGCTGCATCCACTTTTCCAAAACAATCTCTTCTGCTTTGTTGCAAAATCACATTGTTTTGTTTATGGCTTACACTTAATGGGATCGACACTAATGAGATCTAAATTCCTTTATCCTAAAACGTCATTACTGCTAATCAGTTTGAAATATATAATCCAATCAAGCGTCAATAAAGCCAAAAAAAATTCGGTCTTTGAAAACAAGGCAAACCTTCTACGCTAAACACGCGTTGCAATTGGTAATTGACTAAGAAACTATGTCCCCCCCTTTCTCCCACCCACCTCGTTCAACTTTAATGACTATATTCCCTTCAAGAACTCGATAATGTCTTGTTCGCTAAAAGTTTCCAAGTCTGGTACGTATTTTCCCGCTGGCAATTGATGCTTCAAAACCAAAATGCACGGAATTTTACCTCCAACAACATATTCCTTCATCAATTCCCTACCACCTTCGGAATCTGCCAAAATGTTAACCAAGTAAACTGGGCCCTTTCCCGGTGGATACTTCGACTTGTCCGAAAGCACGTCAAATAAAGCTTGTGTCACTTTGTTATCCTTGGGAGTAGCATATGTAAAGTTGAGTAGCAAAGGGGGTTTGACATTGACGTAGTTGTAGATATCCTGTTTATCTGACACCCAAACGTCGATAATTCTATTTTGTGTAGTGAATTGTGATGCTGGTGGCGGGTAGATTAAACGTTGAGATTGCGCTGCATCAGTCCATGACTTGAACCAGCCCCCTAACGAGAATGGTCTCGCTTGATTATAGAACTTGCTTCTTTCAATGGATCTGGCTAAGTTTCTACTAAACATTCTTTGGGATCTCTTGGTATCTGCTAAATTGAAATAAACGGTTTTCCTTTGAGGTTGCTACTAACGCTTCAATTTTCAATCGCGTAAATCAAAAAAAAGGCCAAAATACTTCACGTGACTACATAAAAAGCTATCAATTTTATTTTTTATAAATTTTGCTTGTGAGCTTCCTTTGTTTGCAGCTTTCCAGTTGTATACTGAACTACAAGATCTATAAATATCTCGATATGGCTTTGCTCACACAGTCATTGCTTTTCACAGTCAACGCTTAACCAATAGCTTGCATGTCCGGGTACATGGTTGGATTTGTCCCCTGTGAGAGCATTGTGCAATACGCTGGACTATTCAATTCGTCTTTTGAAGGAAGAGAATGCACCCTTTTCACTACTGGTACAAAACTTCAAAGACGCCATGACTGAGACACTTCTGAACTGCAACGTTACTTTTTGACACGGAAAGAGAAAGTATATTTATTGGAGCAAAAACCTATCAGAATTTGGCGAAAGTGGTTTACATTGTGCAACTGGCAAGACTTTCTTACTCCTATATTCGCCAGGGCTTTCAAATTATCGATGCTTCCTGTACTCGAGAAGGTATAAAGACTCAATCTTGGATCTGCTATGAAGTATACAGCAGGACAGATTTTCTAGCATGTTTTGACTTAGTCTCTGCCTTGGAAATATACCTTCGAGCATATTTACTTCGCAGCAAACAATCTTACTGTAGGTCGACTCGAAAACTTAAAAAATTCGAGCTTCAAACTTAATAATTCCAAAGTTGTGAATTTTCAAATAAGTTCGGGAAAATTAGAGGTACTTGACCTTTCAGCCAATTGGATTGAGGATACCCATTTGTCAATTCCCTGGACCCGCCAACCAGCACGGAAAGTGCCCTGTTTGAGAAGAAGACGAGTTGGAAGATCTCACAATGGAATTAGTAGGTGATAACGGCGGGTGCATACATGGAGGAAATAGACTTGTCAGGTAATCGTTTGGCTCATGATCGCATTTTAGAGTTGAGGAAAAAAAAAAAAAAAGAAATACTGTGATGAGAGGTTGCGAAACGCAATGCCCGGGACCCAAAACCCGATGTGTGAGTAAAGCTAGTAAATTTCGTGAATTTTGCCTTGGCTCTAGTATGGGCATTTTATGACTCTAGAATTGATTGTCTGGCAGTTTTAAAGCAAACTTGTGTGGTTAAAAAAAAAAGGTTCTATCTATGTACACGACGTCCTATCTACTCTATTCATCCCAACCATCCTTCCATCTCTTTTTCCAAAAATTACAATCAAACTGTGGTTTCCCCAACTTTTTGTTAACATCGTTATGAGCCTCACAGAGCCACTTCCCTAGATCATCCTGTGATTTTGTTTCCGGTTCATGTTTGTCTATATACTTGACAAAGTCTTCGCCACAATACCAGCACGGATAGAATCCAGCAAACAAGTTTAGAAACAGTCTCATGTCTTGCTGCTGTTTGGTGGTTGGAGTTTCCGGGAAAGTGGCCGCAATTGAATGGAGCAAGGTCCACGATGATTTTCCCAATCGTGCCACATCTGGTGGATCTTCTTTAGCGTACTTGAGTTCGCCACCGGGAGATGTACTAGGGGTTTCTTGTGCCTTTGCAACAGCTTTAGGATTCTTTATTTTGCCAGTCACGAATTGAAAGTCTGATAATTCGTTACAAGTACGGCACCTATTTATTGCAGTGTTAGTAAGCAAGGCCAAAATGAAGTGGTGTCTTTAAATTACATACGGTTTTCCATCTTTGTCGTAGATGATTTTACGTCCAGAAAGACCAAACTCTGGTCTCTTATTGGACGACTCGTTGGACTTCACTTCTTCACCAGTGGAAATAGGCATGCGTGAGATGGTACGTTACTTATCAAGCTGAAACGAACTGAGCTGAAAAAAAAAAAGCTGTAAATTTTGGTGCGCAATAAAACCCACCCATGTATGTAGTACTACCAATATACAAAGTCAACGATATACGCAATGCCGAGACAATGCCTGACTTTAAATATGCTCTGCTCTAACAATGCTCTACTCTAAATATGCTAAACTCTAACGGCCTCTATTTATTGCTGCTCTTTGGTCTTCAATTCTGCAACCAACTTTGCACGTCTTTCCAATACAGCATCACACAAGTCACCCACCTCCTTGGTCTTAATTGCTGATCTTGCTGTATAAAATTGATCCAAATCGTGTTTCAATCCAAACTTTAATTCATATTCGTATGCTGTACTGATCATCTCAAACTTGTCAATATCTTTGACATATCTGGCCTCGGTGTTTCTAATCTCCTCATAGTCAAACCATAACTCAACTAACTCGTCGGCAAACGCAGGATTGTAAGGTTTAATCACCTCATGAAGGAAATGTATGGTCTCTTCTTCTCTGCGATGCTTTTCTGCCTTGGATATCCCAGCATATGGAGTGATATCACCCACAAGTGATTCAGCTATATCGTGAACAAGGGCGATCTTGACACATTTGTCCTTGTTAACATTGGCTGGAGGAGCAATCATTGAGATTATGGACATTCGGTACATGTGGTCAGAAATACTTTCGGTGTCCAATGGTGGTACACTATGATCCAACCATCCGGTACGTTTTTGGAACTTTAATGATGATACGATTTGTAGAAATGCAAGCATATAATTCACAGGCTGGGAAGGTGACTTAGGGACCAATAAGTCCTTGATGTGTTCTGGCAATGCATCCACTGGTTTCCAGTGGTTCTCAGTCAAGTCTTTAATCGAATTCATTGGTGACGAACTTGTGTGTGTAAATCTTGCAGATAATGATGGTGCTGAATATTTGACGAAAGATATATAGTGCCGAAAAGTTTTAAACATTAAATGGAAACAAAAAATTCAAATCCACAGAATTGAGTGAGTAGAGCCAAATATCAAATGGCCCTGGAGTAGTTTTCTGTAGTTTCAAAGTAACGGTGGTCGAAATCTTGATCTGTATAAGCTCATTGTTTTCCTCTCGGAATGTAAACAAACGAATTTTCTTACCGATGAGAGGATTTACGTGCAGGACGATTGTTGGACAGGCAAACCACCCACCCCCCATCTAGCTAGAATCAGCGCTTGCTACAGCATCTTTAACCTCTCTCTCTCTCTCTCTCTCTCTCTACGCTATGTATTAGCTTAATCGGAAAGTAAACCAAGTTCTTATTTCATTAAATTTTTATACAAAGTCAAAGTACATCAACTTAAGCAACCAATTCAACAACACCACCAACAGCTCTAATCTTCTCTTCAGCCAATTTGGAAACAAATCTAGCCTTGACAATGACTGGAACTTCTGGCAATCTACCTTTACCCAAAACTTTACCGTAACCGTGGGCCAAGGTGTCAATGACTGGAGCAGCTGATTTTGAAGAGCTCTTCAAGTATTCATCCTTCTTTTCAGAGTCAACCAAGGTCCACAATTTGTCCAAGTTGATTTCTGGTCTCCAAAAGTGGTTTTGTTGTTTGTGGAAGTATCTCATACCAACTTTACCGAAGTAACCTGGATGGTATTTATCCAAGTTGGTTCTGTGGTGGTGTTGACCACCAGCCATACCTCTACCACCGGGATGCTTTCTGTGTTTACCAATTCTACCCTTACCGGCTATAAAATAAATAATTGTTAGTAAACTAAAACTCATGTTGATTGAAGTTTGAGGCGTCGAGATTGAACTAGAAACGTGGTGCCACACTACATCTGAGTCGTACTGGCGCCACGCTCGAAAAGTGTAAATGCTACTCCTGATGTCTCCACGATGCTGGATCCTCTTTCTATTAATAGTCGCTTGCATCAGTCCCTGTGTATAAGCTCATCTTTCACATTCTCTGGCTCATCCAACATAAAAAATATTCATCTCATGGATCTCCATTACATGAAATCTTCTAGTTCAAAATCTCTCTCTCTCTCCCCCTCCCTTTTAATCCACGTCGATTATATCAATGTACATACCAGAAACATTTCCTCTGTGTTTTCTGGTCTTGGTTAATCTAGTAGGCATTGTTGTGTGTGTAGTTGGTAAACCTCTATATGGTAGGAACCTCTGCCAAAAAGAAAAAAAAATTTCAGTTCCTTTGAAAATCGAAATTGAGAGAGAGTGTGTGTGTGTGTGTATGAAACCGCTACCGCCTACTTAATCTCTTCTCTTTTGTGCTGTAGAACACTACTCTCACCACACAACAGAAAAATTGTACTACGCACTAACTTTAATTCTTTTCTCTTACTAAACTATACATGTTAGGGCTCCAGCCCTCGAGTTTTGTATCTACCCCCATACTTCAGCGTGAGACAGTTTACCTTTTGTTTCGGGGACATAAGTTCTGATAAACCATATACTGAAACCACACATTATCGTAAATATAAAGTAGACAGAACCGCCTATTGCATGCAACAATACTGGGAACAGATAACCCACAATGAATGTGGCAATCCAATTCAAGCTGGTTCCAAAACTTTGTGCAGATGCCTTGGCTTTAGTTTGAGTCACTTCACCCACTAGCAAGAAGGGGATTGGGCCAAGACCAATGGCGAAGAAGGCGATGTACGTGAATGTACCAATGATTGACATTACGGAATTGGTCCATAAGATTCCCAAGCCCATCAACACTGTTGCCACACCGAGAAATGTCACCGAGGTAAGTAACAAGGGTTTACGTCCCACTTTATCGACAATTGTAGCAGATCCAAACGTCACGACAACATTCACCAACGAAATCAAACAATTAATCAAGATTGAATGGTTGGGGAACACCGAAACCAAAACAGACACTCCATAAAAAATGATTGAATTTATTCCATCAAACTGTTGTAAAATCAAAACGCCAGTTGACGCAATGAGCGAAGGTCTGAATTCAGGAGACGTAACATATTCCCATAAAGTAGCAGTAGACTTGGACAGTCCGTGTTCCGTACCTAACTCCCCATTCTCCATTAATGAGTTGCTCTCCTCAGTCGATTCGTCATTGCTCTTCCAGCCATTAACTTCAGCAGTTACTCCAGAATAACTCCCACCTCTCAATCTATGCAACACCGTATACGCTTGGTCGTGATTGCCCTGGTTTACCAACCACACCGGAGACTCGTCGACCCAGATAGTTAATACAATCACATTAACAGCAGCTATCACACCCGCAGTAATCAAAAGCCACCTCCAATCATTATCGTTAGACCACTTGAGAGAAAGCAATTGTGTAAGTAGAATACCCACATTAATGCTGACTTGATTCATTGATCCTAATAAACCCTTTGTGTGTGTTGGTGAAACTTCATTAATGTACAAGGACGTAATGACCAAAGCCGACCCGGCACCTAATCCACATATAAACCTGCCAAAAATGAGTCCATAAAAAGTATTGGCCAATCCATTCAATACAGATCCTATAATGTACATTGCACAATGCAAATAACTGGTCAATTTTCTACCGTACTTGTCAGCTAAATGGCCCACATAGAATGACCCCACTAATCCCCCAATGGAAAATATCGACGTGACAAGACCAATTTGATCAGGGGACATTGGTATGCATTGGAGGTAACCGCGAGACCCCCAAAACGAATCCATATAAGGGACTTGTCCTGGTTGTGAGCGTTTGCATGTGAGTACTAACTCAGGGGAGTTGAGTTCTGCCATGTGATATCCAAATTGCAACGATCCAAGACATATTGTTGAGACTGAAAAAATCAAGTTGGCTGTGAGTTTCAGTTGTTGTGCATGCTGTGCATGCTGCACATGCTGTGATGGTGGCATCGTTGCAATGACAGTGTTGAAATAGCTTGCTATATTGTTATCGGTGTTCAATCGATTTTGTGGGATTTAAGTGAGAAGTCTGGACAGGGAGGAAGGGGAGACGGGGAAGGGAAGCTGCATGCTACCAAAATGCTACCAAAAAAAAAAAAAAAAAAAAAAAAAAAAAATACTACAAAAGTGCAATTCCAGTCCGTTACCATGACACATTATATTACAACAGTATAAAAAATCTAGTTCTAAGTAATAGGTAAGAAGTTCCCCACAATCATCATGGGAATTCCGAAAACATCTCTTTTTAGTGTCCAAACGCAGCCGGTTCTAATCTTGACATCGGGCTTTGGCGTCAACAAAGTACATTCTGTCATTGTTGCACCCAAAAAATCGCCAAAGGCAATTCTCGAAAACACTTGAAAATACTCAACCACGGACTTGTCATCTAGTAATTCGACAATGAACTTGCGCTGCCCCTTACCCATAAGTTGATCTTTGCTCCATCCGGTCAAGACACAAAACTCATCTCCGACATAAGCTATCTCACCCGTTCTTCTCCAAACAATGGTTGGAGTACCGCTAACTTTAATGAAATTGTGGTATGTAAGTAGCGTTCTTTGAAAGCATTGCTCCATAAATACCAAATCATGCTCCTTCAATGAGTTCGTACACGCAATGAACGAAGGTCGATAGTTGGCCATAGATTTTGCCATCTCAACCAACAAGGGCTTGGAAAACCGTTTGCGTAAATAAGCAATAAGCGAGTGATACCCCGGGGTATAGGAAAATGGCTTGTTGACTTTTGCATATATTTCCTCTGGTTCTTTGAAAAACGCCTCATCTTTACCATTGTTGGCACTGTTTGGATTGCTTTCATCGTGTAAAATTCCAATCGAAAATGATAGGTTCAGTTTTGAGTTGCGCTCTTGGTAAACTGCGTAATCGGTGTTTTTCATCTCTTCAATGGCGGTAATTATATCAGGGAATAACGACGTGTTTTCTGAATCTATTTGCCCAATAAAATACTGATTGATTGAATCATCACATTTGGGGTATTTTGACTCCTTAAGTAAAGTGCTCGCATTTCTGAAAGTTGGTGCCCCCATGGGAGCATCCAAAGGGTTGTGCTTAAGCCCATTGGTATATGTTGATCCAGTTCCTGCTTGTGTTTCCACTGACGATGCAGGAGGCACGCTGCTTGTTACACCGGACATGGTTTGAGGTGATAAATTCGGCGAAATGTTGTGTGAGTTAGGTGTAGCTTCATTGGAAGTGGTATGGTGACCACTGAAGTTGTCTTGCAAGATATTGGAAAGTGTAGCATACTCCAAATCCGCAGCAGAGGAAAGAAACTTGGATTTTTTCTGGTACTGAACGAATGATGTTGGTGAGTTTGCATTGGTCGGAGCTCTGCTTGGAGGTTGAGGAGCATACTGTGGCGATATTTGAGCAGTTGCCGCTGATTGTTCTTGCTCGGGTTGTGGTTGGTAACCAGAGTTATTGAATGCATTTTGATAATAATAATCCTGAGAAGATTGTACACCCAGTCCTGGAGCATTATGTTGAAATAAAGTGGCTTGGTAAGTCGTGTGGTTTGAAGGATTAAAGTTATTTGGTTGGGGTAGAAGCACTGGCCGTTGCGGCTGAGGGTACAGGTCATACTGTTCTGGGTACGCCGAAGATGTCCGTTTCAATGGTGGTGACGTAGATTGAACTTGATGTTGACTTGGCAGTTGGAGTGCTGCTGGCAATTGTTGCACTTCAGATTGTGGCCGTGGTGGAGATACAATGGCAGCTGGATTTTGAAAAAGGGCTTGTTGATCTCGCTCATTTGACTGGCGCAGTTGTAAACGACTTTGAATATCGAGGTATGCGTGACTATTCTGGCTCATATTTGTGTTTTGAGGATGAGGTTGTTGCAAAGTTGCATTAAGTGAATACGTTTGTTGTAGTTGATGACTCGGTTGGTACTCCTGAGGTAGACTCTGTGTTCTTTTAATAGCCAAGCTAGAGTTCGGCACATCATTTAGGTACTTTTTCCGTTTTCGAGGAGCATCTTCGCAAGTTTGGTCCAACCCTCGTTGAATGCATCTCTTACAAGGTCGACCTGGGTCACACGTCATATGTGCCTTGTGGCAATGGTTACAAGCTCTCGAGGTTTTCTTCCTCCTCTATAATGCAAAGTTAGCAACGATTATGGATCAAATGTGGAGATCTGAGTTTTTTATACGTACTTGTCTCGCAGCGGGGGTTTCCTTCCCATTACTGTTCTCAAAATCGGAGTCAGAGTATTTCAGTTCCTGACCTTCATTCATCATACTCTTTTTGAAACAAAACTAACTTTTTCTTATATATACATTTGATCTTTGCCAGTTGTAAAGCGGTGCCAAAGTTTGGTATAAAATGGCTGATGTTTGTTTTCGCCTCTATTTACAAAACCCGCACGAAGCAAATGAGAGAAACAAATGTGAACTGAACCATATCCTCGGATAATTGGAGCTACCAATTGCGGTCAAATCTCCCACAGTGCTCATATATCACGTTACAGATTTTTAGAAACACAGGTTTCATGGTGGATATGTACCGTGTTAACTGGTCTCTTCTAATATGTGGTTGGAACACTCTTTTCGATTTTTTTATTCAGTTTGATGTATAATTTTGCAACCAAATGTAAGAAAAAATAAGATATCCTAGATCATCAGCTAAGCTGTCAAAATTAAGACAAGAGCAGTTCAAGTCCTACTACTAAATAACACAGCATATTAAAACTGCAATACCAGTAAATGCCTCATCATTTGCACGGTGCTGCTTAGAGTTCATAGAAAAAAGTGTGGCCAGAAACTGATTGTACTAAATGACTTTTCTTTAGTATATTCTGGAGCAAAGAATGAGGTACAAATTTTAGAAACTAGCTCAAGTCAAACCTATTGCTACAGCTGGTACTATTTTGCAAAGTACGGTGGTTACCTAAATTGATCATCCTCATTGCTTTGGTAGATGTCTGTCACTTTTAAAAAAAGAAAAAAGGTGAGAGCAGCAAAAGAAGAAGAAAAAAAAAAAAATTTTGTTAGTCAAACGAGGGATTCAATGAAGAGTCGCTTGAGTCAATTTTTATCTAGAAATACCACCAGTAGATTCTTTGGCATTTCCATCCGGCCTTGTTGTTACACTCCTCAACGTTGCATTTCAATATCGCATTACGCCATGTCTGATTTTATTACCAAATTTGAAAAATTGTCATTCGATCAAATTCCATCAAAGTTGGAAACCATTGAATTTGCAAAATTGAATGATGAGCAATTGGCATTATCGTCCCAATTTGAAACTTTATCCAAAAGACTAGATGAGAGTGACACATTGACACAAATTAACGATTCCTTAAGAAATAAGACTTTTGTAGTTGGGTCAGTTCCAAGTAAAGCTGATTTGATCTTGTTTGAGCAGGTATTGCCATTGGCTTCAAAGTGGACTTCGAAAGAAGATATTGCCAAGCACAGACATTTATTGAGGTGGGTTGATTTAGTTCAAAATACTTTGGTGAATGTTCCAGAGCCTGTCAAGATTGATTATGATATTGAAATTCCTAGAGAGATTAAAGAAAAGAAGAAACCAGCAGCGGGAGCAGCCAATGCTCAAAGTAAGGATGCAGCAGCTTCAACCAAGGCAGGTTCTAAGGCAGAAAAGAAGAAGCAACAAAAAGAAGAAGGAGCCGTAGAAGGCAAAGCCTCATCTGAACAAAAACCATACCAAGAATTATCTGAAGAGGAGAAAAAGGCAAGAGCAGCAGCTAAAGAGGCCAAGAAGGCAGCTAAGGCTAAAGCCAATGCTGAGAAGGAGAAGCAAAAACAAAATGAAAAAGCCGCATCATCAGCACCACCATCCCCGGCATTGCTTGATCTTAGAGTTGGGTTCATTCAAAAAGCAGAAAGACACCCCAATGCTGACTCGCTTTACATGTCGACTATCGATATGGGTGATGAAGAAGGTCCAAGGATTGTATGTTCAGGATTAGTGAACTATATTCCAATTGAGGAAATGCAAAAGAGAAATGTTATTGTTGTTGCCAACTTGAAACCGGTAACAATGAGAGGTGTCAAGAGTTGCGCTATGGTTTTGTGTGCTTCAAACAAAGATGATGGTGTCGTTGAGTTTGTTAACCCACCAGAGGGTTCCAAGCCTGGTGATAAGATTTTCTTTGAAGGGTACAGCGGTGTTCCTGAAAAGCAATTGAATCCAAAGAAAAAGATTTGGGAAGCTGTTCAACCAAAGTTTACCACTACCGAGAACTTTGAAGTTACTTATACTGAAGAAGGTAAACCCCCAGCATTTTTGGTGAATGAGAAGGGAGAAAAATGTAAGAACAGTACTGTTGTTGGTGCTTCAGTTAGCTAGATTGTGTATATAAAGAATGCAACCGCTGAAATGTCTAAAGTCTACGTTTATTACTTGTTGTTGCTGCTGCTGCTGCTGCTACTGTTTGCAACTGTAAGTTTTCCCAAAGTTCTACAGTCAAGAATAAAGCCTTTTCAAGCGTAGACAGATGCACAAGACGTTTTCTGTTGAAGTGATAAAATCGGTTATGTGGAATATGCTTTGGAGAAACACAAAACTACGTTGACTATATATCAAATACACATGTTGTGATGTGTTGTGATGCACAATTTCCAGTAGAGAAAATGAAGGGTGAGAGGAAGTAGCCAACAAATTAGAGGAAGTCAGGCTTTAGGTGCAAGTGTTTATCAGCAGTAAATTACAGGACTTCAATTCAGTTATTTTCTTTGGACTGACGAGGGGTAAGAGATAATAATTGTTAGTGATTGTCTAGCGAACAACAATGAGCTGGTCCAACACCACTGTATATAACGAACGACATGCTTTAATTACACCGATGGAAAGCGTCAGGCGTCCTCTTTGTATAGCTGCAGGTTATCACAATAATGATCTAGACGTACATCTTGTTGTCTTTGCCAACAGTTTAAAATAACTTGAAACCGTACCCACCTTTTCCACTCCGTAGACAGTTAAGTTGTAAATACAAAGAGAATAACTCAAACATTGCCGGAGAAATGGAACAAATGCTTCTTGTTTGAATTGTTTTTTGGGCAGACGCTGACCAAAGCTGAGATAATTGGAAGTGTTTTGTTGGGGTGGGCAAAAGTTGAGCTGTCGAGTAAATAGTTTGACCTTTAGTGATACAAACGCATATAACGACAATTTCACTATTCACTTGGTAATTGCTTTTTACACAGGTGGTCAAAGTTTTTTTTGTGTTAAATCTGTCTCTGTATCTATCCGAAAGCGACTAACGCTATTGTTATCGATACCACTACTGCTACTGCTACTACTAATGCTACTACTATTGGTACTATTGTTGCTGCTGTTGCTCCAGCTGCGACCACTTTATGCATTTTGCAACATTACTTGAGTTTGGTCTACTAAAGAAACTGCAAACCACCAATGTCGCAAATGTGAGATTGTGGCTGGCCCCATTCAATATCTCGCTAGAGGATACAAGAGCCCTAAACAGCAGATTATTTTCAAGACGACGGATGAGTGGAAGCGGAGATCTCCGGTCAGGGACTTGATCGATATAATAAGTTCTGTTTCGCTGTTTTACTATAGAGAAAGAGAGAGGTATAATACTGTAAGTCGTCAATAATAAAATATTATTTTACGACAAGAGAATATAATTAAGTTAGACAAAAGGGCACACATCAACAACAACAGACTCTCATCCATATATATATTGAGCCGCACTTTTATTTTCGTGGTTTTTTTACGACACTCACACAAAGCTCAATACTGTAGCAAAAGTATGGCTCAACGTATACAAGGGTGAGGAGAAATACTGGCTTTCATAATATACATCTATGCAAACATCTTCTTCTCAATCCCCTATTCTCTGTAGCCGTATTTGGAAGTAGTAGCAAATGTAGTAATGGTACACATGTACATATACATATATATATGTATATGTACATATATAATAGTTAATGTGAAGAGGGTTGAAGTTTGGGGTTCCAAAGAAAAAAAAAAAAAACTGCGGGAAAGATTTTTCTTTGCAAAAGAGTACCGTTAACCAACCAGCAGCTGACCATTTCCCTCTTCAAACAAGAATCACGTATATATTCCGTCATTTCAATCTTCATTGCAACCAACCACAACCATCTACATAATACAGCCATACTCTTAATTACAAGTGCTCCGCTCAGCCGTGCCCCTGATAACTGTCTTTGAAATCTTATCTCCACATTATACTACACCAAAGAAATTCCTGTCTTTTGCAAGCTGTTGATATATCTTCAATACTCGACGCACTATGAATAACAACGACAACGCCACTAACACTAGCAACAGCAGCAGCAACAGCAACAGCAACAACAGCAGCAACAGCAGCAACAGCAACAGCAGCAACAGCAACAACAGCAACAGCAACAACAGCAAGGACTTTCAGGACTTGTCTCCACTCTCAAAATTGTCATTAAGTGGAGATTCCACCCCCATGTCTATAACTTCATCTTCGTCCAAATTGAACAAGGTGACAAAACCTTCTACTACAGAGCCAAAGAGAAAAAGAGTTACTCGTGCTTGTGACACTTGTCGTGCAAAAAAAGTCAAATGTGACGGTAGACAGCCTTGCATCCACTGTACAGTCTACTCCTTCCGCTGTACTTATAATGAACCAAATATAAGAAATAAGAAAAACTCGGGCATACCTAAACCGTCACTGCCAAATGTGGTTGCGGCATTGCACGCAGCAGCAGCTAATGGCACCTTATATGGTGACCACCACCACCACCAAGGGAATGGAACTCCGACCAGCGCCACCGTAGCCCACAACGCTAGTTTTGCTGTTGGTAATGAAAGCAATAGAATTGGCAATACAGCGAGCCCTGAAGCCGCAGGTGTGGCTACTACACACATATCTAATGGTGTTTCTGTCGACTCGTTCCCCACAAAGAACTTAATCATTGCACAACAAATCATCAACGCCGTTCTTCCGAAACTACAATTTAACTGCTTGGACCCAAATTTAGAATTTGACTTGGACAGGTTTCAAAAGGTAATCTCGTACACCAATCAAAAATTGCCTTCATCGGTATTCAACGGGAGCGAAATAGCCGACCTCATGCTCGACAAGGAAGCCATTGTACCACCGCCAAGAAAGGCATCGACTGAAACTGTTAGTGAAGACTATTCTGCAACTACTCCTCGTGAAGTCAAGTTGATTCTTCCTAGCAAAGAAGAGGCGTTGGAGTTGATTTACACTACTTGGAACAAAGCATGTGTTTTGTTTAGGTTTTACCACCGGCCATCACTTATTCAAGAGATTGACTTGTTGTACTCGTTGGATCCTAGCGAGTACGGTGATAGACAGCAGAAATTTCTTCCGTTTCTTTACTCAAGTTTAGCTTGTGGATGTTTATTTAGTAAATCACCCTACACGAAAACTACCCACAATGAGAATTTGGAAGATGACGGTTTCAAGTATTTCTTGGAGGCGAGAAAATTGATGGATATAACCAATGTTGGAGATATTAGCTCGATTCAAACTATTGTTATGATGATCATGTACTTGCAATGTTCAGCTAGATTGTCCACTTGCTATTCATACATTGGTATAGCTCTCAGAAGCGCTTTGAAGGAGGGATTGCATCGAAATTTGTCAATATTTCAAAATTCTAAACGCAAGTTGGATCCAATGGAGATTGATACTAGAAAACGTTTGTTTTTCACAATTTACAAGATGGATATATACATCAACAGTTTATTGGGGTTGCCTCGTTCATTAACTGAAGACCAATTTGACCAAGAGTTGCCAGATGATTTGGATGACGAAAATGTTACTAGAGAAGGCTACTTATATGACAGACAAGGAGGCCGGTTGAGTTCAGCTGGATGTGCTAATTACCACACAAAATTGATGTTTATATTGTCACATATTCTCAAGGAACTTTATCCAGTCAAGATAGTACACACCGAGGATAACAAATTCTATCATCACGAACGGCAACAACATCCACAGGAGCAGAATCATCACTCACGTGGGTCTCCAGCCAGCCTGCAAGTATCTCCTCGTCAGCTACCTCAACAACACTATGCAACTTCGTCCAAACCGGAACCATTTACAAGCTCGTCAACGACATCAACTTCCAATTTGAGTAAGAACTCACTGACACCAACGACCCCGTTGCCATCAGCTCCTGATAGAATCCACACCAAAGTCACAGAGTTGGAGATGGAGTTGAAGGTGTGGTTGGATAGTTTACCACGTGAATTGAAACCCACAGACCCCAATGTCAAACAAACAGATATTCCGAAAAAGTTTATTCTTGCAAACTACTATCTACACTTGTCATTTTTGAATTGCCAGATTATGCTTTATCGCCCATTTATCCATTTTGTCAGTGACTCAATGAATGGCTCCTTATCTGATCCAAGATCTTTAATTCGAGGAAGAAACTGTATCAAGATTGCCCGTATGGTTGTTAAATTGGCCAACAAGATGATTGATGAGCAGTTGTTGATTGGTACATATTGGTTTTCCATGTACACCATCTTTTTCAGTATTGCATGCTTGATGTATTATTTCCATTTTGCAAACTACAACAACAATGGACATGGAGTTAATGCGTTTGGGGTTTTGTTTGATGACGATTTGAATGTTGAGGTGATTAAGAAGGATATTGAGATTGGGAAGAAAGTATTGGACTCGTTGAAGAATTCTTCAAATAGTTCTTTGCGTATTTATAATATGTTGAATACGTTGTTTGAACAATTGAATCGCAGGACTGCGTCGAAAACGGTACACAAGAAACAACAACCACAACAACAACAACAACAGAATGCCAACATTCTTCTTCAAGAGAATGTCCAGAGCACTTTTAAAAACTTTGATGAGAACAACAAGTATATGCACGATGCCAAGAAGGATGAATTGAGCGAGTTTTTCAAGGATGCTAGCATTGCCCGATTTCAGTCGACTTCGGAAATACCCAAGGATTTGGCCAATATTGAAAAACTCTCGGTAATCAAAGAGGAAGACAACGAAGAGATTGGTGGGAATACAGGAGCAGGACTTACTTCCAACTATATGCCGGGGGTGTTTGATAAGCTTGATGCCCAAATATTTGGAAAGATTCTCCCTCCTTATATGTATGATCAACAGCAGTTGCCAACTAACCAGCAACAACCACCGCCACAACAACAACAACTTTCACAACAACAACAACTACAACATTTTCAACACCCGCCCCAGCAGTTCGCTTCATCCACTGGCCAACCAATACAACAGTTTGCACCATATGAACAAGAACAAGGAAGCAACATATATAACACGGGCAATTCGTTTGTTCCAAATACTAACAAATACAACCCGGATGAAGGTTTGAATTTCGAAGAGATTTTTGGAGCTTTGGACGGATTTGCTGCGGGAAATATGGGGGATGGCGGTGTTGGCGAGAACAATCCTATTGATTATCTAGCACCATTTTGAGTGTAAATTTGGGAAGGGAAGAGATTAGACAACAATGATTGAGAGAGGAATGGAGCCAGTGGGTGAGACATTGTAATGTATTATTTACCTTCATTTAGAGACGTTTAGAGTTCAGTAGAGCTTTTCTTGTATGTATACATATTATAAAATGAGCAAGTGATAGTATTGTAACAAAGGCAAGAGAGAAGGTACAGTACTCAGTATATATGTTCTTCTATCGCCATCTTAACTCCGTGGATTTGGACTCCGCGCAATTTTGTGTAACGCAATTCTCTCTCGCTCGCCAGGATTGCTATATAAAATACATATTCGATTTAGAGCCGTTATTCCTATGGGATTTTGTTAAGAAAACATCGCCAGAAACATTTTTCATCACTCGATAGATGAATTGAAGGATTCTTACTTTAAATTTGCATTAACTTGTCCAACATCTTCGTCTGACAAAAAGATAAAAAAGTACCCTTGGCATTATCTGACAGATTTCAATTAATCCGATCGAGAGAATTAAAATATTTCTGGATCGGCGCAAAGATTTAGAATTGAAAGGATCACACTTTTCACGATTAGAAAGAACTTTGAATCTAAGTTGCCACACCTTCCGTCCATTACATTGGTATAACGCGTTCACGTCCATTATTTCCAAATGTTTAGCAGAATTGCAACTAGGAGAGTTGTATCTGCACCCAATGCACGTTTAACCATCGGCGCAAAGGTCAAACATCTTGCGACACCACGTTTTACCAAAGCATATTCTACTGTACCACCACCACCACCACCATCACCACCACAAAGGTCAGTACCCACTTACACCTCGCTTTTCTTCAACATATTCAAGTATGGTCTAGGTGCTGGTGCACTCGGAGTCGTTGGATTCTTTGGGTTTGTCGGTTACAAAATCTATACCGAGACACACCCTGGCAAACAACAGCCTCAGTCGGCCACGTTCCCCAGTGGTGAGCGCAAAAAAACATTAGTCATCTTGGGTTCAGGATGGGGTGCTGTAGCGTTATTGAAGAATTTGGACACTACGTTATACAACGTGGTTGTAGTGTCACCAAGAAACTACTTCTTATTCACGCCGTTATTGCCTAGTGTGCCTACTGGCACTGTTGACATGAAGTCGATTATTGAGCCAGTTAGATCGATAACTAGAATGTGCAAGGGGCAAGTCGTTTACTATGAAGCTGAAGCAGTTGATATTGATCCTGAAACCAACACATTAAAAATTCAACAGTCGACAACGGTGCATTCTGGTCATTCAAAGGAAAGTTCGGCATCTACTAGATCGCATAAGATTGGTGATGGTAATATCGAATATATCAATGCTACGCTTCAATACGACTATTTGGTAGTTGGAATTGGAGCTCAACCTTCAACATTTGGATTACCTGGAGTTGCGCAACACTCTACATTTGTTAAAGAAGTGGGTGACTCCATGAGGATCAAAAAGACCTTGATCGATCTTGTTGAAGCAGCCAACTTGTTGCCGGAAAATGATAAAGACCGTAAACGGTTACTACATGTGATTGTATGTGGTGGAGGTCCAACTGGAGTTGAAGCCGCGGGCGAAATACAAGATTACATTGATCAAGATTTGAAGAAATGGATGCCCGAAGTAGCCAAGGATTTCAAAGTGACCCTTGTTGAATCACAACCCAAAGTGTTGCACACCTTCAATCCGAAATTGGTTGAGTACACCAATCAAGTGTTTCAAGACACAAACATCAACTTGGTCACCAGTGCCAGAATCACTTCAGTAGATGACAAGAATTGCACTGTTTTCCACAAGGTTTCACAAGAGACTGAAGTTGTACCTTATGGTATGCTCATATGGGCAACTGGTAACGCCACTAGAGACTTTACCCATATATTGATGGATAAGATTGAAGAACAGAAGAGTGCCAAGCGTGGATTCCTCGTTGACAAGTTTCTCAAATTACAAGGATCATCAAACATTTACGCCCTTGGTGATTGTACATTTACGAAATATCCACCAACGGCCCAAGTGGCTCACCAACAAGGTGATTACTTGGCCGATTATTTCAACAAGTTGCAGAAGTTGTCTAGTTTGAAATACAAGATTGAGCATGATGCCAACCCATCTGAAACTTTGAAATCGAGAGCAGCTAGATTAGAAGCCAAATTGCCTCATTTTGTTTACAATTATCAAGGATCCTTGGCGTACATCGGAAGTGAGAAAGCCGTTGCTGATTTGGCATGGGGATCGTGGTCAAATGTGTCGACTGGTGGTAACTTGACGTATTTGTTTTGGAGATCGGCATATATTTACATGTGTTTGTCAGTGAAGAATCAAGTTTTGATCTGTATCGATTGGTTGAAGGTTTACGCTTTTGGAAGAGATTGCTCGAGGGAGTAGGATGTGGATGCGTTGGAGGATAAGTTTTATTTAGAAGACAATTTGGATAAAGACTAACAATAGAGATAGATATCTAAAGAGACGGTATACGTTTGTAGAAACAGGCATCCATCATCCACACTGTTCTCTATAGAGAGGCATTTTTTGGTGCCGAAGTGCTACCGTCCATCTTTGTCAAAAAAAAAAATCTCATCTCTTTGCAGCGACATAAGCCAGTCAAAAAAATTCAACTAACTCAATCACAAGCCACATACATCAGCTTGCAAGACATAAAGATGAGCGACAGACGAAGAATAACCGGGCCAGTAAACACTCTTACACCAAACATCCCCATACACGACAACAACACACCAACATCACCAACATCAACATCGTCAACCTCATCAAACAACGCCAGTAAATCCTCCACCAGTCAAGTACCGCCGTTTTTTCTCAAACACGGACTAATCACAAATTCCAACGGTTCAGCATACTTGGAAATAAACAAAGGCACAATAATCCAAGTATCCGTATTTGGACCACGACCAATCCGAGGCTCATTCATCGACAAGGCCAGTGTCAGCGTGGAGACCAAGTTTCATCCACACGTGCCACAACCACAATCAAACATCTTCAACGCGTACAGTACCAGCATTGGCAACAACAACAACAACTACAACAACAACAACAGCAGCAGCAGTGCCAGTGCCAGTGGCAACACTGCATCATCGTTGTCAGGGTACAGGACCGGAATGACCCCAATCGAACATCGATACAGCTCATATTTGGAATCTTGTCTATTACCAAGCATCTTGTTTTCAAAATACCCCAAATCGACAATCGACGTACAAGTAAGCATCATAGGCACTGACGCACAATGCCAGGGTTTAAGTGGAATGTTGTGGCTCATGCAATGGATTGTCGTGGCGTCAAGCTTGGCCATAATTGACGCCGGGATCGAAATCAGAGATGTCGTGACTAGTGGAGTTGTCAAGTTGGATTCGGGAAATGGGGGAGAAGTTGCAATAGGACAGGATTTGGATCACGTGTTTGATAAAGGAGGTGTTTATGCGTTGGTAAGTTTTATGAATATGAAGAATGATGAGATTGTGGGATGTTGGTTCGAAAGTGATGGGAAGGGGGAGGGACATGATGCATTGATGGAGTCAGAGATGGAGAAATTGATTGATGAATGTTGTAAAATGTCAAAGTTGATCAGGGCAAATTTAAATACATACTTGTTGAAGTCATTCAATTAAGAAGGAATGGACGAAGCTTTGTTAACCTCTTTATAACATCTATAAAAATAAAAATAGCACAATACTCCACTGATACCCTCTCTTTTGCCCCACACCCATTTATTCATTCTTTTTTATGCTCATATCGTACGACAAATCATTGAGGATTTGATTGATTTCGTATAATCTATTCGCCACGTCCTTGATGGAAGTATCATCATGATTTAGATAGATTTTCGAACTGATGCGAATATTTGTAGCTTGTGACACAATTGAACTTAACAACTGATACAATTCCAACACATTGGAGTCAGATTGTGTGGCTATTGATTGTATAGAAGTGTTAATTGAATCAATATCAAGCACCTTATCAAATACCTCAGTTTTCAACTGCTTTGCAAATTCATCCAATGATGATTCTTTAGTAGGCACATCAATGTGTGTAGTTCTGATTTCAAATGGTTCGGAAATGTATGCAACATCATGCCCGGAGTCCAAATGGTATCTTACTTCGTAAACACCTTGTTCCCAAAACAACTTCTCTTTGGCAAACGTGAGTGATCCATTCGGAGTTTCGCAATTTCCCCATCTTCCAGATGAAGAAAGCAAAGTCTTGTTTCTTGAGTATGAAGTTTGCAGGATCTTGTATAATCCGATCCAGTCCTTTGGCGAGTGAGTGGCTGCAGGTGATTGCCAATTGACTTTGATTGGCGTCCCAATAGTAATATATTTGGAGTTGGTTGTCGAATCAGTTTTCAAATCAGGAAGGGTCAATTTATAGTCAGAGTTGGCAAATGACAAATTTTGCGACAATTCAATCAATTTTTGCTTTGACAACTTGACCGATGAGTTTTGTAAATCCTTGATGAAATTTTCAAATGACTCAGCAATGCCAGATGCGGGATGACTGCTTCTTCTTCTGCTCCTCCTCAGTGGTTCATCATTACTGATTCTTCTTTGAATGACATCGGGGATTAAATGTTTCTTGAAAGTTTTTGTGACTCCGGAATCCTGATTCACCTCCTGTTCACCATACACTCTAAGCATATGGAATTTTTCGATAAAGTTGATACGAACAAAGTTGTTTGCCACCCACAAGATGCAACAAACCAAATTCTCAAAAGTTGGCCAGATAACGAAAACGCCCATGACTCCACAAACACCAAAGATTTGTTCCGGGTTGTTCAAGTAACGATACACACCGGCTTTGGTCAAGTGGTGCGATTTGGCAATGAAGAAATCACCATAAAAGTAACCAAAATAGCCAATCAGATCAATAATGGACGCATTGATCCAAGTTTGAGTTGCAATCAATAAGCATCCAATAAGTACTCTCAAGTAGAAAAAATCATGGAAAAATACTTCGGTTGTACCTTGGAGAACGTGTGCCAAATTCATACCAAATAATGACGAGTAAGTCAAGTTGATCAACGAGTTGTACAAAATTGCCCAATTATTGAGCGACTTCTCAACTGGGATGTCATTTGAAAGACACCACTTGGTGAAGTATTTAGAATAACTTTGCAAAAGCAATAACGTATTGATCACAAAACTTTCAAACAACTTTGTAGCCACAGTCAATGCAAAGAACAACTTGTATGAATTTTTAGACAAAATTGGTATAATGATCCCATAAGTTGAAATTAAAATCAAATTCAATACATCACTAGCTCTCATCCAATTGAAGTTGTAAAACCCAACCAATGGTGGCATATTTTCAAAATGTTTCAAGTCTTTTAATTTCAAAATTTTGATTAAATTAATTTCGTTTTTGGATGGGCCATAGATTTTATCGATATGGGGGTTTTCAATATAATGAAGGAAAATCATTTGCAAGAAATGACCAAAAATGGAAATTGCCAACACTGTGTAAGATTTAGCAATCAATGCAAATCCATAATATCCGATATACCCAACTGAGTACATTGGATGTGGAACCATTTCAAACACTCCATCAAATATCAATTCTTCATTATTAATTTGTCTGAAAAAGAAGTCACCCCAGTACCAAGCATAATCCTTTATTGTGTTGTGAGCATTAACTTTAACCCACAAATTGAACAAGATCAAACTTGACCCAACAAGCACTCTCAAATATACAGTCCAGCTATTGGAAAAGTCTTCCGCTAAAGAGCAAGTGTAAACAACGCAACAAAAAGTGACAAAATCTGACATCAATATCAAGTCAACCAATTTTCTAAAAATGAGCCAGGTATTGAACTCAATGGGTAACGACGAGATATCGTAATCCTTACCACGTTGCGATTTGAGTTCGTTTTGGACCAATTGGGCCCTAAACAGGGTGTTGTTTGTGTCAAACAATTTGCCCTCTTTGGCCCAAGATACCAACCTATTGTGCTTTGATTGTTGTTGCAACAACCACCCGATACCAAAGTTGTAAGAAAGTCTCCAAAAGGTGTACATTGCCACAAAGATGACAATTCGTGCTTGATTCAGTGGGATCAAAAATACAAGAAGATTGGCACACAAGCAGGCCAAGATTGCCAATTCTGAATTTGATTTATGCAACGACGGATCAAACAAGGTCTTTACCATATCGTGAGTTTCTGGAACTGCAAAAGTTTCCCCAGAAAAAGTTATGCCCTTTGGGCCAGAGCCAGAGCCCGCTGCAGCAGACGACAGCAGCAGCAGCAGCAGCAGTAGCAGCAGCACCGCGTCATGCTTCTCAAGCTTCTTCGAAGGTGATGTTAAAGAGTCCATAGCAATTACTGGACTGTTACTAGTAGTTTCAATTTCAACTGACATGACACAACACAGCAAAAAGGCAGACCAAAAAAAAAATTAAAAAGTAATTGTGGCAGCCAAAAAAAGAACAAGGAAAATTGCTTTTCTTTAAAAGGGGAGACGACAATTGCTCTTATTTGAGAAGAACCAATGGTTGGGGACTATAAATGAAAAGTGAATATAGCAGTGTTCTCAGTTGATAGTGTGCCAATGATAAGCGACAAGTCTTATTCTGTATCTATGCGATATCGCCTCTTGCCAAAGGAAGTTGAAATGTGTTGAAAATTTTTTTTGGTATATCTAGTGGAAAAATCTGGAGGTTTATATGAGTTGTTTATTGTATGTGTGCTGTGGTGTGCTGTGTGAGTGAATGAGTGTGTGTGTGTGTGTGTGTACAAAAATTTAATATAGGAGAGAGAAAGGACAAAGAGATGATAACTGTGTGTGTGTGTGGGGGGGGGGAGGAGCGGAATCTTTTCAACTTTCCAAACTACTTCTCCAACTACACATAGAGGACTTACTCTTTCGATCAACACTTGGTATGTACCCGATAGAATACGTCACGTCCGTTCAAGCTAACGGAGGTAGTTGAAGAATGGATTTGAATTGATGCAGCAGTGACTCTGTAAATCACTGTTTCGTATTTTGTACTGCATATAAACTTCTGTTGGTCTTTCACAAATTTTATCTCTTTCAAAAATATAATATGTATATGTATATATACGATAAGCTTAATTATGAAGTGAGCAACAAACATTCTCACGCTACCCCTCTCCTCCCTACTCCCTCCTTACTTGTTGAAGACAGTGGATCATATTTATCTTCTTTACTTTGTTATTAGGTTGAAGTGTCTCTTAGGTATAAGACACCTTAAAAGATAGATGCTCTCGACTAATAAGGGTTCGATTTTTGTTGTGTGTGCTGTTTGTGTATTTGAGTTAATGATCTTGTGACCTCTAATAATAAATTACATTGTACACAAGTACACTACCATTAAGCAATTTTGCATGTGATTTTTTATATCAACACATACTATTCGACATCTTTTGCAACCACATTCATTACATAACATACATACCTTCCACTTACAGCTCATCAGCAAACCAAGAACAGTATGAGGAAGTACAAAAGTTATTGAGATAGCAGCACAGAGCTTACACCTTGCACTACATCTCTTTACAGATTCCAGCCCCTCCTTCTCCCCCCCCTGTTCACTCTCATGATCTAACAACTCATAATTAAACGAAAAAGAAATCTTCAAATCTATTATACATAACACATATCTCTCTATTAAATAGTAAAAAAGTCAGTTGTATCAAAACGACTCAATCCCCCCCAACACGACTGAAAATAACAAAAATGGGTGGAGCCACTAAAATAAAATGAACTAGCGATAAAGCAAACACTGGAAGGGAATGACACTCTTCTTAAAAGCGACGGTTACCCAATGGAGCAGTGTTTGATCCCGAAGAGTAACTTCTGGCGCCACCTCTACCACCACCAAATCCACCTCTGCCACCGCGAAATCCACCACGTCCACCACGTCCACCACGGCCTCCTCTTCCAGCACCGTACCTAATATGACTTCCATAACTTCTTCTATCATATTGTTGCAACTCAGGAGGAATAGTTTGATGTGCTTCTCTCATAATTTTGCACAAATCTCCACCCAATTTCTTGTTGTTGTCGGTGAAAAATGAAATAGCAGTACCTGTAGCACCACCTCTACCAGTTCTACCGATTCTGTGGACATAATCTTCAATGTTACCTGGCATATCGTAATTGATAACGTGTGTGATTCCCTTGACATCTAAAAAGAAAAACAATTCTGTTAGTATAATTTGCATAGACAAAACATAAACCTTTACCTCTCCTCATTAAAGGAACGAAACACTTTAGCGAATTCCCCAAACAACAGAAGAAGAAACTAGAGTCTAAAGATACAGGAAGATACAAGAAAAAAAAAAAGGAACATAATTTCGAATGTGAACGTCAATGGAAATGAAGGGGGGGGAAGGGACCCCACACTGCTGAGAAAGTACAAGGACAAAAGCATCCTTTATCTTTTCCAATTTTCCACGGTGTTTTCCACACCCCCCTCAATCAAAGCCACTTGACCCATTTATTGAATATTTGACAAAGAACAAGACCTTCAGTCGGAAAGACATACTAAACACACAACATGCAAAGAAAAAACACAATACTAAACACACACATATTTTTCATTTATTGATGAAAAGTGTTTGACTTCATTCAATGACCACGGAACAGTCTAAACAAAAAAAAAATAGAAAGACAGTCCATGTTGTTGAGCGTTTTCCGTAAGTAAAATAGCAAACGCTTCAATCTCTTCTTTTTTTTTTTTTTTGGTCTTTGCACATTTCGAACACAGGCAATAAGTAAATCGTCCTTGATGAAAAATCAAAGTGAAAACGCACGCCGCAAAGTAATAACAAACGGAACTGCTATGCTTCACCTCTCATATTTCTCATTCAAGACAGAACATCCTTTCAACTGATATCAATAAGAAACAGTTTCTAAGCATCTGCACCAAACGACATTAAACCTGGTCCAAAAGAATAAAAGGAAAAAAAAAAAAATAGAGCATTGATGACGTGGTTTACCACATCAGCCCCGCTTTCCTTTCATACAAAAACATCATTGATGAATCCATAAACAAATATATGTGCGCCCATTGGTAATTTCACATTTGTGCAACGCATAATATTCAATTCCTTGCTCTTCCATTCATTTTTTTCAATTCAATAAACAGTGAAGAAGTTAAAAATAAACTTCATTCTTGTTGACTTATCCTAAACGTTCACACTTGGCTCTTTTTTTTTTCCCCTTCCTCTTTCCTTGCGTGAATTGGACCCGCCATAATCACAATCAAGTTTCCTCTGGGTATTAAAAAATAAAAAAAATAAAAAAAAAAAAAATTTCAGTTTTTCCCCTTCAAAAGTTTCATTCCTAAAATGCAAAAGTTAATAGTCTCCGGGAATACAATCTATTCCCCTTCCAGTGCACGAAATATACATACCAATACCTCTGGCAGCAACATCAGTTGCAACCATAATAGAGTGAGTTCCTTGTCTAAACTCCTTCAAGACCCAGTCTCTTTCGTGTTGTTCCTTGTCACCATGAATGGCTAACGCAGGCCATCCATCTGCTCTCAAGTAACTAGTGACATCGTCACATGTCCTCTTGGTACTGGCAAACACCAATACCTTTGAATTGGTGTCACCCAAAGCACTTTCCAAATACTTAACAAGCATGTCTCTCTTTTGATACTCAGTAACAACTTGAACAATTTGTGTGATTGTGTGAGAAGCAGCCAATTCCAATGAACCAATAGTGACTTGAATTGGATCATTCAAGTAATCTCTAGCCAAAGCTTGAACTTCCTTTGGCCAAGTGGCAGACCACATCAATGTTTGACGGTCTGGTCTGATTTGATCAACAATCTTTCTAATTTGTGGCTCGAAACCCATATCCAACATCCTATCAGCTTCATCCAAAACCAAATAGGTGACTCTCCTCAAGTTTGTCTTGCCAGCTTCCAACATATCAATCAACCTACCTGGAGTGGCAATACAGATTTCAACACCCTTGGCCAAATCTCTGATTTGTGGACCTTTCGGAGCACCACCATAAACACAAGTGTTTCTGATTCTCGACGATGAACCAAACTTGCTACACTCAGTTTGGATTTGACAGGCCAACTCTCTTGTTGGAGCCAACACCAACACAATTGGACCATCACCTGGTTTCAACAATGGTTGGGCATTGATATGAACAATACCAGGTAAACAATATGACAAGGTCTTACCTGAACCAGTAGCAGCTATACCAACCATATCTCTACCACTCAAAGCCATTGGCCAACCTTGACATTGAATAGCAGTTGGCTTTGGGAATCCTTGTGCTTTCAATTCATTCAAAACATAATCAGGAAATCCTGCTTCATCAAAAGTAGTAATTGGATGTGGAATATCATGTCCTTGTACACTCATTTCATTTTCGTTTCTAAATGCTTGAATATCAGCATCTGATCTGGCAGCAACATCTGGATGTTCAGTGTAAAAGTTCTTTTCAAATCTAGGCAAGTCTTCAAGGTTCCATTCTGGAACACTCAATTCTTGTCTTGGAGCATCATTGAATCTTCCACCTCTTCCACCACCATATCCGCCACCTCTTCCACCACCGTAGCCGCCACCGTAGCCGCCACCGTAGCCGCCACCTCCTCTTCCACCGTAGCCACCTGCTCCACCTGAGCCACCTCTGTAACCTCCGTTATTGTAAGACATTTCTAATTCTGCTGATTTGATTGGTGAGTTGTTATTATCTGATTGATTATAGCTCTGTAGGTCAAATCAAAGATGTGTTCTATGGAAGGAAAAGAAAAAGGGATGGATAGTGGGAAGTTTTTTCTTCAGCTCTTCTTCTTTTTTCTTTCTTTCTTTCGCTTCACAAATTTCTTTTTTTCTCTTTTTTTTTTTTTTTTTTTTTCCTTCAGAGGCATCGCAGGTGAAACATAACACAAAAAAGCCATAACAACACCTCGTCTCTATCTCGACAGATACCTACAGCAGTTTAGAATAACTAGGGAGCTTAATGGGATGTAGAATATATGACAATAGGTTTCGGCAAGCAATATACTGCTGGGTACGTGACCAAGCTTCACAGAAGGTGACGAGTTCACAGTCTTTTCTTATACAATTACACACTACGAAGGTTGACAACTGATTCTCTAGCAAATCACAGACAGACAGCTCGATCAATGGACCTGAATTTGCATTTTATTCATCAATTCTCTATCCTATAAACAAACTGTCTCGTGTAGCAGACTCATCTCCTCTATCATTACACCTACAATGTTCTCTGTCATCATGCCACCCTTCAAGGTGCCTCGGTGCTATAATCTCCTTCCTTCAATTTTTGCTCAAACTTCTCCTCAACAACTCCACAAAGCTCAGCCAAGTTATCCAATCCCTGATGCAAAGCTTCCACAGCGGAAATGTTGCCATACGTCTGTATCCTGATATTCATTTTGCTCTCACTAGGATGTGGTATACTGTACCCACAAAATTCAACCTCGGGGTTCTTCATGATGATATAACGTAAAGCATTACCCAACGTATGGTCTTCTTCCAATATCTGGAATGATGCTGACGATCCATCTTCAGATGCACCGGGGAGCATCTTTATCTTGTCAACATCGTATTCTATTTCTTCCACTTGGTCTACCTCGTCTATTTTTATATCATCTGATGACATTGCAAGCTGCTAGATTCTTCTGTTGGTCGTTTATAGTTAATGCTTCTAACTCACTTGTCTCGATGAGACGGCCTAAAAATCAAGAAACTATAATTTTTTTTTTTTTTTTTTTTCATTGCCAATGGCATTTCGCTACCACGCACGCAAAGCAGTAATTAGTAACAGCTACACCTCCCCCCACAAAAAATTATCATACTTCATAAAAATTTACTCTAAGCTATGCAAAACTAGTAGACAAATCTAATACAAGTATCTGAAATCTGGAGAAATCTTTGACCCATCATTACCTTCTCCCAACTCCTTTTGCCAGTCAATGGTACCATTTTCAATCTTCTTGTTCAATTGTTTCAACCTAATTCTCAACAAGAAAACCAAAATTATTGCCGCAACATTAAAGGCTATGTTACAACTCATACCTTTTATATAACGAGGTCCATCAGATGTTGGGTACAAGAATGCAGTCCATGTGTAAGGTGAGTTACTCAATCCAATCATCAAAGCAATTGAAACAGCTCTCTTTGCTGGAGGTCTAGGAACAGAGTTTGGCATCCAAGTGATAATCACCACATAAGCCCCAATAATCCCTGGAATCATAATACAGTAACTGAAATATCTGGCACCAAAGTTGGTAGTTGCAACAGGGATAATGAAGGACACCGTAGCACAGATTAATGGTACAAGAACGTGATATGTTCTTTCTCCAGTTTTATCAGCATGTCTGGACCAGTAGTAAGAAACGGGGACCGCAAGTAAAAATGGCGGTGCCGTCAAAACCAAAGTGAGGGTAGTATTAAAATTCAAAGTGGCAACAATGGTTGGGAAAAAATTGAGAATACCAGCAGAAGCAACCAAAAGACTCAATTGACCAGTAACCATCCACATCTTCTCATCCTTAACGGCCAATTTAAAACCTTGCCAAGTGGTAACACGTGCCTCCGCATCAGAATCAGCAACGTCGCCCAAATCCTGTCTCAATTTCCACTGAATGATATCCCTCTCCTCTTGACTCAAAAATTTGGTGTTGTCTGGCTTGTCAGGCAAGACAAAATAAGCAAATGGAACAGTTAAAACAGTGATACCACCTTCAAGAATAAACAACCATCTCCACCCTGCAATACCTCCCAAGCCACGCATCTTTAATATACCAGCAGCCAATAAACCACTAAAAGCCGAACTAAGTGGACTTCCTGCAAACAAAAGCGTGTTTCTCGTGGTCAAGGACTTTTTGTCATACCACATAGACAACATCATCAACGAACTGCAGAAAAACGCGGATTCAGCAACACCAAGAAAGACACGAGCACAGGCCAACCCAGCATAGTTTTGAACACCACCAGTCACGGTAGAAATAGCACCCCAAACGGTCATCACCACCGTCAAAAAGATTGAAGGACGGCCAAACCTGTTCAAAATCATATTTGCGGGAACTTGGAACAAAATATATCCAACAAACAAAATCGAAATACAAACTTGATATTGATTGCCCACTAAACCCAAGTCAGCTTCCAAACCATCCAATCTGGCATTCGCAATGTTGTTTCTGTCAAGGAAATTCAAAATGTAGATAAACAACAACATTGGAATCAATCTCAAGTCAATTTTTCTTGTTGTTTTCCTATCCAATTCCTTCAATTCTTCCTGGGTCATATGTTGCAATGATTCTGGTAAGTTGACGTAATGGTCCTTTGGCTTGTCTTCAAGCGATGTCAAGTTTGAGTCAGCCCCTGTCAAACCATCTATAACCTCATTCTTTTCTGAGACCAAATATTCAACTTTATCGGTTTGGCTGTTCGGTTGTTCGCCATCAGAGACGTTAAGGTATTTACCTTCCTTTTCAGTGGACATAATAGCAAAAAGAATAAAAAAATAAAAAAGGATGAGGATGTCTCTGCTGCCAAAAAGATCTTACCTGGGATAGAGGAAGGATCATGCTTCTTTATATAGCCTGAGCCATTTCCCAATATACCCCAAAGCTTCGTATACGCCTCTCATACTTTGCAATTTTTCAAAAAAAAAAATAAATAAAACGGGCAGAGTTTCACAATATCTGAAATATAATATATTCAAATGTGGAGTATGGATAATTTCCCAGTCTGTTGGCGTTAAACATCTTCCTTCTTTCCTCACACCGCCCCCTCCCGCATATACCCTTCTTTGCACAACGAATACCCCGCGTGCGGAATGGAAGAGTAAGATTTCATGCTTTGGTGCATGGTCTCATTTGATCACTTGGCTTGTTGCTTTAACTGTCATTGTTACGTATACAACTGATCTGGAGAGAGCTGCTACCCCGCGCAAAGTCAACTAGTTGTCACAAATCCCACAGATTTAACCTTATCGATAATGCCCAAAAAAAAAACACACACACATGATTCGAAAGCAGTCTCAAAGAAAGGCTTATCCGGGGTAATCAATCTCAATAGTTTAGACAAGCTTCAGATTAGTGAATGCAGCCGTATGAGCGGAACTGAGACGATTCAGTTGAGTCTTGGCTAAGTAATTGAACAATATTTCACTTGACTTCCGTAACTAAGACACCAAGAGGGGAAGGTGGGGGGACCACTCTGCACTCTGCACTCTGAAAAGACAAACTCCCACATAGTAATCATCACAAAGCGGCTCTCTGTACACTCAAAGTGTTTTTGCGTCGTTCATAGTGAAAGATGGAATTTGCCAATTATACGAGGGGCGATTATGGTGTGTTGTATTGTTTGCCCAGAATAAAAGGTATTTTCTTGGGAGTTGATATTCTAATTCTCTGCGGTCCGCAACCAACGAAACCGAAAAATTTCTCGTCCAAAGAAGAGGAGTACTTTATGTGGGGATCGTAATACGGAAGACGTTACTGTCTCTTGGAGATGGCCATTTCTCCAGAAAATAAAACAATTGTTAACTAGAGCCTAGCAATGAATGCATGATGAACAGATCAGTTACAAAAAGAGGCAGCATCTGTGTTGATGTTTAGAAATAGCGGAAGATATTCTTACCCACGTGACTGTAACTTCGGTGATTGCAATCACTGATAAGCCTATCTTCATACTTGTACTAAATTCCGTGTCCTAAATTCGTTGCTTTAATGTTCATGTGCCGATCTCTTCAATCTGGTCCGGATTTCCACACGACCATGGGTGTCCGAAGTATTGTGTTGCATTACGAGAGTTTTTTTGAGCAAATGAAATGTGCTGCCCACCGCATCTCCTTCTCACCGAGTCCACAGTAACTAGATCCCCCTCCCTCCTCCACTTTATTATGCTTGCAATGATAATTCCGTAATTGAGGGTACAGGTGACAACAATAAAATGATACTGAATGTTGATTAGTCTCCCAGAGTTCTTGAAAGTTCTAGCTAAATGGCACCATCTTTATCAAAATACATGAATGTCCCAATGCGCAGCAATGGGACCAAGCATAAGCAGAGAAGCCAAGCCATTACATTATCTATGTCATCCAATTCATTAGTCTTTTTTTTGTTCTAAACATATCAAATGCTTCTCTAATACAAGTATCTAAAATCGGGTGAGATCTTTGACCCATCATTACCTTTACCCAACTCCTTTTGCCAGTCCATAGTTCCTCTCTCAATCTTTTTGTTCAACACCATCAACCTGATTCTCAACATAATCACAAAGAGAATAGCCAACACAATAAAGGCAATGTTGCAACTCATGGCCTTGACGTAACGAGGTCCATCACTTGAAGGATAAAGATAAGAATTCCAAATGGAGGTGGAATTACTCAAACAGTTGACCAAAGCAATAGCAACCGCTCTCTTGGCTGGTGGTCGAGGACATGAGTTGGAAATCCAGGTCAATATGACAACGAATGCGGAGTATAGACTTGGAATCATCAAAATCATGGAGAAATATCTTGCACCTGTATTTAAAGTAGCAACCGCAATGATAAACGCCACTAAGGCAAACACCATTGGGATAATGATGTGGAAGGTTCTTTCTCCAGTCTTGTCAGCATGTCTTGCCCAAAAATAGGTGACGACAACAGCAACAATATAAGGTGGAGCAGTCAAACACAAGGTAATAGTATGGTTGAAGTTCAAAGTACCAACAATGGTGGGGAAGAAATTGGTCACACCACAAGCAGCCACCAAGAAACTGTGCATACCACAAAGCATCCACATCTTGATATCCATAACTGCCAATTTGAGACCTTCCCAATCACTAACTTTGGCTTCCACGTCAGTATCATCAACATTTCCCAAATCTCTCTTCAATTTCCACTGAATGATGTCCTTCTCTTGTTGACTTAAAAACTTTGTGTTGTGTGGAGTATCAGGTAAAACAAAGTATGCAAATGGAACAGTCAAAACAGTGATACCACCTTCAATTATGAACAAATACCTCCATCCTTCAACTCCTCCTAACCCATCCATATTCAAAATACCAGCAGCCAATAAACCACTGAAAGCGGAACTAATCAATGAACCAGCATATAAGATTGAGTTCCTCGATGCCAAGGTTTTTTTGTCGTACCACGAAGACAAGATCATCAATGCACTGCAAAAGAATGCAGATTCCACCACTCCAAGCAAAACACGAATGGCGACCAATCCGCCAAAGCTTTGAACAGCAGCAGTACACGTCGAGATGGCACCCCAAATGGTCATGACGACTGCCAAATAAGCGGAAGGACGGCCCAATCTATTCAACAACATATTGGACGGCACTTGAAACAAAATGTAACCAACAAACAAAACGGAAATGACTATTTCATACTGGTTTCCAACTTAACCCAAATCCTCTTCTAAACCACCCAATCTCGCACTAGCGATATTATTACGATCGATATAGTTCAAGATATAAATGAAGATCAACATTGGCATCAATCTCATGTCAATTTTCTTGGTTGTCTTTTTGTCCAACTGTTTCAACTCCTCTTGGGTCAAGTCTTGCAATGATTCTGGCAAGTCAACATAATAGGGCTCTTCTTCAATTTCAGCTGAGCCCAACTCGGTATCGGACTTTTTCAAGTAACTTCCTACCTCGATGTGGGAAGTGTTGGCTTTTGGATCTTCCAAGTCTTCGATGTGTGCAGCACCTGATTTTTCAACTGACATCTTTTTCTATTGCCGGTTGTGGTATGAACTTTGAAAAAGAGATGAAGAGAAAAGATCCAATGATGGGATAATGGGTCTTTTATATATATATATATATGCAAATTTTTTATTGATCATACAGGAGCTACATCTGGTTATCCCCCATGAAATACGGCGTTTCAGGACTTAAAAAAACACTCAACAAAAAAGAAAAAATGGCAAAAATGTTTGTTCCTTCTGTATTCATTGCGAAAATGTCTTGTGTAAACTAAAAATAATTAATTTGTAATTGGTTTAGTCACGTTGACACAAAAGTTAAGTTGTACAAACCTCGCGAGGTGGGGAAGAAGAAGAAGAAGAAGAGTGAAAGGGAAACAAAAAATGCAAATATGTAATTAGTCAATAGTTTCATGGTTATGACTACACGCCAGTTGGGGAGTTAGGTGTATAGCTAAGTAATTTGGCCAACTCACCAAACTTTAATCTGGTTACTATATAGCGACAGAGGCTCTTACAGGGCAACATATTTCATGTAAGACGATGAAGTTATTCATACTCTGCAACATGTAATAAAATTTTTTTTTTTTTTTTTTTGATTGGAGGAACTATAACAACAATAAACAAAAGAAAACAAAAGAAAAGAAAAAAAAAAGATTTTCCGAGATTTAAATTCACGCCAACATCACATTTACATCTCTTGCAAACGAGCAGAATAAACAAAATAAGTGAAGTTAACTCTGTGATATCGTCTTGGCATCATTTAAGAGAGCTAATATTATCTTTTATAAGCTTCAAAGAAGAGCCAGATCGCAATTTCCATTAGTTGTAGATTTGTAAGTAAGTGACATGATTGCCAAGATAAATATTTAAGTGGCTTTATTTTTTTTTTTTTTTTCTCTTTTCTTCTTTTGTTTTTCCGTGGGGGAAGAATCCGCATTACTCTTTGAGCAACAAAAGTTAGTCTTACACATAAACACGTAAAACGTTTTTTTTTTTTTCCAAAAACACCCCCCAACAATACCAAATTACTCTAATCAAGCGTGTAAGTTAGTCTTTTTGGTTTCGGCTCACTATTATCAAACCGAGATCGATCGGTTTAGTAGTATATGGAGATGGCTGACTCGCTTTCCGTCAACAGTTTTGATGGGAGTACTGTCACTACTTTTAAATTTGATTTTTACAAGTCACTCATGAGAGCTTGCTACTGGTTCCAGATAAAATAGTAGCTGTTTTGAATAGACGTAATTTCTCTATTAATACAACTCTGCCTCGAAGAAAACCCCCACGAGAGTTGCCATTCTAGCTCTATTCATACTAATATGCATCGCAATCATCAATGGCCTCCTTGCTGTCTCCCCCCCCCCCTTCTCGGAAACAGTGCAGCCCCTTCCCTTCCGTTGCATCAACAGAATGTGTTGCGTATGCACGCCTTGATGGAAAAGGTTTTCTCGGAGATGCACAAAAGTGTAGACTACACAAAACTACAAATTGGGGGATCCAGCCCCTTGTTGGCCCCACACCCAACACCCCACGTCACCCCACATCCATGTCTCCTAAAACAATGGAGTTGATAACCTCCAAAAGTAAAAAAAAAAAAACAAAAAAAAAGGGAGGAGTTTGTTAACTGACGTTGAAATCACAATTGTCTCTTATCGGAAACACTTTTGTCTTATGCTCCCCATGTCCTCTCCTCATCTGATAATTTCTGCAAAATTTCATCAAGGATTTGAAACAATAAATGTTTATTCAACTGATTGATCTGCAACATCAGAAATAGGGTAGATGCGGCTGTGGTGGTGTTTTCAGTCCCAAAAACCCTTGACCAAGTCTCGGTCATAAATGTGTCGAATAGCTGTTTTGCATCATTGTAGGTCTGGAGCTTTTGCAGTGTCGTTCTCACCTCTGGTTCCAATTTAAATTTTCCATCAGGGAAAAGCCGTTCACGTAATATCCTCAACCAGTTGTCAACACTACCTTTATTCAAATGAGTATGGACAACCTCATAAACTTTATTCTCAACAGCAGTTCCAAAAAACTGTTGAAGAATTACAACCAACGCCCTGCCCTTTAACCAATGGAGGTTGAAAAGGGTGATTATCATGTCACATATAGGCTCAATAAAAAGTGGTTTATTTGTTGGCTTTTCGTCAAACTGAAGCAACTCTTTCTCCATCACTCGCCTATTCTCCAATACTTCACCACTGCCATCCGGCAGCGTAAGTGTCTGATTGTATGCCATAGCCCTATTCCCGGAAGAACCCAAATACCACTTGTACCCAAATAACGCTGATAATTTTCTGGGTCCGTCAAATCGCTGATACCTTCCCAATTGAAAATTCTCTGAAGATAAAAAGGACCTAAATGCCATATCTGAGCAAACTTCAGGTATTTCAATGAGCGATCTCAAGTAAACTTCAAGTTGACGTCTCCTATTCTCAGTGATATTCTTTTGCTGAAATTTCAAAACTTGAATCGATTTTTGTGGGAAACTTAGCGCTGAAACTTGAGGATAACGACGTTTTAAATACCCATGCAATCTGTGGAATTGACTGTATCTTCTTGCAACAACCCAGCCAGCCTTGACGACGTTGGGCTCTTCAGTTGAAAATTTCTGAACCTCAATAATGTACAACACAAACTCCTTGGTCTTTTCACTGTGGTGAACAATCGACAGTATTGTAACTTTGGATTTGCCAAACAAACTATTGTCGCTCTCTTGAACAATATACTGCTGTTTCTGTAACTCCTTAAAAGCAATGTCTCTTTGTACACCATTTCTCGATTTAAGCAACACTTTTAGTTTCGATTGATTGTTCGTCAATTGGGCTTTACTTATTAGTGGTTCAAGGTAGAGGAGCTGCCGTTGAAGATTGTCAATTTCATTTTCAATTTGAGGTATTTTCTCAGTCAAATTCAAATTACCAGGTCCTGCTAATTCCATACTCTCACTACCTTCCTTCAAAATCACTGAATCGGTGTCAGTGTCTAAGCCATCCGAGTCTTCGTCATCGTCTGAAGATACCTCATCATCCTCAAATAGTCTCGAATACCGATCATTTCTATTAAATACTGCACGGTCTTTGAGATCGGACATTGAGTGCGGGCTACCCACCTCTGCAGAAATATTTTCCGACGCAAGAGACTTTTGGTCACTCATTATTGCAGCAAGTTTGTAGTCAATCTGGTTAATAACATCTTTGTCGTCTTCAGCCGTAATCCTCCAACTTTCATGGTTAGCATCCACTGACTTGGAGAAACTTGAATAAAATTCAGTCAGTAATTCCACGAATACCTCCTTTTGCAAATGCAAAAGAGCATCCTTGCAATCCAGAGGGCACCGAGAGTCAGCCATGAACTCGCTTGAATTCAATTGTTTGAATTTCCCCAAAACCGCATCATCAATATGAATGAGACCGGAATCAAAGTATTTTTCTTTCATGTATATGCACTCTTGCGCCGTGAGATTTAAAGCCTCTGGGGTTTGAGAATTTTCCAGCAACGGAGACTTTGACTGCTCCACCTTTGTCCAAAATTCTAACAAATGCGACTTGTTTTTGCTACTTAAATACCGCGTGAAGGTAGCCAGTTCACCAGGTGATTTGAGCACACCAACAAGCTTTTCCAATTGAGCAGACTGTATAGACTCCTTGTTACGGTGAACTACCGTGTCTTCTTTGAACTCGTCTTGTACGAAAATGTCTTTCAAATCCTGCTCTACCTCGTTCATGGTACGGTCAGGGACACTTGTCTTCGAAGCAATCGACGACATTGTATGCTCTTCCAAAGCAGATCGCAACTCCTTCACCTGGTTTCTGCGCATCAAACTGTCACCGATAAACTTGACAAATTGCATATTTATAAAATCGGCATCAGTTATTAAATTGAAAATATTGTCCAATATTGTACAGGCTAAAATCTCGGTGACCAACATTGCCACAACCTCATTCGATTTTTCGCCATCTGAAAGTACCTTGGATATGAGTTTTCTCATTTGACCTCTCAAGTACGATTTCTCTCGAAAATTTGCTTCCCTTGTTTCCATTTGCTCGACTGTTACTCCCACATGCAAGTTTCCATCATTGAAAGTTGAGAGTAGCTCCATATAATCATCCTCGCTTGAATTTCCCAGATCATTATTCTGTCGCCGTTTCTGAGCCTCTATAAAAGCTACATAGTGGTTGTTGAACAAGGGTAGGAATTTCAAAGTAATGAGTTTTGCAAAGTCTAGTTTCTGAAGCTTCCTGGTGAGGCCCTGGATAACATATGAGACCTCAGACTCAATATCGTCGGCAAACAAGGTAGATGAGCTGATTGTGGAAAACCAAGAGTTGACAAACTCATTGATAATCAAACTTATCAACTGTGATAAGGGTTCTGAAATCGCCTCGGATCTAAGGTCTCCTTTCAGATGTCCCTTTCGGAATAGCTCAGTTTCTCTTTCCCATCGGCTACGACAGGTGAAATGGAATCGATGTGTTTTATTAGTCCTTGAGTCATGAGGTGATGGCCATTTAATCGTAATATAAAAGTACCCAACGATTGCAAGAATAAATCCAAGTGCTAACGGTATCATTGTAATTGGATAAAAGTAGAAGCACAGTAGGCCAGTAACAATCCCCAAATGAAACCACATGCGAGACATAGGGCAACTTTTGTTGCACTAGGGTGACGTAGAATATCCTTTGGCTTATGGCGAGAGACACTTTTGCTGTGAATGTTTACTTTTCTGTTTTTAATTTCCTTATTGTGTAATCACACGTAATTTCGTCTAATACGTTTCTATAACCATGCTAAATGCCTATGTTCTATGAAAAATTAAATGACCAGGTAAATTGAAATTGAGTCTCTTACCTCTTCTGATATCTGTTTTACTTTCTCTTAACTCGTTAGACTGACTGTAGGTTCCCTTTTCCGCCTCTTCTTGCCCTTCTCGAGAGCTGGATCACTTTCCCTTGTCCATCGCTTCTTGCAGCTGAACTCTTCCTTCTTGTCCTTCTTGTCCTTCTTGTCCTTCTTGTCCTTCTTGTCCTTCTTGTCCTTCTTCTCTTTCTTGTCCTTCTTGTCCTTCTTCTCCTTCTTGTTGCTCTTTTCCTCTTTTGTTGTCGCCTTCAGCTTAATACTTGTCAATTTTTCCATTTCAGTAGCAGCTTTTGCTGCTAAATCTGTAACATGAGCTTCCTGTATGTGGTCTTTTTTCCCTAGTGTGCCCTCTAGACCCTTTCCTTTCACAAACATTCGATATAGGGGGGACATATTCCTGTTCAAAGTTTTCAACACGGTTTCGTTATTATGCTTGAAAGAAACACCATCTGCCTTGTTTTGATTATTAACTTCCAACCCCTTCAATTGTCCATCAAATAGTTTTTCCCACCACATATCAGCGTGATTCGAATCGTGCCCTAGACCTTTACTATCCTTCTTGTGTTTGACCAAAATGGGTTTCTTCAAACCACCTTTTTTCAAGGGTTCCCCTTCTGTCCATCCAAAAGACTGTAGATAAACTTTGGCATCCATATTTAAGTGACTATTTGGCTATGTGGGTCCATCAACGACTGTGCTGCAACTGATTTGATGCGATGGAGTTTCTGAATTTTTTTTTTTTTTTTGTTTTTTTTTTTTTTTTAACAGACCACAACTTTGTGTCCAGTAGACAACGAAGAATGACTTCTCTCGACTTTCTGTTTGTCTTTCTTCGTTTCGTCCTTGTTAATTGACTCAACAAGCCAACCACAGCCTGATATGAGCCTAATAGGTCTAATTGACGAGTTCGAAGTCGCAATCAATCAGAATCCGTATCTACCAGAAAACTATGACAAAATATTAAGTAGGCTCCAAGTCTTTCCTGACACTGCTCTACTAATCAACAAGATTTACAAGGAAAAAGTGAAATACTTTAGGCTTCGTCAATCGGAACTTAACAACTGGCTATTTGAACTACGAACCATTGAGGACGTTCGAGAGCGATCCACCTTGGAGTATGCATTTTATGAGACAATAATTGATGATTACCCAACTGTAAATATAGTGACTGCAATGCTAGAGTTGGCCAGTCAACTATTATCGAATGAACAAATTACTGAAGATGAATATCGAGCATTGGTTTCTAAAGGTCTCAAGCTTTGCGGATATGATTTTGTCAACGGGAATGATATTTGGAGGGTAAGCTTGGACTTGCTTTTGCAACGTTTTCTCAAAAGTAACGACGTCACCGACTTGGATACCTTGATCAAGTTGCATTTGAAAAGGTTGAGTTACCCTCTCCAACAATTAGATGAATCATTTGAGGAGTTTTCGTCATTGGTTACCAAATACAAGATCGAAGATTATGATCAATTGATTCAAGTTGCAAATAAAGTGTACTCCACCACTAAGCAGAAGTTACCTCATTATGAAAAGTTTGAATTGCAGATTAAGGATGCACCCGATAACTTTGCTCTATGGGTTGAGTACATGGAGGCCGTTTATAAATATCAACCCAACTTCACCCACATTTTAACAATACTCGCAAGAGCAACACAAACTGACCTTTCCTTTTCAAACAATGGCCAGCAACTTTGGATGTCAGTTCTTTACATGTTATACTCCTCAGAGGATGTAGACGACATAGTCTTGACCTCGTTGCTTGAGCGGTATCTCAGAACATTTCCATATTCCTGCGCTGCATATGCCGAAAATATAAAGAATTGTATTGCATTAAAAGAGGCTGGCAGGCAGAAGTTCATTGACATCGAAAACAGAATCAGAGCAATTGATTTGCGAGGAAGTTCTGACTATATAGATTGGAAGCTTGTGGCGCTTTCTATGATGCATTATAAATACCAAATTGGATTGGCCCAAGACAGCTTTGAGTCACTCGATTATGTATTTGATACTATGGTCAAGTATGCATTGGAAAATAGGGATCGTTTCCACTCCGTGGAGAAATTGGCAGTTTCGCTATACATCTCGTTGGGCAAGTTTTCTCGTGCAATGGAGGTGATTTTATCAATGTTTCAAACTTTCCCAACAGAAGCAAGCGTCTGGCTATATGGAATTCGTTGCTTCATTGAGCACGATGTTGATCAAGAGCGTATAAGGGAAACATTTAAGAAAGCTTTGTCGCTTTCTGATAAACTCGACTCGCCTGAAGATTTGACGGAAGAATGGCTATTGTTTGAACAAGTGCAAGGAAATATTGCTTCTTACAGAAAAGCTGTAATTGTTTGCAACAAAACTCTACAAGCGTTTGTAGAATCCAAGGCGAAGGAAGCTCCCATGCAACCGGTTCTACATGTTGACAGAAAGAGAAGTCACGATATGTCAGAAGAGCTCATGAGATCAAGGGAGGAGTTTGCAGTTCAAGTGAACAACTTACCCGTTGATGCGACGGAACAAGATTTAAAAAACTTCTTCACTGGTTGTGGTGAGATCCGTGAAATATACTTTATCGAACTCAACGGCACGAAACAGGCCGTGGTTGAATTCTCCAATGAGCTTGATGTGTTTTCAGCAATGACACGAACTCACAAGTATATCGGATCTAATGAGATAACTGTGGTAAAAGTGGAAAAGACCCTTTTGTTTGTCAACAACTATCCCAGCACATTCAGCCAACAGGATGTGAGAAACATGTTTGCACTGATTGGCCCAGTAGTCAGCATTAGATTCCCATCACAACTAAAAAACAAAGTCCGTAGGTTTTGTTACGTACAGTTTGCTAGATCCCAAGATGCTGAAAAGGCAATTGCCTTATACGATGGGCAGACATACCAAGACGAGAATCTCCACCAGGTGTTTTCTTGGGAAGTAAAGTACTCAAGACCTCAAGAGAGGAAGGATCGAACTACACCTATTTCTGAACGTAAGCTCCGTGTGTCCAACATAGCCTTTTCAATTACGGAGGACGAGTTGAGGAACGAGTTCTCGCAATGCGGTGAGATTGACCTGATAGCTATGCCCAAGGCTGTCTACGATACTAAGAAGCGTCGCTTAAAACATAATGGTGGATTGGCTATAATTACTTACAAGGATGCAAGTAGCGTCGAAGATGCATTAAAGAAGAACGGAGTTGCCTTGAAAGGAAGGACCATCAATGTTTCCAAGCAACAGCCCCACACCAATTGGACACCTGACGACTTTGACACAATTAGATCTATTGGTCTCGCCAATTTAGACCCTTCATTAAACACGTTTCAAGTGAAAAATCATTTGGAGAGAAATTTTGGACAGGTATCGAAAATACTTTTGTTGCCCAATTATGGATCAGCCTTGGTTGAATTTGTGTCGGCCAAAGACAGTGGTAAGATATCGTTAGGTTTCAGTACGATACAGATTGATAACTACCAGGTTCAAGTCACCACTAAGGAATCAATAATCGGTGTTATCAACTCAAGCTCCATTAGCAATAATACTGAACCTGATCCAAGTGAGTCCAATTCCAGACCTGTGTTGGTCCCCACATCTATCAAAAGAAGAAGAGTCTAAAATGTATACCTTCTCAATATGGATATATTATATTTACGCCGCCGAAAAATCTCTCGACTCTGTAGAAAGAGCTAAACGTGAGTCAAAGAAAACGAAACAAAAGTAAAAAAAACGGAAAAAAAAAATAAAAAAAAAAAAATAAAAGAAAAGAAAAATCTCGATCTGAAAATAAATTTTTCACCTTTAAACCACACCACCATTCTGCATCAACGATGAGTGTTACATTTGAAAAGACGTTCCGTAGGGATGCCTTGATTGAGATTGAGAAGAAGTATCAAAAGAAATGGGAGGAAGACAAAGTGTTTGAAATCAACGCCCCAACTTTTGAGGAATGCCCCACGGACAACATCGATGAGGTGAGAGAGAAATACCCCAAATACTTTGCTACCATGGCTTACCCTTACATGAACGGTGTTTTGCATGCGGGCCACGCGTTTACTTTATCCAAGGTTGAGTTTGCCACAGGATTTGAAAGAATGAATGGAAAGCGGGCATTGTTCCCTTTGGGATTTCATTGTACCGGTATGCCGATCAAGGCAGCGGCCGATAAAATCAAGAGAGAAGTGGAATTATTTGGACCCGACTTTGCTGGAGCACCTGCAGAGGACGAATCTATTGAGCAAAAAGTGGAAACTAAAGCCAAGAGAGAAGATGTGACCAAGTTCAGCTCTAACAAGTCCAAGGCAGCTGCCAAAACAGGAAGATCCAAATTTCAGTTTGAAATCATGTTGCAATTGGGTATTCCAAGGGAAGAGGTTGCAAAATTTGCCAACACGGATTACTGGCTTGAGTTTTTCCCACCTTTGTGCCAAAAAGATGTTTCTGCCTTTGGCTCTAGGGTTGATTGGAGACGTTCCATGGTTACCACCGATGCTAACCCATACTATGACGCATTTGTCAGGTGGCAAATCAACAGATTGAGAGATTGTGGTAAGATCAAATTCGGAGAGAGATATACCATTTACTCTGAGAAGGACGGCCAAGCTTGTTTGGACCATGATAGACAATCAGGTGAGGGTGTGACGCCACAGGAATATGTTGGTATCAAAATCAAGGTTGACGAGTTTGCTCCAGCCGCAGAAGAGGTTTTGAAGAAGGAGAATGTTGACTTGAACAATAAAACGGTTTATCTTGTTGCCGCTACATTAAGACCCGAAACTATGTATGGTCAAACAACTTGTTTTGTGAGTCCAAAGATAGATTACGGTATATTCGATGCTGGAAATAACGAGTACTTTATCACAACAGAGCGTGCTTTCAAAAACATGTCGTTCCAGAATTTGACTCCAAAGAGAGGTTATTATAAACCCATTGCAACCATTAACGGTAAAGCCTTGATTGGCTCAAAGATTGATGCTCCTTTGTCGCAAACCAAGAATTTGAGAGTCTTGCCTATGGAAACTGTGAAGGCCACAAAAGGTACTGGTGTTGTTACGTGTGTGCCCTCAGACTCTCCAGATGATTACATCACTACAAAGGATCTTGCAAACAAACCAGAGTATTATGGAATCGAGAAAGAGTGGGTACATACCGATATCATTCCTATCGTACACACTGAAAAGTATGGAGACAAGTGTGCTGAGTACTTGGTAAACGAGCTAAAGATCAAGTCACCTAAAGACGCATTGCAATTAGCTGAAGCAAAGGAGTTAGCCTACAAGGAAGGTTTTTACAACGGTACCATGATGGTTGGTAAATATAAAGGCGAGAAAGTTGAGGCAGCAAAGCCAAAAGTTAAGGCCGATATGATTGCTTCAGGTGACGCATTCGTGTATAGTGAACCGGAAAACCAGGTCATTTCAAGATCCGGTGATGACTGTTGTGTTTCTTTGGAAGACCAATGGTTTATTGATTACGGTGAAGAGGTTTGGTTGGGTCAAGCTTTGGAGTGCCTCAAAGATATGGAATTGTTTTCTAGTGAAACAAGAAACGGCTTTGAAGGTGTCTTTGCTTGGATGAAGAACTGGGCAGTCACTAGAAAGTTTGGATTGGGAACTAAATTGCCTTGGGACCATCAATATTTGGTTGAATCGTTATCGGACTCAACAGTTTACATGGCTTACTACACTATTGATCGCTTCTTGCATTCAGACTACTATGGGAAAGTTCCAGGAAAATTCAACATAAAGCCAGAGCAATTGACCGACGAAGTTTTTGATTTCATCTTTACTCGTCGTGATGAGGTTGAAACTGAAATTCCACTTGATCAGTTAAAGGAGATGAGAAGAGAATTTGAGTATTTTTACCCATTGGATGTGAGAGTTTCGGGTAAGGATTTGGTTCCAAATCACTTGACTTTTTTCATTTACACTCACGTAGCTTTGTTCCCAAAAAGACTTTGGCCAAAAGGTGTCAGAGCAAATGGACATTTGTTGTTGAACAATGCCAAGATGTCGAAATCCACTGGTAATTTCATGACTTTAGAGCAGATCGTGGAGAAGTTCGGAGCTGATGCATCTAGAATTGCCATGGCGGATGCAGGGGATTCGGTAGAAGATGCAAATTTCGACGAGGCCAACGCCAATGCTGCCATCTTGAGATTGACAACATTGAAAGATTGGTGTGAGGATGAATTGAAGAACCAGAATGAGTTGAGAACTGGCGATTACGATTCCTTCTTTGACGAGGCATTTGAAAATGAAATGAACGAGTTGATTGAAAAATCTTACTACCAATACACTTTGAGCAATTACAAGCAAGCATTAAAGTACGGTTTATTTGACTTCCAGATTGCAAGAGATTTCTACAGAGAGTCGGTCAACTCTGCCTCAATTGGAATGCACAAGGATCTCGTTTTGAAATATATCGAATATCAAGCATTACTTTTGGCCCCTATCGCCCCTCACTTTGCTGAATATCTTTATAAAGAAGTGTTGGCAAAAGAAGGAAGTGTTCAAACTGCTCAGTTCCCTAAGCCTTCCAAGCCTGTGTCCAAGTCCATTTCTGAATCTTTGGAGTATGTGAGACATGTAGCTCGTGCCATTCGTGAGGCCGAAGGTTCTGGTTTGAGAAAAAAGAAGGGTAAAGCTGATTTGGAAACAGGAGATTCGGTCAAATTGACAATCTTGGTTTCAAACACTTTCCCTGACTGGCAAGAAAACTATATTGAATTTGTGCGTGAGTTGTTTGATGCTCAGAAACTTTCTGATAACAACTTGATCAAGGAAAAGGTTGGTAAGGACATGAAGAGAGCCATGCCTTTTATCAACCAGTTGAAAATCAGGCTTAATACTGAAGATCCAAAGATTGTGTTCAATCGTAAATTGAACTTCAACGAGGTAGACACTTTGAAGAAGGTTGTAAATCTCATCAAGAACTCGCCCTACTCGATCAAGGTCAAGGAGTTGCAAATCATTGCGTTTGATAACGGAAGTGAAAACGGGAAGGACGTTTTGACTGGTGGAGATGTTGTCGTTGACATCAGGGGCAAGGTTAAAGATGCTGCGGTCCCCGGTTTCCCTGGAATTTCACTCAAGAAAGTTGAGGCTTGAGGACGTTATCTTAGATTTATAGAAATTTAAAGTACTCATAGTTTGATTCGTCGTAAAAGGATGATTCCTGCCTTTGTTATTTTCACTAACCCCCCCCTCCAGTCTAATTCACGTATCAAATCAAGTTGGAAAAGGGAAAAACAAAAAAAAGAAAAAAAAAAAACATATTAAAAACATCTGTTTGAAGGACATTCAAAAACTCAAAAGATATAGTAGTTATCGAAGAAAAAGAGCTCAACACCAGTTTCAATAACAGTTAATCAACTCGCAAGGCATTTCAAGTACTTTGTTTTGAACCCGTGGTAGCACAGAAATAAAAGAGCAGAGTTCTTTGCTAAGTTGAGTATTGTTCAGTATATTTCAAGTTGAGGACAATCATTTTAACGTCACCAAGTATACAAAGACACATAGAGTTTGTATTTTGAACGTTTGCTGCCAAGTATCTGCTATCTCCCAAAAATTCTTGTTTAGATCACGAATAAATCTGAAGAGATGGATTGCAACAAAGTGTCTGATTTTGTTTACCCTCTTAGTGATAAGCCCGCCAAGTTTGAATACAAGCTAGTCAACCAAAATGGGAAGTTGGCTGAGGTCCCACTACACAAGGAGTATCAGAGGCTCTCATTGTTTGAAGAGAAGCAGCCCTTCTGTCAACAGGAAGTAACTGCGGAATGCTTAGAATCGACCGACCGTACCGTGGCTGCTGAACACACACATGAAAACTCTCGGAAGAGAAATGCTGGTGATGACGATTCGGCGGAGAGAGATAGTATGATCTCTTGCGAAGACATAACTTCTTCGGACACAGACTCCAACACTCAAGTTTCGGCCCTGTCACGCGTGCATTCTTATCGCACAAATGGCCTTTTACATCCACCAACTAAGAAGAGATTGACCTCAGGGTATGATCTGATAGGTTCGGCCAGCTTCCAAGTAGAGTCACCAGGCAGTATGTCCACTGCAATAGTGCCTGGCGTGAATAGCAACATGAGCACAGTGGATGTTAGTGACAATGGGCGAGATATGATGGCAAATATGCAAAGTCAGGTTAGCACCAGTCACAGTTTAGGAGAGGGTATTAATGACAACAACAACAACAACAACAATATTAACAGCAATCAAACTGGTAACCTCGTACGAGACCAGCTACGTCGTCCAAAGACACCAAATACAATGAACTCTCCTAGTCAGACCCCAGTGTCGGATATGGAAGAGGACCCGATTCAACAGTTACCACTACCTTCGCCGAGTGCATCTCCTATTCAGCTGGATCATGAAAATGATGACGATGTATCTTCTGAAACTCCTAGAAGAATGGGCCAACGGTTGAATTTAGAAATGATTGAGAGTCATATGGCAAGTATTCCAAGCACTCAAGCTGAGTTGATCAACACAATAAAACATTTATCGCAGTTTCTCTCACCACAAAATCAAAACCATTTGATTTTCCGGTTGTTGCAGAAAACAAATCGGTCCTCGTTGAGCACGTTTAATGGTTTGCTACATGATTCCTTGAAACGTGACTTACTTGGCAATTTACCAATTGAAATCGCGATGAAAGTTTTGTCATATCTAGACGCTGACACGCTTCTTTCAATATCTGAAGTGTGCAAAAAGTGGTTCAAAATCATCAACAATACTGCTTTGTGGGCCAATTTATTGAAAAGAGACAAACTTATAACTGATGAAAACGTCATCAAGTATGAACTAAGCGATACCACAGAGCTACTTAGCGAATGGTGTACACTACCTGACGACATTAACCCTGCCCAGGTGTTGTACAAGAAGCGGAGGATGATTGTTAATAGGTGGCTTGATCCTAAATTCAAACCAAAAAGAATAAGTGTCAAAGGGCATGGCAATAAAGTGGTTACTTGTTTACAACACGACGAAGAGAAGATTGTCACTGGTGTCGATGACAAATATATTCTCATATACAGCACGCAAACGGGCCAGTTGACGAAAGTATTGGAGGGTCATGATGGGGGAGTGTGGGCTATGAAGTACTACAAAAACACTTTGGTGACTGGATCTACCGACAGATCAGTTCGAATTTGGAACATGGCTACTGGGAAATGCACACACGTGTTTCGTGGGCATACCTCTACCATTAGATGCCTCGATATAATAACCCCATCGGTTATAGGAAAAGATGCTCATGGGGAAGATATTGTTTTCCCGGAACATCCATTGTTGATTACGGGATCTCGTGATCACAATATTCACGTTTGGAGACTACCTATTCTACAAGAAGATGCTGTCGATGAAGTCACGTTTGATAGCGGGGAAAGTGAAAACCCGTATTTAATAGCAGTTCTCACAGGCCATACTCAATCGGTGCGCTCCCTTTCAGGATATGGAAATATTATCATTTCTGGTTCGTACGATTCTACAGTGCGCATTTGGGACTTGCTTGATAACGGGAGATGTAAACACATTTTACAAGGTCATCAAGACAGGGTTTACTCAACAGCAATAGACTTTGACAGAAAAGTTTGTTTTTCAGGATCGATGGATTCCACTATAAATATTTGGAATTTTGAAACTGGCGAGTTGTTGAAAGTGTTGGAGGGACACTCCTCGTTGGTTGGGTTATTAGCTTTGGTGGACGGTGTATTGGTATCTGCTGCTGCTGATGCATCGCTTAGAATCTGGGATCCTGCGACTGGTGACTTGAGAAGCAAGTTGAGAGGACATGCTGCTGCTATAACATGTTTTGAACATGATGGGTTGAAAGTGGTTAGTGGAAGTGAAAAAATGCTCAAGTTGTGGGATGCTCAACGCGGTGAATTTGCTAGAAACTTATTAGATGATGTAACAGGAGGAATTTGGCAAGTGAGGATCGATTACAAGAGATGTGTTGCCGCTGTGCAAAGAGTCAACAGCGCTGACGAAGGTGAAACGTATATCGAAATTTTGGATTTCAGTGAAGTTCCAAACTTTCAAAGTTGACGATGAGCTTATAGTTGATAACATTTGTATGATGGAATGCCAAATAAGACGGGAAATTTTTGTTGCTAAAAACTGCTCTATGGCTGTAGATTCTTAGATAGATAATCGCAGGTGAAAATAAAAAAAAAAAAAACAAAAAAAATTAAGTTGAAAATTTGGTCAGTTTTTCAATTCCAGATCCACGCTATCAACAAGCTAAAAAATGTCTAGAAGACCAGTGTTGGAAGAAGTAGACGACGATGAGATTGACAATCTCGATATGGATATTGCAGAGTTCGATCCTAACTTGAAGACTCCAGTGGCTCCAAAGAGACCTGAACCTACAATTGTTCGTTCGCAAGACCAAAATCAAGAACCACCCTTGTTTCCTCAAACACCATTTGGAAATGTTGCTCCTCCGTCCGCACAACAACAGTCACAACAACCTTCAACTAGAAGTAATATTCTTGATCCTGAGAACTTTACTCCCGAACAAAAAGCCCAATTTGAAAAGTTTCAAATTATATATCCATGTTATTTCGACATAAATCGTTCTCATAAAGAAGGAAGGCGAGTCAGTATTGACCGAGCAGTCGAAAATCCGTTAGCTATAACCATATGCGATGCATGCCGCGCATTACAAATCCCGGCATTACTAGAATTGGACAAGACGCATCCTCAGGATTTTGGCAATTCTGGACGAGTAAGAGTATTATTGAAGGACTTCAAGAACGACAACAAACCCATTGATCCGAAACTTGCCACCAAGAGAAGTTTGTACAACAAGATTGCGGATTACTTGGCGGACCACCCAACAAGTTTAGATAGTGTGGGTGCCAAGAGTGGAATTGCCATTCCTCCAGATTTCCAAAGAGATTTTAAAGTGGAGGAGATTCCCAAGGTCAAGGGTTTTAGGATGAACACGATTGTTCCTATTCATTCCAACTTCACTATGAAACACCCCATGACCAAGAGTATCTATGACGTTGAGCCTGAGACTAATGCAAACGCAATTCAAAACAAGCCAAATGTGCCAAAGGCACCCAAGAAGAAAATAATGAAAATTCGTGGATGATGAACACAATGCTAAACTGCGGGGTGGGGATCACACTATATATACATATACATATACATATATATATATATATATATACACTATGTTTAGGCGCCATATTTGCTTCTGTACTCTTTAATAGATTTCAAATCGGCGTCGCTTATCTTGCCCTGTAAAATTGTAATGATCTCAGCTAAGCTTACAATTGACAATACAGGAATACCGTATTTTTCGCTGACTGCCTTAGTTGCAGACTTTGTGGTATCTGTGACTGTCGTTTCTTGTCTATCCAAAGCAATGATACAGCCGACACATTGACCTTTTTCCTGGGCAATTATTTCAAATGCCTCATTGATGGCGGTACCTGCAGTAATCACATCATCAATGATCAAGATTTTCTTATCTGCCAACGGGCACCCGACAATTGATCCACCTTCACCATGATCTTTCTTTTCCTTTCTATTGAAAGAGTATCCAGTATCACCATAATTTTCAGGATCCAACTCTGCTAATTTTGCAACAGTAATTGCAGCCAATGGTATACCTTTATAGGCAGGGCCAAATAAGATATCGAATTTCAATTTGCTCTCAATGATTGCTTCGGCATAGGCAGTTGCCAAGCTTGATAACAATTTCCCGGTGCTGAATAAACCCAAGTTGAAGAAATACGGTGACTCACGCTTAGATTTGAGGGTGAATTTGCCAAACTTCAAAGCTTGTGAGTCCAAGGCTAATTGCAAGAAATCGGATTGGTATTTAGAAGGCATTTAGTGGATAAGGAGTTGCTACGGAAAGAGAGAGGAGGGAGGAAGGGAAGGGGGAAAGGGTCCCCTATATGATGGTTGTAGTAAAGATAACGCCGCGCCGGACAAATCACAGTGCAAGGATTCGCTGTGCTCATCGAATTTTGGTCGTGTGCGAGAAATTTTTAATTGTAGTCACAAACATTTGTATAATGAATCAGAAACGGGCTCTATCTAGAAGAGACTTTCTTGTGTTGTCACAATTGACTGCAGATGTGCTAATGTGGTAGTAGTATCAATGGAGATCGAAAGGGTTAAGTAAGGCTCAAGTGAAATGGTGTATCAACGTTTCAATATTTGCATCAATATGATTGCAAAAAAAAAAAAAGTAGAGTGTGAAGAGGTGTTCTGGAGTGCAGTGTGAGTGGTCATCGTGAACTATTCATCGAATCATTTTCAATGTCATAGTCAACGTTAAGAAATCCGGTAAAAAATTGATTCCAACTCTCATCTCCGTGGTTGTCGGAGCCCTGGAAGACAAGGACTAGGGGAGATCGTACCATTCTCCCTATACGAACAGGAGGGTAGCGTAAACGATGGAAAAGAACACGACAGATATTCTTAATCTTTGTGATACATATTTTTCCCTCACCATTGCACGTGCACTGTTTCTATACTGTCTCTTCTTAGCGTTGGCTATTGTTCTACACCACACTACTTTCTCCCTTCTTTCTTTCCTTCTTTCTTTGAAACCTCTTCNCTTGTTTTGTGTGAACTAGTGTAATTTCGACTCCACGTTGTTCATTGACATTGGCTAATTACAATTTAGGTGTGTGGATCAACTAACAGAAACTACTTGAATGACTGTCGAGAAAGATTTCAGCGGTGTATAGACAACGACGAATCGGTATAGAGTAAATACGGCACAGATTGAACAACACTGGATCTAACAATTTGAGCTTGAACCAACAACCAACAACCAAGGAACAGCGTGGGAGGTAAATGTGTGGCACACGCACACACGCGCACTACTACAGTAGAAGTCATTCACAACACAAAAAAGAAAAACACAAACACACACACACAAAAATCAGACACAACAAACAACAACAAAAAAATTTTCACTTTGACTCAAGGTACACTACCCTTACTCTGTCTTTGTATTATTACTATTATTACTATTTTTATTAAGATACAAAACGGGTAATTGACTTCGGTTCACACGCTCCTCAATTTAAAACTCTGGCTTTTTTTTTTCAACAAATTTACGCCTTCAATTTATACCCTCTTCTTCTTCTTCTTCTTCTTTCTTTCAAAGCTTTAGTTTTCATTTACCTTGTTCTAATAAAACTAATCTCATTTTTTCCAATAAAAATGGTACAATCATCTGTTTTAGGTTTCCCACGTATTGGTGGCCAAAGAGAATTAAAAAAAATCACTGAATCTTACTGGGGTGGCAAAGCCACTGTGGACGAATTGTTGGCCACTGGTAAGCAATTGAGAGAACACAACTGGAAGTTGCAAAAGGATGCTGGTGTTGATGTCATTCCATCAAATGACTTTTCTTACTACGACCAAGTTTTGGACTTGTCATTGTTGTTCAATGCTATTCCAGAAAGATACACCAAGTTCGACTTGGCCCCAATTGATGTCTTGTTTGCCATGGGTAGAGGTTTGCAAAGAAAAGCCACCGATTCCACTCCTGCTGTTGATGTCACTGCTTTGGAAATGGTTAAATGGTTTGACTCTAACTACCATTATGTTAGACCAACTTTTTCACACTCTACCGACTTCAAGTTGAACACTGCCGCTGGTATCAAACCAGTTGACGAATTCAACGAAGCCAAGGCTTTGGGTATCACCACTAGACCAGTCATTTTAGGTCCAGTCTCTTACTTGTTTTTGGGTAAGGCTGACAAGGATTCTCTTGACTTGGACCCAATTTCTTTGTTGCCAAAATTGTTGCCAGTATACAAGGAATTGTTGTCCAAATTGAAGGCAGCCGGTGCTGAAGAAGTTCAAATTGATGAACCAGTCTTGGTTTTGGACTTGCCAGAATCAGTTCAATCAAAATTCAAGGAAGCTTACGATGCTTTGGCCACTGCTGAAGCTCCAAAACTCATCTTGACCACTTACTTTGGTGATGTTAGACCAAACTTGAAGGCTATTGAAAACTTGCCAGTTGCTGGTTACCATTTCGATTTTGTTAGAGTCCCTGAGCAATTGGACGAAGTTGCGTCAGTTGTCAAAGGTGACCAAACATTGTCAGTTGGTGTTGTTGACGGTAGAAACATTTGGAAGACTGACTTCTCAAAGGCCTCTGAAATTGTCAACAAGGCCATTGAAAAAGTTGGTAAAGACAAGGTTGTTGTCGCCACTTCATCATCGTTGTTGCACACCCCAGTTGACTTGGAATCTGAAGCTAAATTGCCAGCTGAAATCAAGGACTGGTTTTCTTTTGCTACTCAAAAATTAGATGAAGTTGTCACCATTGCCAAGAACGTTTCTGGAGAAGATGTCTCCAAGAAATTGGAAGCTAATGCCGCTTCCATCAAGGCTAGAAAGGAATCATCAATCACCACCAACCCAAAGGTTCAAGAAAGGTTAACCACCATCAACGAGTCCTTGTCTACTAGAAAGTCTCCTTTCCCAGAAAGATTGGCTGAACAAAAGAAGAAATACAACTTGCCATTGTTCCCAACCACCACCATTGGTTCATTCCCTCAAACTAAAGACATCAGAGTCAACAGAAACAAATTTGCCAAGGGACAAATCACCGCTGAAGAATACGAGCAATTCATCAACAAGGAAATTGAAACTGTTGTCAGATTCCAAGAAGAGATTGGCTTGGATGTCTTGGTTCACGGTGAACCAGAAAGAAACGATATGGTTCAATACTTTGGTGAACAATTGGATGGTTTCGCTTTCACCACTAACGGTTGGGTCCAATCATATGGTTCCAGATACGTTAGACCACCAATCATTGTTGGTGATGTTTCAAGACCAAAGGCTATGACTGTCAAGGAATCAGTTTACGCACAATCTTTGACCAAGTCTCCAATGAAGGGTATGTTGACTGGTCCAGTCACTATCTTAAGATGGTCTTTCCCAAGAGACGACGTTTCCGGTAAGCTTCAATCATTGCAATTAGGTTTGGCCTTGAGAGATGAAGTCAATGATTTGGAAAAAGCTGGAATCACTGTTATCCAAGTTGATGAACCAGCTATCAGAGAAGGTTTGCCATTGAGAGCAGGTAAGGAGAGATCTGATTACTTGAACTGGGCTGCTCAATCTTTTAGAGTTGCCACCTCCGGTGTTGAAAACTCCACCCAAATCCACTCACACTTCTGTTACTCAGACTTGGACCCTAACCACATCAAAGCATTGGATGCTGATGTTGTCTCCATTGAGTTTTCCAAGAAGGACGACCCACACTACATCCAAGAGTTTGCTGAATATCCAAACCACATTGGTTTAGGTTTGTTTGATATCCACTCACCAAGAATCCCATCTAAACAAGAATTCGTTTCAAGAATTGAAGAAATCTTGAAGGTTTACCCAGCTGATAAATTCTGGGTTAACCCAGATTGTGGTTTGAAGACTAGAGGATGGCCAGAAGTTAAAGAATCATTGACCAATATGGTTGATGCTGCTAAAGACTTCCGTGCTAAATACTAAGCTTTTCAAACACGCGCACCCTTTGGGGTGTATGTGTTCAATCTGCATTGATTCAATTCTCTTGAATGTTGATGTGTGGTGTCATTATACTGTTACATTTTATTCAACATTAATGTAATTTCAAACTGTTATCTTTATTAACGAAGCTGTTATGAAAAAAAGAAAAATTTTTTTTTTTATATTATTATTATTATTATTCATTTTATACTTTGCATCACTTGTGATTGCATCTTGTCATTAGTCATTATTAGGTTCAACATCGGTTCATTATATAGTTTAATATACTTTCGTGGTGTATTAAGAAAATGTGTGTGTTTCACTGTAGATCTTTTGGAGGAGAGAGAGAGAGAGAGAGAGAGTTTGTGTGTGTGTGTGTGTGTGTGTATGTGTGCCACAAAGATGGTGCGTTTGCCATCAAACAAAAAAATAGAAAATAAAAAATGAATGTGCTCTCTCTGTCAACTTTTCTCTCCAGTGATAGCAAAGGTGGTACATCAATTGCACTTTAAGTATAAACCTACGCCCTTTCTACTTTAACTATGTCAGAAGATAATTCACACGTAGCTGAATTCATATCAATTACCAATGCCTCGAAAAGTTTAGCTGAACAGTACTTGCAAAGGAACGACAATGATTTAGTTGAAGCAATTGAGGACTACTATGCCAATTCTGAACAAGTGCCACAGCATCCTCCCGAGCAACACGAGCCACCTTTTCTCCCACAAGGATCCAGCTCAGCAAGTAGCCGTTCTGGAGCTACTTCCAAAAAGAGAAAGGCACAAGGCGGCATTAAAACATTCCGGGATTTGAACAACGAAGATGATGAACTGGAAGACGACAGCACCAGTAACAATTTCTTTACTGGTGGTGAAAAATCAGCATTACAGGTAGAAGACCCCAACAAGGATAGAAATAATGGAGATCAAAATTTGATTGAACAGATTTTCCAAAGAGCCAGGGAACAAATGAATACTCCCGATGATCGTCCAAGTGCCCAACAGCAGCAGCAGCAGCAGCAACAATCATCATCACAAGCAGCAGCACACTTTTCTGGAACCGGATTCAAATTGGGGGATGGAACTGTACCAAGCGAACAGATTGAGGACCCACATGCACAGGCAAGAGAGTTGTTGAATCGATTCCGTCCTAAAAAAGTTAATCGCGAAATCACCTTTTGGAGGCAAGGTTTTACGGTTGGCGATAGTGAGTTGTACAGCTACGACGATGAAAGGAACAAGAGGATATTGAGTGAAATTGAGCAAGGAAGGGTTCCCATTACCATTTTGCAAGTGGACCCTGGTGATGATGTTGACGTGACAGTTTCGAAAAGGACCGACGAAGATTATAGACCTCCCAAGAGGAAAGTTGGAGGGTATCACGGATCAGGGCATAGGCTTGGGTCTCCTGTACCTGGTGAGCCAATTGTTACTGAGACGAAGGCGGACTCCGAAAAGGAGGCAAAACCAGTAGACGCCCAACCGAAATCCGCCGATGAAGGGGAAGGTGATACGGCTATTCAAATAAGGTTTGCCAATGGGAAGAGAGCCTCACATAAGTTTAATTCGGATGATTCAGTTTCCGTGGTTTATGATTACGTGAGAGGCCATGAATACAATGCTGACAATAGAGGTAGAAATTTCGCGTTGAGTCATGCATTCCCGGTTAAGCCCATTGAAGAGAGTAGTGAGGTATCTATTGGTGACGCAAAGTTGAAGAATTCTGTCATTGTGCAGAGATGGGTATAAATAGAGTTTTTGTATACTTGTGTATTTGTATAGCGTGACGACCCTTCACTAGCGATGCAGTAAAAAAAGAAAAAAAATAAAAAATAAAATAAATATTGAATAGGAAATTTTGCAGACAGGTACTCTACAAAGTTAGGCTCTGCTTCTTCATACACCAGCATTTATCGTAAACCAATGATACGACCACAGTTACATATATGATGCTACGATACTACACTATACCCAGGTTGCGACATATGCGACAGTTGCGACCGAGACACTACCACAAAACTCTGTACAATGTTGGGTTTATGAAAAATCTTTCAGTCGGGTCTAAGGTATTTGAAGACGGAGTGCTGACTCTGGGAGAGAGGATAAATCAACACGTATATGACATTGCTAGCGAGCACTATCGTCGGCTAGGTCATTTTAGCGAAAGTGGTGTCTCGAGTAATGGATATCTTTTACCAGAACCGGCACCTGCCACTGCACCTCCAATGACTCCACCAATGGATTTCCAAAATATAGTCAGGTCTAACAAGTACAATGTTCCACAAATGGGGTCGTTTGTTGAGTTTCGAAAACAAAACCAGATGAAAGTGGGAGTGGTTTTACAAGATTCACAGGCCAGGTTCGACGAGAGGTTAAATCACCTTATAGTGCTAACTCATGATAATGAGATACTTCAAGTCAAGCCTCTACAAGTCAAGTTTCATTTGTATAAATTCATCCCTGATGGATGGGTAGACTATACAAAGATATTAACTGAGCGTCACAACCCGTCTCAGCCAGATCGTCACAGAGTTGTTTCACTCATTAACAAGTTCTTGTTTGACACAGTCCACTGCAAGAGAAGAATATCGTCTCGCATGGATACAGTGTTTAGCCAACTTACACAAGATAGAATTAGACCTGTTTCGTTATTGGAGATTGTGGACCTTATGGAATACCAAGAGTCGGACGTGGCGAGAATCAACGCATCGCTATATTTTCAATTGGTTTTACTTTACGCGATTCATGCAAACATGCTTAGCTCTTGTCAATGGGTGGTTCCTAGCTACGTTGGTGACTCACCTACGAATATTTTTTTGTGGGAACATTCAAATAATTATCATTCGGCATCACAATATTTCGTCAATGCACAAGATGCTTGGCTAAGCATTTATCGATTTAGTCAAAGGGTCTCAAGTGGGGATCAGATACAAGATGCAAACGCGTTTTTGAAAAAGTTGAAGGGTGTATCTAAAGAGGAAATGAAGACATATTTGAATGTCTTTGAGGGAAGGCATTTTGTGGAGATTCTCATGGCAATGAAATTTGCTGTAGTCTATCCCCACAGCGATATCATGAAAGATCTTGCTAAGCTAGATGTATTTGGCAGCAAGCCTTCGTCATCCGACATACATCGTCTCCTTGTTGACTTGAAAGTCTATGATGACACCACTACAATATCTGACGTTTTCTTGTCACTGGGATTATTTGGAACTTCAAGAGATTTGAGTGTGACTTCTGTGGACCAGCTAAACTCCAAGGTACCAGTATCCTTCAACATAAGGGACAATTTCAAACATTTGAGGTCACGAAGAAACTATTACCAGGACCATGTCATTTATGGGCTATTAGATGAAGGAGAGAACGCTGCTAGTTTTGGAATATCCCTTGAGTCTTTGAATTCCAGAAAGCACTTGATCAATGTACATATTCCTGATTTGATCACTCATATTTCACCGGAAAGCAATACTTTTAAGTCGATTTTCGGGAATGGGTGTCTTGCTGAGACTTTGACACATCTATGCAATAATGAGAACTGGCATAATTTGTATCTGAGGAAAGTTTTGCGAGATAGGAAATTTCACAACTATAACAATTTTAGTGAAAGTGAAGAGATATGGAGTGACGCCATTGATATGGAACGAGGCACCAATAAGAAAAGACGAGGAATTTCGAAATCCACTTGTCTAACTATCTCCTTTGAGTACAACTCCTTTGAATCAAACCCATTCGAAAAACTCGATGGTAAAGTGTCAGTTAGTTTTGATTCCATCTCCAATGTGAATATCAAAAATGTTAGCAAGACAACGTTGCAAAAATGTCTCACCGGACAGTTGGAGCCTTCGTTCTTCAAGTTGCTTCGGCGCAAACAACGCATAGAGCCTAATGATAAGGGTCAAGAAACTTCATTAAACAAGACGGACATCCACAATATCAACTACATTAGCGGTGTTTTACGTACCTTCCAAAAGGTCAGGGAGCTCGATGGTGCTGCAATATCCCTGAGAGGTTCCTTGTTTGATGGCGTTATCATGAAAACTGAAAAATGCGAAGATGCTAATAGCTTGAAAATTGACATTTCCAAATCGCAACTGTCTGGTGCAACTACGCAAGCTGATTTTCTACACAAAGAGGCTAGAATATTATCTGGTTTTTTAGCTTCGGCATTCTCAAATCAAACTCAGATTCCACTTCTAACTCGTTCACAAGAGCTTAACAACAATGATTTTGAAAGTGACAGCGTGCTCGTGCAACACGAAAATATCATGATTCCTGTTTATGAATCTCAAAAATACGCTCATAGTATCATGGCCAAAGATGAAACAGGGTGCATTTCGCCAAATGCAAGACTCATTTCACAGAATTATCTTGCACCAAAATATGCAACGACTGAACATGAGCGAAATGTACCTTTAGGTTTACCTATGGGATACGCAGAAGTACTTAACATTTTCCACTCAGGCGAAGCTCTCCTTAACCAATTTCAGCTCCTTTCGTATGCCCAGAACGACTTCCAAAGAACACTATTGACAAGATACGAATACCTTGATTTTGTTGAAAAGTTCAACCATTTAAAGAGCCTTGGGTACAATATGAATGGCCCTTTACCCGATCGCAAGCTCAATGTGTTAATGAATGCTGCAGATTTCAGCGACTTCAAAACAGTTTGGCAGTATCGTATGCACAAATTTTGGGTCCTCATGTGGCTTCGACAGAAGCAAGCTGAAAATGATTTGCCAGATGAGGGTAGATTTGAGTGTATCACCACTAATGTTGAAATTTTGGACGCTTACAAAGTATGCAAAGTTTATTGCTTGGAGCTAGGAATTGAGGTTGATGCTCTATGTCAACCTGATCAAGCGATCACCGTTGGCACCACGTTGGTCTGCGATGACATCTTGTACTTGGATGCGATAGGAGGATTTTGCATGTTAGATGGTAGAGGGGATATACGTATTTAAGTAGTATTGATTATATCGTATGGCCAGTGCAGCATTCCCAGTTACCGTTTTTGCAATGCAAAAAGTCTAGATTGTTTAATTAGTCATACCTCACAGCTCTTTCTTTCTTTCTCTTTCTCTCTCTCTTTCTCGTTGCCAAAATTCTATTTGCAACAAATTTTTTTCTTTTTTTTTTTTCCTTCATCAAAACTCTTGACATTGAAGGAGTATCTAAGCAAAATGGTATGTTGGCACCATTTCCTGTGTAATCTCTACGACTACTAACTTTTGGAACGTAGTTGCAACCAGTTCAACCGTCAATTGAAACCTTGACTAAAACCATAAAGTCGAACTCCGCTTCTTCTCCGAACCCACCCAATTTGTACCCGATATACAAATATGTGGCCCATAATGATGTTTCAATTCACCAAGCCTACCTCAGGTTGGCCAACATAAATGACAAGGACAGATTGCCCTCGTTTCTTTTTGAGTCGTCCGTTCATGGAGATACTGTCGATCGTTATTCATTCATTGGAATCAACCCATCGAAAGTGATAAGAACAGGCGATGATCCTAGTAAATTTAGTTCTGAATTTTGCGATGTAGATCCAATAACGGTGCTACAAGAGGAATTATCACATTACAAACAGGCATCATTACCTGGTCTACCCAAATTTAGCGGAGGCGCGACTGGATACATCTCGTATGATTGCATCAAGTACTTTGAACCTAAAACGAAACGACCATTGAAGGATGTACTTGAATTACCAGAAGCTGTGTTGATGTTTTGTGACTTGGTGGTGGCATTTGACCACGTATACCAAAGATTCCAGATCATATACAACATCAAAGTAGATCAATCTCACGATTTGGAAGAAGAATACAAGAAGGGTGTATCAAAAATTGGCGAGATTGAAAAACTCTTGTTGAGAGATGTATCGAATGAGGAGATTTTCCCACATCAGGGACCAATAAAGTTGAATCAAGATTTCACTTCCAACATTGGCCAGGAAGGATATGAAAAGCATGTTTCAAATTTGAAGGCACATATATTGAAGGGAGATATCATCCAAGCAGTCCCTTCCCAAAGAATTGCTCGTCCTACTGAGTTACACCCTTTCAACATCTACAGACATTTAAGAACGGTTAACCCATCGCCTTACTTGTTCTACATTGATTTGATTGATTTTCAGATAATTGGAGCTTCTCCAGAATTGTTGGTGCAATCCGATGTCAATGGAAGGGTGGTTACTCATCCTATTGCCGGAACTATCAAAAGAGGCAAAACAAATGAAGAGGATGAAAAGAATGCTGAAATATTGAGGTCCAGTTTAAAAGACAGAGCCGAGCACATTATGCTTGTAGACCTAGCACGTAATGATGTGAACCGGGTTTGCAAACCTGAAACCACAAAGGTGGATAAATTGTTGACCATTCAGCGATTCTCACACGTGATGCATTTGGTTTCTGAAGTTAGTGGTACATTGCGTGAAGAACAAACCAGATTTGATGCATTCAGATCAATATTTCCAGCCGGGACTACCAGTGGAGCACCCAAAGTGAAGGCTATGGAACTCATCGCTGAATTGGAGAAGGAGAAAAGGGGTGTTTATGCTGGTGCAGTGGGACACTGGGGCTATGACGGAAAGACAATGGACACCTGTATCGCCTTGCGAACAATGGTGTTCAAGGATGGTGTGGCGTACTTACAAGCGGGTGGAGGAATTGTTTTTGACAGTGATGAGTACGAAGAGTACATGGAGACAATGAACAAGATGAGAGCAAACAACAACACCATTGTGGAAGCGGAGATGATCTGGGCTGACAAAGTTGGGACAGTAGAGTAAGCTATGTGTATATAGGACTGTCATCTCAAAAACTTCGTATTGTTACAATACTTTGAAACGGGTCTGCACACGACCACATATGAAATATTACACGCATCACATGACCTGCTCTCTATATCTGCACCCACACCGCAGTACATTTGCCATATATTTTATTTTTTTTTTTTACCTTTTTTTCTCTTGAGTTCACTTTTCGTTGAAAACCCCCCAAAATGTTGTTCAAACCGATGATCATCTTGAATAGAGGGTGCATTTTGACTTTAACGAACCTAGCAGACATTTTGACTACAAATTTCGACAAGAAAGATTTCACAATACCCCAAATTTTTTGACCAATAGTATCTCCATCAGATTCCACACCGTAGTCAAGGTCACAATTGTTGAACCACTGGATTGTGAGAGCCTGTGTCAACTGTGGATTATTTTTTGATATCGGGAGGGGCTTGTGTAAACAATGAGTTCAGCAGATTTTGATGCCATGACTTCTGAAGACCAAAACGCCATCACAATGGGTAGGGGAGAGGAATCCATGTCTCCCGAGTCTTCACTATCGGCGACTCATGCTTCACCTACAAATTCACAGAAAGTCTCGAGTAGAACACCAACCTCTTGGGATGCCGAAGATGACATTCTACTAATGCACCTAAAGGACCGTCAGAAACTAGGATGGAAAGCTATTGCCAGCCATTTCACAAATAGAACCCCAAATGCCTGTCAATTTAGATGGAGGAGGTTAAAGTCCGGGAATTTAAAGAATCCACCAAAGTCAGCCGCAGCTTTGGGCGACCAGTTCAAACAAAATCCAACAATGTCTAGCTCGTCACTGAAGAAAAAGGCTCCATCAGCAGCCCATTCGTCAGCCAAAACTGAAACAACAGACTCTGAATTTCCGTATGAAGCAACACCAACAGGAGGGTTTCAAGGCTTTGATAACAGTATTTCATCCGCATTGGCTGGACTCAATGCATTATCAAATTCGCCGTCGTATATCTCCAGTCCTGTCCCGGTAACAACTCCAAAAATTCTGGCGGCGTCGCCAGATCATTATGCTTCTGGACGAGCAAATCTGATTTCCAGTCTTGGTCACAAATATGAAGGCTCCCCAGAATCGGAAAATCCTTTGGAAGCTCTGAGCCGAACTGGGATTGTGATACCTGGTACTAATGGCTCCGGTGGTTATTATGCAGACGTGTCAGTTGATCCCACCATGAACTTACCTCACAATAGGACACACCCTGAAACCTCATCCTCACTCACGCCAAGAAACTCTACATCTAATGCAAGTACACGTAACAGAGATAGTACAAGTTTGCACCCTCGAGATCACAACTCAGGGTCAATTTCTGTGGCAGCAGCTGCTTTGCGCAACAACTCCATCATCCAATTCACTAACGACGAAAGAGCGTCAATCCTGTCTATAGCGAGGGCATCAATTTCATCATTACCCTCAAAGTCAATGAACATCCCCCATCATCAACTGGGAGCTACATCTTTGGCGCATCTCCCGGTTCTCTTTGGCGGGGCGGGAAGTATAAGTGGGCCGTCAAGGAATTCGAGTATTAGTGGTGCAGCTGGAGTCCATCAGACCACTGTTTCCAGCTTGAGGAATGGTTCATTAGCAGGTCCCAGTCTGGGCTATTATTCTAGATCTGGGTCAGTTGTGATTCCACACAACACAGAGAAGCCAGATGAACCCTTGAAAGTAAACAAGGAGTTGGTTGAATCAAATAACAAAAAAGTGCAGAAATTGAAAAAGAATTTGTCATCATCATCTGGCCAAACGAAAAAGAAGTCAAAGAAAACCAAGTTGGATCTCCCTTGGACGATGGAAGAAGACGAACTTTTGATCAACAGGCGTAATCGTGAATTGTCTTTTGCTGAATTGTCCATCCTACTACCCCAGAGAACAGAGGGTGAGATTTGGGCGCGTATAGATTATTTGGAAAAGTTGAGAAACGGAAATGACGCGTCTACTGGTGGAAGGGAGAGAAGGGGAAATAGACAATCGTCCATCGGATTAGACGATGTTCACGACTTGTATGGTGATGATGATGATGACGAAGATGATGTCATAGGGGGTATTGGGATCGGAGTCAGCGATGATGATGATGATGACGACGACGACAATCCATTAATTGATGACGACGACGAGGATCACAGTCTTGGGAATATCAGGAGAACTAAACGAAGAGCAAGCTCTGCCATCAATCCCTTAGCCAAGCGTCCTCTTCGAAGGTAAACATTCATGCATTTCTAAAGAAGTGGTTATATATACATCGTGTTTTTCCTTAATATAGTTTCAATTCTCCCGTTATTTGATCGAGAACTTTCTTTGGTGCTGGACCAAGTCCCAACACAGTGGCACTTCCAGCAGCTATTTGTGTTCTTCCAGCATCATGTATTATGCATGCATTAACCCCTAAACTGAATGCCTGTGCGTATAAGACATCCATCTCGTCTTGGTTTGGTACCTGAAGAGTTATTTTCGCTTGTCCGTTACCATATTCCCATCTCCTCACCATTTCAGGGTTGTATGCTTCAGAATTGGGGTTGGTGATCTTTTTGTACAAAGCTAGGGTGGCATGAGAACATTGCGCAGCAGCTTTACCTTTCCCCATTTTGAGGTCCAGTCGAACGACTAGAGTCATCCTGACTTCACCCGGAATTTCATTCAATGCTAGTGAGCTTATATCCTCTTCCTCTTCCTCTTCCTCTTCTTCACCTGTCTCTTCATCGGTCTCTATTTCTGTTTCATCATGTGATGTATCTCGCTGGGTGATGACTTTTGGGCCTCTCTTTCGCTTGTTGAGTTCAATAGTGGATTTTTTGAAAAGCTGGCTCGTGTAGAACCCCGTTACAAAAGATAATACACTAATGGATAGTATCGCTACTGTGAGATTAGTCATATTGTTGTTACACTTGGAAAGTTCCAATCAATTTTTTGTTTTTTTTTTTTTTTTTTTTTTTTTTTTTTTTTTTCCTTAGCTTCCACTTTTTTCCTTTTTGCGTTCGGTGCAGTGGCCGAGGAATTCAAATGGCTGAGAGCCGATATGCTCCAATAATTGATATCCAAATGGTTGGTATCCACATGACCTCGCCATTTCTATGTATTGGATCTGATCCGATTCTTCCTCCCTCCCCCCTCCCCCCACAACACTCTCTCATGCCAAGACCTTGGGTTTCAGTTTTGTCTTCTTTCCCTTCTTTTCAACCTTGCTTGAATAACTTCTCCAATTTTGAACCCGCGAATCTCTTGTTCGCTCCCACTCGTTCTCAATCTTTCGCTTCATCTCCTTCTCCTCGTTGATATGTTTCTGCATTTGGTTCTTTCTTGTTTCTTCGCTCACTTTGGCTAACTTCTCCAACTCCGCATGAGCAAGCTCGTTTTCGATTATTTGATTCACCTGAGCCCTAATCTTTACATTAATCGGATTGTTAAAGCTCAGAGGGATATCGTTAGATTGGAATGTGGAGTAAATTGACATTAATCTCTGCTTTTCCTTAAATTCCTGATCATTCTCGTCAGTCGTGGCAAGAATATTTTCGGCTTTTTTAAGTCTGTCAAAAGCCTCTGGAGCTCGAGGGTGATCAGACTTATCTGGATGGATCATAAGTGACTTCTTCCTGTATATTTTCTTTATCAATTGCGGTATGCTGTCGAATGAGGTTAGCAATGGGTTGATTTCGGTAATGGCAAAGAAATCTTGCTCATTACAATCCAAGATTCTGTCAATTTCATTGTTTCTGTTGAGAACTGACTCTTCAATCGATAATATTCTATCAAGATCATCAGACATTGTGCAGCGAATTATGTTGCATACACAGTGGTAGAGACTTGATGCAATGGAAATATGGTTTTCAATTTTCTGTCATTTTTGCTTTAGTATAAACCCTCTCCATCACTTATGAACAAATTTTGCAATCGCATAACCAAAAGTATGACATGGAGACCAAGGTATTTCGATATAGGTGTCAACTTCTCAGACCCTATGTTTCAAGGGTGTTACAATGGGTCCACAAACCCTAAGCACCCATGTGATATTGAAGATGTCATCAACAGAGCCCATTTGTTCAATGTGGATAGAATGTTAATTACTGCGTCTACCATAAAAGAGAGTCGAGACCACTTTCTATTGTGCGAAAAGTATCGAAATCAGTTCAGCTCAACCGCGGGTGTCCACCCTTGTTCAGTTGCCAGTGAGGTTTATGTAAAGGATGGAGATAATTACACCGAAGAGTTGAGGCCCGATGTTGACGAGAAACTCGCAGAGTTGCGCGATATACTTATTGAAGGGTACAAGACGGGGCACGTGAAAGCCTTTGGGGAGATTGGATTGGATTATGACAGACTCCATTATTCCACTAAGCACCAACAGCTTGAAATGTTTAAACGACAATTGAATACATTACGCGAACTTGATTTCAGCCTTCCGTTGTTTTTGCACATGAGAGCTGCTTGTGAAGACTTCATAAAGATAATTAAACCGTTCATGGACGATGGTATTGTGAAAAGTGGAGTGGTTCATTCGTTTACTGGGACTGAGGAAGAGTTGAACAGCTTACTAGAGCTCGGGTTTTACATCGGAGTCAATGGTTGCTCATTAAAGACTGAAGAAAACTTGATCGTCGCATCCAAAATACCCGTGAACAGACTCATGATTGAGACAGACGCACCATGGTGTGAAATAAGAAAGAGTCATGCTAGTTACAAATTAATATCACCGTACCCAAACATGTTTTACCCAGAGATAGAGACTGTCACATTGAATGAAGTCAAACCCCAGTTCAAGCTAGACGAGAACTTGCCATTCCCATCAATCAAAAAGGAGCACTATGAAAAGCATTCACAATGCGTTCAACAAAAAGTTGAAAATACTGGGGATGCATCCGTTCTAGAGACGAGGATCGGTATCTTTAGCAAGCCAATGATCAAATCTCGCAATGAGCCCGTTCAAGTGGGCCATGTAGCTGAAGTGCTTTGTAAGCTACATGGTATAACCGATTCTCACGGAATAGAGAACTTTATAGATACAGTTTATAACAACTCAGTGAAAATGTTTCATTAAGGGTCATAGCATTGTAATAATACAAAAAAAAAAGGTAACACTAATAAAGTCTCTGATCTACTTTTTTCTTGACGACGGTTTGGTATTTGATTGCTTTCCTCTAGGCAATTTGAAAGTACCCTTAGGGCGTCCCCTACCTCGCGGTCTATTATCACCTTCCAACACATTAACAGTTCTCCTCTTAAGAAAAGTTCTTTTTCTCGAACCAGACTGATTCACAAAGTGCACGTTATTTCCAACGTAAGAATCGAAATCAGAATCCGACTCCGATGGAGAGTCCACCGGTAACTCTTCATCCAGACTTTCGTCGTTCGGCTCCTCTTCTTCGTCTTCGTCTTCTGCTTCGTCTTCGTCTGCCCCTTCTCCTCCCACAAAATCCACATCTTCAAAGCTAGACTCATCCTCGGCATTTGACTCTAATGTGTCCTCTTCTTGGAAAATGTCGGCGACTGCATCCAAATCCACCTCGACATCTTCTTTGGACCGCCTCTTGGGCTTCAACTTCACTTGACTATTGTCCGGCTGGCATTCAACAAAACTCTCAAAATTCGACTCTTGTTCTTCATTAGCAGTGTCTGCACATAAAGCGACTTCTTTCCAAGCTTCTTCCTCGAACGAATACGGGTTATAAATATCGTCTTTCAAGAACTCCGACACTTGTGCAATATTATTGTGAGGAGTAGTTTGTTTCCCATTCTGGATAAATGCCGGGGCCGAATTGATACCACCACTAGGGCCAAAGAGCATTGGTTTCCAAATAAGTTTCGTGTAGTCTAGCGTTGTGTACGATTTGGCTTCCCATTTGGATATGACTTCATCTATAAGCTCCCATTTTACCACAATTGCAAATTTTGTTTCATTTGCGTCCTGCTTGTAATATAGAGCGTGGAGCTGTTCCAACGCCACAACCACGTTTGCTGGTATCATCCCAGTCATTTTACACAACACGCCAAGTGATATATGGAGCCCATTCATATTATTGCATTTCTGGTATAGTTCTCGTAACTTGTAGGCTACTGTCACCTTCCAATAGTTTCTATAACTAAGCAACCCCAAGTCACTCAACGGTTTCTCTGGGGTGCCGTATTTGAACTCGTTTCTGGTTAACAAATAGCTGAAATCAATAAGTAGATTCCCATATCCCTTTCTTTGGTAGATTGGCAATGTTAATATACATGAGACATTGTAATCCAGATTGTTCAACTTTTCTTTTGAAAAATAACCAACAAAATGATGCTTTGAAGGGTACTTTTGATCCCTTTCAGTTAAAATGTAAAACACAAAGGGCTCCACATCATAATATAGCGTCTTTGAGTTCAAAAACAATTTTGCTAAAAGACAGACATTTTGACAATAGTTGATATTTTTTCTTCCATCAACTTCCCAAACCGATACATTTGCGTCTCGATAAATCTCAGTGCCGGGGGGATGATGATTTGTAAAGTTGCAGTTTTTCAATTGGTGTCGTTTGTATGAGATAGGAGAATTCATATACTTTAAGCAGTATTCACAAATGTACAACGTTTCGCATTGCGAGTACTCTTCTGGATATGGTGCAATGTACCATGTTTCTATTTCGTGATCTCGGAACATGATTTTTTTGATCTTGGATTTATTCAATGCGATAGATGACGGTGTTGACTCTTTTGTTACTTCTGTCGCCAGCTGATGTAGTGGATGGCTGCTTCCATCGTGCGTATCTTCGTTATTCAACTTGTTTCGTAGTTTTACACCCTCTATACGGAATTTCTCAAATTGTGCCCTTTCCTCCTTGGTAGGATCGGTGTCATTTATAATACAATCGGGGAACCCTAATACCCCCTTATACGGTAGCTCTATCTTCTTCTTGGGTTTGTAGTTGATGGTTACAAAAAATTGGTCTTTGTCCTTGTTTACATTTACTCTTTGCTTGATTTTCTTTTTCAATGGCTCTTGTACTGTCTCGCGAGTCTTTTGAATCATTCGCTTAAGAGAGTAGTCATTATTCGGCCTCTCCCTGTGACTTCGTCTCTCCAGATCTCTTGGTGTGATGTCGGAATACACATGGTTGTTTGTAATTTTTAGTTGATTTAGTAGTTGCAGTACCATGATAAGAACATTGTTTAAACAAAATGAATATCCCAACTGAAGATTGGTGGTCCAACAGGATAATCACTAATTGGTGTTGTAAATATCTCTTAGAATGTATAGCAAGCTATACGTTTGATGAAACAATGGAAGTGGGCTCTATCTTAGTGATTGAAAGACGATCTAAAGGTTATTACGTGCGTTTAAAATTATTCAGCCGGGGTTTTGTTTTGGGTTTTTTTTAAGAATTTTTCCGTGTTCATATTAGACACTCAAATTCAAAAAGAATACATGACTACATGAAAAGGAGAGGGAAATGATGAAAGGGACAAGTATGAAGGGACTCGGAGTATCAGTATTGAAAATGCCACTCACAGCAGAGTTTCCTTTAACTTACAAAGAACTACACACAACAGTGGCGTTGAGATCAGAGTGTAAAATTTCAGTAAAAAAAAAAAAAAAACTCTAACGAAAAACGCAATCCCTACAAAATATCGACTTCATCATTGTCAACCACCGATGTCTTTATCTTCAACAACAATTGGGTCTTCAATTTATCAAGTTTGCTGAACTTGTCATAATCAAATACTTTATCGGAATAGTCCTCGACATCACCATTGTTGATGCTCTCCAAAATTCCCTCGATTAACTTGTATTCCCTGGTTTCAGGCCAATTGGGATCACCCTGCGAATACTTTTCCATCCTTTTTTCTGTTTCCACCACATCCTCAGTACACAAGACACACAATAGAGATTTGAAAAAATAGTCTTTTAAACTCCATTTTGTCAAAGAGTTGTTCAACAGGTTTTTAATCACAACATCGTACAATTCAACGGCCTTCTTGTAGTCACCGCTTGCCGCCGATAAGTCTGCACATTTAAGGAATGCCTTGTTTGAAAGAGCTTCAGCGTTATCTGTTGTAAAGTAGTCACCAGCCTGCTCGTAACTCTTGATGGCATTAGCGGTATCCCCAACACCTTTATACAATTCAGCCAAGTCCATGGTGAAGTTAGCGGCTCTTCTGAATTGTCCATTTTGGGTCAAAAAAATGTGGATTGCTTTCGACAATGCATCAATGGCATTGGTAGGAGATGTTGACTTGTAACATTTGTACGCCTCAACCAAATGATTTGCAGCATCATTATGGTTGCTCAAGCTCTCTTGCACTTCCGCTGCCTTTACAAATTGGTTGCCCGCTTGGTTGAAGTCCTTCTTCAATCTGTAACTATTAGCGGCTTGAATGTATAAATCAGTTGCATCTTCTTTACGAATAGATTGAGACAGGCCCGATATAAACAGAAAAAACCCCAGCTGTGGCTTAAGTAGTTTCTCTGCTTCAGCAATTAGTTCTCTTGGGTCTGACATGACAGTCGTTAGTTGTTGATTCAAAGGATGAGAGTGATGTGGCTTCTCTTTCTTTGCCTCTGTTCATTTTCTCTGCGTCTCTCTATTTCTTTTTCTTCTTTCTTTTTCTTTTTCTTTTTCTTTTTTTTTTTCCTTCTTGTACACAAGCGGCACTTATATTGTCCGCAAAAAGTATAAACAACAGTCAACCGAAGTAAACTTGTTACCAAAGAATGAGTACAACGCCCAGAGTGAGATTCCAGAGACTTCAAGTTCTTGGTAGAAAGGCAGTCGAACAGGTGCTCAAGACCTCTTTTGCAGAAGAGCAAGTCAAACAATGTTATCCAAATATTATGGAATCAGAGGCAGGTGCCGCAAAGCTAGAGATCGGGATGACTCGTCTTCAGGAATACCTTCATGATAGCACGGTAGCAGAATTTAATCACATATATGACGAGAATAATTTGTCTGAGAAATTGGATGAGCTCGATGAGCTTATATATCTGGCACAGGAAAGGAAAAGAAGTGGAGAATCCACGGCGGAAGGTAAGCAAGTTGCAATTGACCAATTGTCAGCAGAGGACATCTTGAGCTCGATGGCTCTCAGTAACAAAGACGATGTACTAGGAAAGTTGAACTTGGTTTATGACCAGTTATGTCGTGATAACGATGAACTACTAGGTTCATTGGATGAGAAAGCTAAAGAGAACGAAGTTCTTGCAGGTAAGATTTTCGAGATTTGGGAACCAATACTACGCCAAAAGGAAGTGTTGCAACTGAATTCGGTACAGATAGACAAGTCGATGTACAAGTCAACTGCTTAAATATTGTTCCTTATATACAAGTTGATGTACTCTAGATGAGATTTTCCTTTTGCATGATCTCGTAATTCTTCTTTGCCAAATCATGATATTCGCTAACTCTATCCCTGAGTTTCTTGACCCTGAGATTCTTTCTTCTTGCGCTTTGGGTTTCCTTGATCAAAACCTTGTCACCCCACACTTTATAATCTTGTAAGTATTGTCTTCCCATGTTGAACTCAGCAGTAATCACATCATCCGTCAAGCCCAACTTTGCAATTGCATAGTAGTATTTTTTAGGATCCTTTCTCTTCAAGTAGCGTAAAAGCTTTTGTCTATACTGAACCAATTCACGGACAGCTTTGATGGTGGTGTGGTCATTTTTATTCTCCTTTACATGCCTCATTCCAAAATGGATCTTGACGGTCACTACCGCTGCTTGTACTTCCGGAGACGCGGTATCACCGGTCTCCCTTTGTAACTCCTCACGAGCATACTTGATGGCCAACTTTTTCTTGTCAGTACTGTTGGTATTACGCAAGTTCAAAATTGTCAACACAGCGCTCTTTTTGTTTTGCTCAACTTGTTGCATCTCTTGGCGTATTTCTTCATTGCTGGATAAGTTTTCAAGAGATAGTTTCTCGGCAGCGTAAAAGAGCTTTTCCATCTCTGCTCGGTCAACATCGTAAGCCAAATTGGACTCTTGGTCTTCAACTTTTTGCATAATACGAGAGAAAAATTGACACTTTGGATCACCCAACACAGGGTCTACCTGAAATGGGACGTTCTTTGCATCGTACTGTTTCAATGTGTTCACATCTCGTATGATTTGCTTCTTCAATCTTTTCTCTCTTCTTCTCAACTTCTTTTCCTTTTTAATGGGAGTTCCAGGGTCTATAAATTGCTTTGCAGCAAGCTTTGGACCAAGGTTAACGCTTCTCACAGCTCCTGGTTGAGAAAGTAAAGGTCGCCCTATAGAGAACCAACGAGTAGAAAGCTTGAACATGTCGAGACTTGTGGTTAGAGTGCCTTGAGTAAATCGAAGCTGATCTTTTCTTCCAAAATTTTTTTTTTCTTTTTTTTTTTTTCCTTTTTTTGTTTTCTTTTTTGTTTTCACCAATTCTCCTCTGACGAGTTACTGTTGCAATCGAGTGTGAAGATACCTTCAATTGGACTAAGAGAAGCGATATCTATCATTAGATGCTGCTGCAATCCGACTTTATTTATAGCCTTTCAAAAGAAAGCTCAACTCTACAACAGCTCAGGTCGCTTCTGTTTTCAATTGAACCGGGTTACCTGTTTGAATTTTGAAGAAGCACCAAAACGAAATGAAGACACTATTGTTGAATATACCTAAACTTTCGACATAGTAGCTCTCAGCCATGCAAAGAGATATCCTTACTTTTTCTCAACCTATTAAGCAGCTTCTAATTCCCCAAGTTCAGGGCATACGTTTAACACACACACACACACACTATTCTTGCGCTACCACTATCACAGAATGATGTAGAAAAATTTTCGCATTCTCTTTTTTTTGCATGAAGCCTTTCGGAGACATTTTTGCCAAACTCTTTTAGTTCATCATCAACAGCAATGCAAAGAGCTTTATTACAATCAGTTAGGAGGACGATTCAAACTCGTGCCAGTGTTACGTCGTCCGTGTTTAGATCTTCAGTCTGCGTACCACCACGCCAACAATTTATTCGCTTCAATTCTACTAACGCAGAGGCAAAAAATGGTGCAGAGTCTGCTAGCACTGCAAATGAGCAAGCGGAACAAAAACTGACACGTGAGGCAGAGAATGACAACCAAGCAGAAGCTGCAGAACCTACAGAAAGCCCAGAGGTCAAAGAATTGAGGGAGAAATTAGAGAAAAAGGACAAGGACTTGGCCCTCATGAAGAATCACTACGCCAAAGCCAAAGCTGATTTCATCAGTTTACAAGAAACAACAAAGAAAGAAGTTCAGAAAGCAAAGGACTTTGCATTGCAAAAACTTGCTAAAGATTTATTAGAGTCGATAGATAATTTCAATTTCGCTTTGGATCATGTGAAAGACGAAACACTCAAGGCCAATGAAGAGGTCAAGAACTTGTATGAGGGCGTGGATATGACCAGAAATGTTTTTGAGAAAACATTGCAGAGACATGGAATCGAGAAAATTGAACCATTGGGAGAAAAGTTTGATCCTAATTTGCATGAGGCCACTTTCGAAATTGCTCAACCTGACAAAGAGCCAGGCTCTGTGTTTTTTGTTCAGCAATCTGGTTACACTTTGAACAACAGGGTTTTGAGACCAGCTAAAGTTGGTGTTGTCAAGAGCGAAGACAAGTAGATTTATGCTCTTGATATGAAACGTATAATGTCTTGTATATAATGAATGTTCCCCTTGTTACAGTATTATCTAGTGTAAGCAGTTGTGTATATACCCACTCTAAAGGAAGTGCCGTTTCCAGACGTCGCATTACTTTTGCAATTGTAGATTTGAATTTTCCAGCTGATCTCGTCTCTTGGTTGTGACTCACTGAAGATTTTACGGCAAATGCAGCTTCTTGTCGACCAATTTTGTGTCAATGGAATAACCGCGATCCACGGCCCTCCTCCCCATATAATTGAAATATTTTTCAGAGTGCAATTTTTCCTTTTCTTTTTTTTTTTTTTTTTTTTCTTTTGTCTTGTTTGTTCACTTTCCAACCTTCTTTAACTACGGACAAACGAATACGTGATGTTGGCAGCTAAAACTTCAATGCGTTGCTTCTCTTCAACTGCTCCAGCTCTCAAAACACTCAAGATTGGTTTGATCCCAGGAGACGGGATTGGAAGGGAAGTCATTCCTGCAGGTCAAAAGGTATTGGAGAGCTTACCTTCGAAATTCGATTTGCAATTTGAATTTGTCAATTTGGATGCTGGGTTTGAATTATTTAAGAAAACAGGTACTGCATTGCCAGACAAGACTGTTGATGTTTTGAAGAATGAGTGCGATGGTGCCTTGTTTGGTGCCGTCTCTTCTCCAAGTACAAAAGTAGCTGGATATTCATCCCCAATTGTCGCATTGAGAAAGAAGTTGGGTCTTTACGCCAACGTGCGTCCTGTCAAATCCGTTAAAGGAATTGGAAGACCAGTTGATATGGTCATTGTTCGTGAAAACACTGAAGATTTATACGTGAAGGAAGAGAAGACCTACGAAAGGGAAGATGGAACTAAAGTTGCAGAGGCGATAAAGAGAATCTCTGAAACTGCGCTGAAAAGGATTGCAAAAATGGCATTTGACATAGCTGTTCAAAGACAAGCAATAAGAGAAGCTTCAACAAGTGATCAGCTCCACAGTTCACCATCTGTCACAGTCACCCACAAGTCTAATGTCTTGTCACAGTCCGATGGTTTGTTCCGTGAATCATGTAAAGAGGTATACGATGCCAATAAGGATAAGTACAAAGACGTTGAGTACAAGGAACAAATTGTTGATTCAATGGTTTACAAGATGTTCAGAGACCCAGAAGTTTTTGATGTTGTTGTAGCACCAAACTTGTATGGTGACATCTTGAGTGACGGAGCTGCTGCATTGGTAGGATCATTAGGAGTTGTTCCATCGGCTAATGTTGGTGACTCTTTTGCTATTGGAGAACCTTGTCATGGATCCGCCCCAGACATCGAAGGGAAGGGTATATCGAATCCTATTGCCACCATCCGATCAACTGCATTGATGTTGGAATTTATGGGCTATCCAGAAGCTGCAGCAAAAATATATGAAGCTGTAGATGCCAACTTGGCAGAAGATAGCATCAAGACTCCAGACTTGGGTGGAAACTCTTCTACAAATGAGGTTGTTGAGGATATAATCAAAAGGTTTTAAATTTTGTCTATAGTGTTTTAGTACGGATTGAATCTTCGACTTTTACTTTTATGAGTTTTTTTGTGATGCTTTTTCGTTTTGCTCTTCTCCTTAGGTTTGTTGATAACGGAGACTGGAGAAGAAGCAGTACCTATTGAGTAATGTTTTAGTGTTTCTGGTAACTCCCAAAGCCTTACTTTGCTGTCTTCACCGCACGTAAGACATTGAGTAGTATTCGATTTGACTATAACATCCCTCACCACTTCTTCTCCGTGCGCTCCAGGCAAACTTACAATCTTTGAGTCCTTAAACTTTTCCTTCTTGGGACTGAATGGAACAATAAATAGTTTTTCAGACGAGTTTGCACCATAGGCAGCAAACCCGCTCGGGTTGATATCAACAACGTATTCATTATTCGCCCATTGCTCCCGTAAATCTCCTCTATCATCTGACTTAGGACCGACTAAATCTTCATAATTCGTGTCATTCAAGTCATGAAATAAAAGGGTCTCATCATGTGTCAAAACTGAAATTCTTGACTCTGTTATGAAATGACACGAATGAACAGAACCAAAGTTTATTACTTGATGCAAAGCGTCATCCTCGTCTGGTTTTGATAAGTCGTAAATGTTCACACACCCATCTGTTGAGCCCGACATCAAATAGTTGTTCAAGGACGGATGAAACTCAAGTGCAGTTACATCATCGTGGTGCGAGTCAACAAAAGACTTTACAACTTGTGATGTATTCCGCATATCCCAAACGTGTACTTCTGCATCGGCGCCTAGTAGTTCAGTCCCACCAGCTAAGGAATCACCTAGTGAAGCTAGCGACAAGAAGTTTGACTTGCCATTGCCCAATGATGCCTGACAACCACCGGTTCTAGTATCCCAGATCTTTATTCCGTCAGTAGAGCAAGTTGCAATTACGTTGTCATTGACCACTTTCATGTCGTTGATGCTGCTTTCATGTGCCAGATGTATATTGACTACCGGGGAGGACACATTTTGCAAAGAGTACCCAAACAATCCTCCACTACTCGTTGACGCAACGAATCCGTCTCCAACAAACCCCAACTTCAAAACCCAATCGCCTGCTTTGATCGCATTCCAAGTATATTTGCACGTCGCCATGTGGATTTTTGCGTTGAAAAAGGGTGCCAAAAAATAAAAAAGATAAAAAAAAAAAAAAAAAAAAGAAAAACTTCTGATTGCAAAGGAGGAGCTTCACGAAAAAGTAAAGTCTGTGAGGTAAATATAAACATTCAACCCCAAAAGACCTTTATTTCAACACCACTTTCCAAACCTTTCAATATGAGTAGCTTGGTAAAAAAGGGAAGTCAGTTTGCCCCTAAGCTTAAGCAATCAATCCGAAAGAAAGCTACTCCAAAACCAACTGCCACCCCAGAAGCCACCCAAAAAGTTATTTCTGATGGGTCTGATGCACACTTTAACAAAAGCGTGCCAGACCAGATAAGCACTCCGCCAGCTACACAGTTCAACAAACCGCGCTCATCTTTCAGTATTAGACAAGCTGCTAGCAAGACGGCATTACCCGATGAAGCAATAGATCCAATAGACGACCTGAAGCCTCAGGAATCATCAGCAATTGCAGACAGCTCAGATGAAGACGAGGAGACCCTAAAGCAACATGCCCAGAGTTTGCGCAGAACATCATCACGAAGATTGTCTGGCATTAATCCTGGATTCAGAAGTCGATCAGCTTCCGTTTCTCATCGACCGGGGAACGAAGAAACACAGCTGTCTGCAAGAATCATAGTGCCTCAGCCCAAATCCACAAAACGGAGAAGATCGCTGTTGAGTACAAGGAACCGGAAGAGAAGTTCCATAATGCAGTCTGCTGTCGCGACTGCTCCTGCACTCAAACCGTCTCTGGTGGTAGCAACGTCAACGACACCAGCCGTGGGCCATTCTCCACCACCTTCCTCATCCTCCACAACCACCTCAAGAATACTAAACTCGAACGTCAGTCATTTGTTCCCTGCGCTACGAAACTCTGCAGCCCCATTGAGTAAGATTATGAACGATCCTGAAGGCGAGTCCGCCGCACACGCTACTGGTGATACCGCTACTGAAAGAAGTGACACCCCTGTTGTAAGTAAGGACTTTGTCGTGGGAATTGATCCCAAGACCAACAAATTGCGGAAATTCAGGCGTAGGGATGCACCGAAACCTGAAATCAAGGTAGAAGGAGATGATTTCACACGGGTTGCTGACTTGCCATTGGATGACTTAGTCCCATTAGCTCCGGAGAATTTGATTACAACCGTCACCAGCGTAAGTCAGATCCCAACGGGGATCAAGGAAGAGGATTTGGAATTGTATGGAGAACTTAACTTTGATTATGAAGGTATGACAATGGCTGACTTGTGCAAACCAACATTGAAAATTGGTAATGTAAGTTCTAGCTTTAAATTGGCCCAAGAAGCGGAAGCTCAACTAAAACAGAAAAAGGTGCAGAGGAGATTGGATCGAATTAGAGCGAGAAATGAAAGAATATCTCTTGAAGAAGCAATGTTGAGGAATGAAGGCAAGACCGATGAGGAAATTCAGCGAGAAAAAGAACTCAAAAAATCAAAGTCAGGAACAGACGTTTTAAATTTGGAGGAAGAAGCCCCCTCCTCTTCTTCGGCGTTGCAGTTAACATTAGTTGATGGAAAAATTGGGTACAGTGAAGAATCTGCAGTGGTTGTCAAACCTAGAGCTGATGCGTCTGGCCGCACGGTTGAGGATTCAAATCCCTTTGCAAATCCGGTCACTTCTACGACGTATAGCAAGAGAACATATACCGACAAATGGACACCAGACGAACTAAATGACTTCTACCAAGCCTTGAGTATGTTTGGTACTGATTTCTCCTTGATTTCTCAACTATACCCTCACCGTACTAGGAAGCAAATCAAGTCAAAGTTTGTTTTGGAGGAGAAGAAATACCCCGAAGTGATTGAACTAGCATTGAAAAGAAAACTACCTGTGGATTTCAAGAAATATTGTGATGCAACCAACAATGAAATAAAAACGATTGAACAATATAATGAAGAGTTGAAGAAAGTAAGATTAGAACATGAACAAAGTATGAACGCTATAGCTATGGAAAGAGAGAAAGCATTCAAAGAGGACGCTGAGGCTAATAGAAGGCGCGAAATTGAGATCAGAACTGGATTCACAGGATCCAAGCCCATGACTACAGCTGAAAGGAGGAAGGAGTTGCGAAAGAACGAAACAGTGGTTGGTACTATTGATGATATGAAGAGTCGTTGATTTGTATAGAGTTTAAATAAAAGGTTGGAAACGGAGTCAAATTTAATGCACGTGCGTACTAAATGCAATGACTTGCGTCAGTTTGGAAAAAAATTGCGGGATCAAAACACAAGATGTAACGAATCCAAACAATGAAAGCTTGCCCCAAAGTAGAAGAATTTTCAAAATTCTCTTCACTTTGAGAGTGAAAACAGTACAATGCAAAGTTGATGTCGTCGCCTAAAGATTACGTATTAGAGATCACTCCTCCTATTGATGGCGATACAAGCACCATTAAGTCGCTCGATGTCTTGAAGTTTACGGTGAAACAAAGAGTTCCTCCAATGTTATATCGAGCGAGACGTTGGCTCTTATGCATTTCGATTATGGGCCTTGTTGTTTTTGCAGTGTGCAATTACGACTCATTCACAACGTTGCACAATGTTGGCCTTGTGCTGATTCAAGCAGGATGCATTTTATTACTTTCCCTCGTTCGAGAGCCTTGTGACACGTTAACCATCATGAAGGGGATTGGGGCGCAGTTGGAATCACACAAGTATTTACCCTTTCAAAGCAGTAACACTTTCATACCGATCAACAATATTATTGATTTAGTGATACATGAAGGATTTCACAATTATGGACAAGTAATTTTTTATATATGCTTTTTGACAAAGAATTTTCGGCTGGAGAAACCAAGGAAAGATGACGTGATACAGGTAGTGTTTGGTGAGTTTTTGCCCCGAAAGGATATCTTGTTGACTGTTTGGAAGTTGAGTAGGGAGTTACTATTTGGTGAAACGAGAAGGTATTGGCGACGAGTGCCTGGGCAAGGGTTAAAAGAGATATAGAAATCTGCTTAATGACATTTCATGAGGCTGGTGAGATACAGTGGTAGAGAAACGTGGAAAAAGGTTCATTGTTTGAGAGTCTGGGCCAGGTGCTAAATGCTATTGCTAGCAAAGTTGATAGAGTCTTGTTATAGAATATTTGCATAAAAGTAATTAAGTCACTGAAAATACAAATGTGTCAAACAATCAGGTCTTGAATCTAGTTGTAGACCAATTCCAATATCTCTTTCATTAGATAAATTTTAGTTTGCACGGTGTTGTTTCAAGACTTTAGGTTAAAAATCACACAAATATTTTCAGTAGAGAAGGTTGTGCACTCACACAAGCATAAAGTTAAAATCAACCCCAGCTGTTACGGGTGCAACAACAGTCATGTACCATGCCAACCAATATTTGAGCAAGCCCTACTACACTCGACAATAAACTATGTGCTAATATTACAAATACATTGGCGCTCGAAGCACAGGACAGCTCTTTC